GAAATCATTAAGCTCGAAATAGATTTTCGTAATTCCGGGGTAATAGAATATCAGGTCTACAATAACAACACTTGATACTAATCGCTGTGCATACACATTCCGACAGCTTTTTGAACATGGAACGTATTGGATTGTATCCTTGCAGAGAACCGGAGGGCGGCGAACAGTGAAATGAATAGAAGGGTGGATATCCCTATTGTCAGTACCCCGTAGATAAAAACATTTTCCATGCCCGCCGTGTCTAAAGAAATCAGAAAGATGGATCAACAGATGTTTCTGCTGTTGATGACTTGAAAAGGAAACAAAGCTGCTAAAATCGTGGATATATGAAACACAGAGGCATAAGGGGGCAAGGATAACATGAAGAAATCGAGAAAGAGAGATGCGTCTCACACCTGAAGCCCTAAATGCAAGGGTCCTCCAACAGATGGAACGTCGAACTTGTCATGATTCAACCAACCCCACTAAACGCCTTGACAAAAGTGGAGAATAGTGGAGAAGAGTGGTGGAGAACAACAATGCCCCGCCCGGATCATATTTGCGCACATGCAAACCGGGTTGTCCCCGTCATCTTCTTATGTAATGCCACGAGAGCCTAAGTTAACCAAAAAGAATCTCGAGAGATTTAACCCTGCCGCCAAAATTGGCTGAGTTGTCGTCAGAAACAAGCGGATGCTGCAACTCAGATTACGATGAGTGGTGTCAACATCGTTGTGGAGTCTCACCAAATCCAGGGCCTCCACCTACCTTCACCCCGAGCCCAGAGAAGCCACGTTCCGTAAAGACAATTCCGAATAACCATGAACCACATGAGTGCTAGGCATCGAATGCCTGCTCGCGGTCGAAAGTATCACCTACCTGAGAATAATGGCAGTGTATCTTTTTCCCGCTGCAAGTCAGGCGAAGCTCCCAATCGAGGCCCCAGATTCCGACTATAATTCCAACCCGAAAAGACTCCGGGCTTTTATAAGGAATGCCTCCATGGTGTTGCTTGAATCGTACGAGAACGGCGTGAAGTACCTTTGTGAAATTGGCATGCAATGGTATAGCCCATCGACTCAGGAGTGGCTAAAACCCACGGCAATTTTGAAACAGATCCAATTGCCCGATTTCTGGGAGGCTGAGAGGCAGTATCTCGAATCACCGGGCTGTCTTGCCAAACGATGCCTCATTGAGCTTCAGACGTTGTCAGGGAACGGCCAGTTACATTACGCGTCACCGGTATCGGCGATACAAATAGTTCCCCAAGCAAGCCGTCCTGGACAGATCACGGAGGACAATCCTATTGCTTTCTTGGATATTTCGAACCGGAGACCCTGCCGGACTCGGGTAGCCGGCAAGAGGAGGCCGATCAGTTATGATAAAACAAAGACGGAGCCGATGTTTTACCAGAGCACCGGAAATTCAGTACGCACACTGACTTATATATATATATATATATATATTTTTAAAGAAAGCAACATCTCCAGTAGACTGACTTGGCCCAGATGACACCACCTCAACCAAACAGATCGGAAATCCTATGTTCCCAGAGGACCCAGCGAATTTAACACTGCGAAGGCCTACGGGTAGGACCAGGCAACAGCTCTCCAGTCCCTCGGTTTTCCTCGGAAGAATCCAAAACAAATAGCGAACCCCAAGTCCCGCAATCGCTCAGTGCTCCAGTGATGGAGAGTATCACATCTATGTCAAATATGCCTCCCTATTCCACAACAATGAACCAGATATCCTTACGACAGAGCAATCGAAATACCATTAATGACAACTGACAAGGAGCAGGAACTGCAGACGCGCCACTGTAGTCTGTTCATTCAACAACGATGCGGAGAAGCAAACGGAATCAAAACCGGCAACGATGCTGTCAAGTCGACCAGGGTGGCTGGTGACTTTAATTGTTTGGGAGAATATGATTGTAAACTGCCAAATAAAGGAAGGCATATATAAGTTTCCTTAACTGATGAAGACAAATCATCGCTATTTTCCGTGACGCCACTTATAATTGGGTAATACGCAGCGGAGTAGTTGATGCATGAACTCTTATCTACAGTTTTATCTTGATATTCTATGTCTCTGTTGAATCCCCCAGGCACACCCATGTTGCTCGTCAATCGATCAATTAGTCTCTAAGATTAGATACTTTTGCGTATCTATACGCTAATGTCATCAGCGATGCTTCTTCGCAGGTCAATGATCTATGAACCGCATATTAAATTAACAGAAGATATATCTTTTTCGTGAGGTTTTCGGCAACTTCCTTCGTGGTATAGACATTGGTTATTCTCTCTTATCTATGTTCGTTGGTTTTGCTCGCCTTGGTTAGAGCCTCTGGTTGCTATGTTATGACTAAACTAATTTCCATTTTTTATATTTTGCTCTCAAAACTCTAGTTAATACATACTATCGTATTTGCAGGTCTATCTTCTCATGATTGTCTGGGAGTTTGGTGGGCCGATGTCTTTGCTATTTTCCCCTCTAGTGTTGGTGGGATTGTAGACAAATACTGTGGACGAAGAAAAGAAATATGAGAGCTAAGAACCCAAATATAAACAAATTCAAGCTATAGGTACATTGATTTATTTTATCTCTCGCACACAAAGATCAAGCGCAAGGAAAAGGGAATACACCATTTGACCTCCGTTCCCCGAGCACCATTGAATGAACCGTCTCCTATATCAAAACGGAGAAGAGAACAACACTGGCAGGGGCAGAAAAGCAATGGACGTCAAAAAGAAAAAAAAAAAAAAAAAAAAAAAGTGTCCCATCCATACGCCTTGCCACTGAAACAACAAAACAACAGATAAAGAACCAGTATTTGTCTATAGTAACTTGTGCTCGCTTCCTTTGGAAGTAAAGTCTTCAAGATACTGGTTACTTCCAGCAAAGAAGAATGTAACACACGAAATTCTGAAAAGGCCCGCGAGATTCTAGCCAAGTGGCGAATGACATCTTGTTAAATGCACAGCGCAAACAGATTTGCACCGACATCCTACCCACGCCCATCGTCAAACAACCTAATCAACAACGCATACCCCAGCACCAGCAAAAGACCCACCCAGATCTTATGCCGTTTAATCCAACTCTGTCCGACCTCCCTTGCAGCCTGGCCCCCTTCCACCACAGCTCCAAGCCCCGCTGCACTCCCTGCACCCCGTCTGCGAAGCGCACTAGCCTCCGGCGTGCATGTCGCGGACGAGCCACCATTCCCACTCCCAACCCCACCACCGCTAGGATCAGGCATAACCTGCCCCGTAGCCGGATCCACCCTATTGTCCGCCATCCACTTCCAATTCTCCGCATCCAACTCCGGCCACTCGGTACGAAACTTCAACCCGCCATCGCCTGCTTTGACACTCCCAATCCCCCTCGTGGACGGCGACACGCCCGCCACAGCCTTAGAGTGGGACCCGCCACCGGTCGAGTTCCACCACCTCGACCGTGCTGCTAGGATCTTGCGCTCGGATTCAGATGCGCTGACGCTGCCTGTCGTCATCTCCTCGCTGGTCATGAAGGACATGAGGCCGATGAGGATGGTTGAGACCTCCCAGGCCGGGTTGAAGGATTTGGGGTGGAAGTCACTAATGCTTAGGCAGAGGCGCGTGGAGGGTTGGAAGCGGCCGGATGGAGTGTGCATGCGGATGGCGGGGGGTGCGAAGGGGTATTCCGGTGGGAAGAGGAGGGTGCCCCAGTACTGGCCGTTTTCATAGGGGGTTTTGGGGGGACCCGTGAGGATGTAGTGCCATCTGGAGGAAGTTAGATCTTCTGGTCGTTGGTTCTTGATGGGCTTAGGGGACTTTTATGGATTTACTTACTCTAAGATATTTGATTCGGAAGGATGTGCAATTATATATGGTGGTGGGTTTTTCTGGATATTTTGAAATTCGCGCACGAGCTAATGCATACACGAATAGAGGTTAGCATCTTTCCTCCTGGCATATCCTTTGGGGGTTTGCGCACTCACGCGTTTGTTGGCTGCCCTTGTAGCCATATTATATCACCATGAAACGAGCGATGGGGTCCAGATGAATGGTATGAGAGAACGTTGATATTGCAACGAGAGCAGTTACCGAAGTCAAAAGATGCCGGACGAAAGTAGGTGAGGTGGTTGAAGAAGCTTGAAATGAAAGGAAATTTTGAAACAGAGACTTTGGAAGCTGAGGTTGAAGTTGAAGTTGTATGAAGTTGACCCTGTTAATAGCAAGTAGCTGCACAACTGTTGCTGTTGATGAAGCGTTGTGAGTCGTTCGTTTGATCTAATTTTGATACTCGTCACCGCCTTGCCAACCATGATCACGTGACTTAACAGTGAAGTTACGGCGAATCCCCTCTTCGGGTCCATGTGAAATCGGTGTGCTTTACGACAGTTGTGCGCCGACAACAAATTCCATTGCAAGCGCCGCAATGGATCCACCACTGGGGAGTGATGAGAAAGTGAGTTTTGCTATGATAGGGGGGAATTCTAGTGCCACTCGGCATAAACTGACTCCCAATTTTTTGCAGATATTCGAGCTGCTGCAGCGCAAAGTTGACCCCAAGCTGCAGGAGGAACAACAACAGGCTATAAATGAGCGGATAAACGCTATATATCAGAAGGCCCAATCTCGTCTGGCTGAATTGGTTGGTCCTCTGTTCTTCCTTTAGTCCCAATTATCCTCTCCTCCTTCCGGGGCATCTTCCGAATCCTGTCTCTCGTTATCGTTTTGGAATCGACAACTCATTGCATGGGATGTAAATATCAGATTGAGCAAAATTCCACACTGCCATGTACCATCTCATCTGTCCAAGTCATTCATGCCAACTATACGAGGAGAGGCTTCCTGGAAACCGTCCTGAGTTCGCTGTTGAGCTCAAACAGAGACCGTCCATATACTTTGTCGGAAGCTCTACAGGAAATCTCGATATGCACGAATAAACTAAATCGATTCGGTATGCTAAGGAGTTTAAGCTTGTTTGCTATCATGGTACGAGATTTAACTCAACATTAGACATCTTTGAACATCCCATATCCGTTTTCCTGGACAAGCCTACCCAAACGGACCCTTCTACGACCCCGACAGACCTCGAAGTCTTCCTCTCCGTCAAAGAGAAGTCCCGCATCCTGCTCAAAACAGGCACAGATCTCGGAAACGCCGAAGGATCCGCCTATGCTAACCTTTTGTGGCGGAATATTTTTGGCGGTGCGGAGTCCCTCAATGTCAACGCTTCCCTCGGCACTCGTACCAGATCAGCCTACCAGGCCGCTTTCGAAACCCCCATTCTTAGCAACCCGGACTACCGGTGGGAATTTGGTGGGGTTGGAAGCTCAACAGAGAAAACCTGGGCTAGCCATGAGGAGGTGCTCAAGGGAGCCTGGACCAAATTGCGCTGGCTGAGCCCTGCCGGACACAGACATGAATTAGGCTACAGCGGGTTCTGGAGACAGGTTACCGGTCTATCCGCGAATGCCTCGCCAACCGTTCGCTTGGATGCAGGCGATAGCGTCAAGAGCAGCATCTCGCATACCTGGGTCAACGATTGTCGCGATAACTCACTCCTCCCATCGCGGGGATTCTACACAAGGACTTTCAACGAGTTAGCCGGATGGGGTCCGCTTAAGGGCGATGTGTCCTTCTGGAAATCAGAGGTTGAAGCCCAGGGGGCTATGCCCATTCCCCTCCCCGGAATGAAAGGCGATAGCAGGATCAGCTTTACCACCGCATTCCGTGCGGGCGTTCTCTACCCGTTGGGCCTGGATGCGGATCGGAAACCTCAGCTTTCCCGTATCAATGACCGTTTCCAGCTAGGAGGGCCAACTGATGTGCGCGGGTTTAGACTTGCGGGTATTGGTCCGCGAGAAGGCTCAGACGCATTAGGTGGGGATGTTTTCGCAGCAGGGAGCGCAAACCTTTTATTCGCCTTGCCTCATGTTGGAGTGGAGAAACCGTTCCGCCTGCAAGCTTTTGTAAATATGGGACGACTTTTGTCGCTTAAGACTCGCGATCGCACACTGCCTTCGACGCAGGGGGAGGTGAGGGATAGCATGGTTGCAACTATTCGGGAGTTGGGAAATGGGCTTCCGAGCATGGCGGCGGGTGTGGGACTCGTGTATGCACATCCTGCTGCGAGGTTTGAGTTGAATTTCTCGCTGCCTCTTGTTATGCGGAAAGGTGAGGAGGGGCGAAAAGGGCTACAGTTTGGGATTGGGATTAATTTCCTGTAACAGAAGATGTATGTATTGTATATTACATTATGGTGCCTGTAATGAAGTGGTCATAGACTAGGTCATGTTAAACACCCTTAGTTATTTTATTTGTAAAGAAATTATTAGACGTTGACGTTGATTTTGTTTTCATGTCGTAGATGTAAATTCATAAGAGTATGTTTTTGCCTGGTTATGCCTGGTCTCGGCATTTTGTCCTGGTTGAAGTTCCCACGTCGCCCAAACAAAAGATGAACCGCAACTTCAACTTCGACTACTACAACGTCAACTACAAACTATTTTCTCACCATCACGGCACGTATCACTATCCACATATACTACCACTGACATTTATACGTCACTGTTATCTCTTTAACTGACCCAGCCTGTCCGCTCCATTCCGAAAATCCATCGACACACTCCTCTCGCATCTGGTCAACCTCACCGCAAGCTCCCTCAACCCAGACCTCATACCGTAAGCACCAACGGTACCCTCATCCACTGTCCACGAAACCCCCCACATCAAGGCCGTAATGGCCCAATACTATTCCCAACAGCAGCAGCCTCCATATGGCGGCACCCAGCAGCAACAATCCGCGCAAAACCTTCAATTCTACCCGTCCTCCTACATCTCCGTCTCTGGCCACACAACACCCCAACAGGCTCAATATGGAGGCTACGGAATGTCTCATAATTCTGCACCGGCATTCCCTGTTGGAGGAGGAGGAGGGAGTGGGGGTGGGGTTGGTGGGTATGGAGCTGCTGCGTTCGGGGCTTCGTCGGCAGGTGTGAGTGGGCGGATGGGAGAACAGGGCGGGTTGAGAACAGGGTGGCTGGCGGCGTTTGGCACAGAGGGATATGAGGGGGAACCCCCGTTGTTGGAGGAGTTAGGGGTTAATTTTGATCATATAAGGACGAAGGTGGGTTTTAAATCCATTGCTTGCTTTTTCGAGGAACATGCCCTTAAAAGGGTCCCTCGCCTCCTCTGCCTAAGCTAACATAACACATTTACAAATCCCAGACCCTAACAGTCCTCAACCCCTTCGCCCGCATCGACCAACACCTCATGGACGACAGCGATCTCTACGGCTCCCTCCTCTACATAATCCTCTATGGTACCTTCCTCCTCCTCTCCGGCAAGGTCTTCTACGGTTACATCTATGGCGTCGCCGTCTTTGGCACCTTTGCGCTCCACTTCATCCTCAGCCTTATGTCACCAGCTCTCGACCCGGTCTCCACCTCCGCTTCTTCAGACCCCTCAGTGCTCGCAGACCCCACTGCATCCAACACAGGCTACCACCCCCACCATCATAAGTCCAGCAACTCAGGCTCAGTACCCGGCAGAGCCGGCCACTTCTCTTCTACTCTTACTTTCCCCCGCTCCGCCAGCGTGCTGGGCTATTGCTTCCTCCCCCTCGTGCTAACAAGTGGCATCGGCATCCTAATACCTATGGACACGCTATTTGGATATCTCCTGACAACGGCTGCGGTGGGGTGGTGTACGTATAGCAGTTCAGGGATGTTTTGTGCTGTGGCGAGGATGCGTGGGATGAGGTTTTTGGTGGCGTATCCGCTTGCGCTGTTTTATGTTGTTTTTGGGATTATGGGAATTTTCTCGTCCAGGGGGGGGGGGTCGTTGGTGGCTAAGGCTACGTTGTCGTGAGCTGGTGTTATATGAATGAGCGGCTGAATTAAGGTTAGTTGAAAGAACGAGGGAAAATATGGAATCGGCATTATTCATTCTTAGTTTTCCTGCTTCTGGCTTTGGGTTTGAGCCTACTAATGATAGAGACGGGCTCATTGTTACTGTGCTCTCTCATGAGCAAGTTTATTGGCCATGCTTCTTCCCGTTCTCGCCTGTCGGGTTAGTCTTGTTAAGTCTGGCAATGTCGTTTATTCTCGTTTGCTTGATTAATTGGTAAAATAGGGTTTCTAAACAAAATACCATCCTAACGTTTTCTTTCTCGACGATTTTCTCTTTCTTTCATATTTATTGCTTTTTGAGGAAAGGATTTCGTTTATGAAATGGGAAGTGGATGGGGAAAAGCAGGGCAGAGAAACTAGAGGGAATAGATGACGGAAAGAGGAGACCATGTTGGCTTTGACAGTGTGTCCATTCAATCTATCCGTTTATCTTAAATATTAAGCTATATGGACTCAACAAGGAACGAACTGTCTAAACTATTTCCTTACCTCTCCGCCTCCAACCACTCTCCATTCTCGTCTAGTCCATTCCAGGCTCATCTAATCTAAGCCATACAATGACAGCATATATATGTCAACACCGTTTTACCAGTTATGCCCTATATACACTTCGTCACCCTGACTTATCCTAACGCCACCCTTTCCCCTCTTCCCGGTGCCCAATTTTTCAGCCACTCCCTCGCCTTCCCCACATCCCCCGCCGCCGCCTCAATCGCCGCAATACACCAGGAAATGTCATATGCCTTTCCATCCCCCTCACCAGACTCGGTCTCATTCCCAGTCTCCGCGGCTAACAGCTCAGCCAACTTCCGCCGCTGCTGACTTTTTTCATCCGTACAGAAATAAAACGGCGCTGTATTCGTAACAGTAGGACCAATACCTACAGCCTCTATAAGCGGTTTAATCATAGCTGAGATTTCTTTACTCGAGAGAGACACGCCGCCACCGTCACCATCTGCACTGCTAGGGGCGGTATTCGTCCGGTCTGTCTTGCAATATTGGTTCAGACACCACCCCTTCCCACACCCCTTCAACATCTGCGCCAAATAACGCCGCTCGATCCGGCGACTTAGCGCTTTGCCCTCCGGATCATACACGTCCACATATAGTGGGCCAAAACACACAGCGCACAGGCCAAGCGAGTCATTAGATGCGCTTGACCCCTGCAACGTCCGGCCGCAGTTGCGATTCATACACACCCGTGGCGCGGGCCGTGAGAGGCGGTCCAGATCATGGTGGCGCAGGTGCGTTTTCATATCCTTCAGCCGGATGATTTTGTTGCAGAGGTGGCATTCTGTCGTGCGGCCGCCATCTGCGAGCTCGTGGGGCGTTAGGCCGGAGAGGAGGACTTCGGGATCGTTTAGGTCAGGGTCTGATTCGCCTTGTTGCGGGACGATGAGGTGGCAGAATTGGCAGAGGATGGGTTTGGCGGGACAGGAGGTGGTGCGGTGGTGGGCGACGGCTGGTAAGTTTGGGGCTATGAAGGGGCAGTTTGGGCACTGGTGGGGGGTGTGGAAAATTCTGTTGTGTTTTGCATGGCTGGATGGGTCGTTGCCATAAGAGGAGTCGTGGGGACAGTGCCAGTGGTTTTCCCATTTGCGTTTCTGGATAACGTTTTCGCACTTGGGGCAGAGGATATTGTTGCGGAGACAGAAGTTTTCGTGCAGGAAAAGGGCTTGTTTTGGTATCCACTGATAGCAGTTCTTACATTGCGTATCATCTGGGTCCCGTTCACTATCCTCAGTGGGAACGTGTAATTCGGTGTGACCTCCTGCTGGAACGCTCTTTGTGTGGAGGATGAATTTCAGTGGAGTTGCGGTTTTCGATTTATTATCGGCATCAGACATTGTGCTTTCTGAATAGCCATGCACGGAGATGTAAATGGCTTCGGCATCTTGAAGTTCAATATTCGTAGGTTGTAAGCATATTTGCTTCAGGGAGACACTTGAAAAATCACCAAATACATGTTCGTCATCCCTAGGTCGGTTTCTTTGTCTTGCTGAAAAGGGGCTTATAAAGAGGTCCACGTCTGCATCATCTGCTACATCAATCTCAACATCTAATGCATGTTCGTGATCCCAGTCATTTAGTTGGTAGTCGACGTAGTCTCCTGGTAACACTTGGCCGCTGACCTCTTGTCCCTGAGCAAGGTTCCCACCAATAGAGTTTCCCTCCTTTGTTCCTGGAGCGCGAGAAGTTTTCTCCAACCGTCTTTTCAGCGTTTCTCGTGCCTGCTCTTCATCCAATGCTTCGATGTCCACTTCTAGATCGGTATCCACGATGCATATGCCGTCACCCTGCGGTTCCACTTTATCAACCAAAAACCGAAAGGTTTCATTCCGTCCTCCGGGAACTAGCAGAAACTCTCCAAGGGTCAAAGTCGTAAAGTTGTCACGCAGGTATCGTTCTAGAAGCGCTTTCCAATCCTCGGGATCATACCCCGCCTCGAGGGGACGCAGGCGAACATAGGAACCCTTAGGTAGCTGCTTCGCATGAATAGTGACAAGAGGGCCACTGGGTATCGTCGCTCTACCTCCACCCCCAAATTCTGCTATGTCCATATTGGACAACGAATCTTCCCGTAATGTGTCCGCCGCCGCTGGCTGGAAATCAACATCCTCAAGACCCAAGCTCTCGCGGAGAAAGGCACTCAAGCCAACTTCGTTTTCTTGGGCAGAAAACTCGCGGATACCAGCATGCACAATCCGACCGTTCGAGGGATTGACTATGCGAAAAGTTAAGGGTTGTGGAAGCCGATGCTGTCTCTCTGCAGCCAACTCTCTAGCTCGACGCTCAGCGACAAAAGTGTGGGGATTAAAGGGATCAAATTGTGGGGTCAAGGAATGGTTTTGCGTTGGGGATGTGGAGGAGATTGGAGCAGCAGCCAGTAGCTGCTCAAGAGCAGAGGGAGGAAGAATAATTTTGTCGCCGGGCAGCTGTTTTGTTCTTGTAGCGGGCGTTACCACAAACTGCGCAGTCCATTTGAGCGCATCTGAATCTGTGGCCATGACATATATATAATGAATCAGTATGTAATGTACCTAATTAGAATACACTGCTGCTCTTCATCTCATCACTGCTTATCACAGCCGTTGAAAGAGCGAGAAGGTAAGTAATATACATTTATATTTATGTAGGAACATGTTGAAGATGTTGAAGATAAATGAACTGGAGGATGACCAACACTTTCTGGAACCTACGAGAGGTTGTTTGGATAATCTTATCAGATCAATCTTATCTCCACGTGAATATCAGATAAACTAAGATTTGAAGCTTCTTTCTTCTCCACGCGGTTGAGTTGGATAACTACAGATTAGATCGACCACGCTTTTGACTTGGATGACGAGACTACGAGCCCTTGTCTTTGTATACTTGTTCTCTCCATTATCGCACCGCTTTTATCAAATCAATGCCTTGAAGCTGTCCTACTTCTCAAGCTGGTACATATAAGTTCCTAATCACCTTATAACGCGCTATCTCCTACGGAGTACGAAGTCTCTCGAGGAACTTTAGGTGACCATTAACAGGGGCACCAGACCCAAGAGACGAAGCCAAAAAAAGAGAGAGAGGAAGTCTTCTTCTAGTTTCACTGCTGGAATCTTCAGTTACTGATAATAATTCATACGGACCTACAGTTCCAGGCTATCTTCCCTGGCGCAAGGAAGTATCACTATCTGGTCACGTGTTCTGCTGCCTATTTTATTGCTCTTCAACAAGCGCAAAAGATATCATATAACTTCTCGTTCAGCTCATCTTTCCCTTTCTCTTCATTCTCAGATTCTCTTCCTTCTATTCCTTTCACTCATCCAAGTTGAGACAAGGCTATTGGCATCAACCCCTATTCTCCAAGGAGCCCTCTCTCCTGTGCTGGTAACTCTTCATGAATTTATATCTGAAGATCAAATTTAAGATTTATGCATCTTCTTTTCTGATAGTCTCTCTGCGTTTGTGTTCTCCTCCCACTGGATCTTTATGCCCTCAAGATCCTTTCTACAGGATGGGTGTGACATACCGCCGCAAATCAGGGGTTCCTAATCCCCGGAAAACAATAGCCAACAAAACCCGAGATATGCCATTTCCAAGTGCAAATATAGCTGCTACACCAAACCTTCCTTTAGCAAACACTGTCTTTGAATTAATACGAAATACAAATGCTCTCAGCTCTGCAAACTCACATGGACTTTCAGCTCCTGGAGCCATCGTGACTCCGAGCCCAATGATGGACGTAACCCGCATTCAACCAACGAAGGTTTCTCTTCCCCAAAAACCCCCAACTCACACCCGGAAGAAGGATCGAAGTGATGCCTTCCGGGAATGTGTCATCTGCGCTGAATTGAAACCCTTGGGATGGAAAGGGGCGAATTTCCCCTCTTTCCCCCGATGCGCACATGGTCCACAGACATGCTCAGATTGCGTGTCAAAGCACATCATCATAACGTTGAAAACACGGGCCCCCATTAACCACAACCAGGTAGCAAGCAAAGGAGTAATTGACTGGTCCATATGTACCTGTCCACAGTGCAACATGACCCTTACAGAGTCTGAGATACGATCGGCCCTGAGCCGCTCGGAAAATGCGGTCATTACTGGAATCGTTTCTCGCAAGGAACTCGAATCCCACCCACGCTGGGCTTCGTGTCTGTCCATTACCTGCTCGTCGGGCCAAATATTTCCGGAAGGCGCGCAGTCTGAGAAAGTGGTATGCATCAAATGTGGAGCTAGTAGCTGCTTCCTACATGGCATCCCGTGGCACACCAAATATACCTGTGGCCAGTATGACGATAGCCATCCGAACGCCCAGAGCGTGCGAAGTAGCGAGGATCGCATCAAAAGAATGACTAAAAAGTGCCCGAATCCAGGATGTGGCTGGCGAATTCAGAAAAGTGGAGGATGCCCAAATATGTTATGTATGGAGCCCCCCTCTTCACAAGACCCCAAGATATTCCATTCGTCATGGCATCATGCACATCTCTTTGAAGTCAAACTATGTGCTAACAAATTTGCAATTAACATCTAGGCATTAAATGTTCCCGACCATTTCGCTGGGACGAGGCCAAATGGGATGAGAATGTCGTTCCAGAACCAGAGTGAATCTGCTGTTTTAGAACATACATCCGTTCTTTTGACTATGCTTCACCAGGCTGTTCGCATAGAGTCCGGATTTGTGAGTCTATAAATTTTATTATTTTATTATTTTATTATTTTATTATTTTCCTTTTTCTTTTTCTAACATCCTCCCAACAACATCTGGGGCACGAGAAAGGCAGAGTAATATCTCAACATCTGTATACTCCTTTGTTTACTGGGTGCAAATCGAGTGAACGATATCCTGCCATCCAATGGTCTATCTCATCTTCAACGGTTTAAGGAGCAACCAACTCCTTTACAAATCGCGTCGAACACGGTAGACTCTCAAAACCATGTTTGGGCTTAATCTAGTTCGTGCTTTGCTGTTCTATTCTATTTCGTCTCCGACTGGTCATCTATCATATGGATAAGGATTCTGGAATGACAGTGATTGGGAGGACTTTGGACTGAAAGAGAATTGGATACGGCTCTTTGCTTGACAAACCTTCCGTTAGCTTTGAATTGTAGTGAACTCTTTTTGCATTTTCTCACTCTCCTTGTTATTTTTGTCCAGACTCTCAGATTGTCGCTGTGCCACATATAGCAGGAATTGAAAGTAGATGAGAGGCGTGTGAGGGGAGAGGAGAAGAGAACGGAGATAGCACAAGGCAAACGGAATGTCAAGTCAAATCAGTAGTAGAGCTCCTTTTTGTGAACTTTATTTCTAACAATACCAGAAAAAAAAATTGCAAAAAATCAATACCAATGAGTTGAAATTCTTCCAAATAAAATCAGTTATGCGAGTGCTGCTATGTTGCTGAAGTTCGAATTGAGATGAGTGTTTGATATAGGTATTCTCCATATTAATAGATATATAAATCTATACCGAACCGAAATTCCCCGCCGCCCAAAATATAACCCAAACGGAGATAAATAGAACAGGAGACAAGAGTCTGGTAAACCAGAAAACCGGTCACTGAGAGATCTAAAGAGCGCCACGCCATCACAAGGTCAAAAAGGTGAAATTCATGTCAGTGTTAAACATTCACAACCCTTACGTTAAAAGTTATTAATAGAGTGGAAGATGTGAAAACCCAAAGGGGAAAAAGATTAAATGTGGTATAATGCAGGGGAGGGGAGGATGTAATTAAAGGAGGTTCAGGGTGCGTATTGATGTGGATAATGATCGAGACCTGGCCTGGCTGTGAGATGAGAGTGGCGATGGAGAGGGATATGAATGGAGAGAAAAACACATTTCCTGTTTGACCGTTGACTGATATAGAATGCAAGAAAAATTGTTGATGGACATTAAGAACGGTGGATTGAGAAGGGTTAGTAAATAGTCAAGTTTGTGCTCTGTTTGTCCGAGGGTAAACAAAGAATATTGGTTTAAAACTTCGTTGTGTGGCTATTAAGCGTTTTTTTTTGACCTGCCTAGACATTATAGATATTATATGTCAAACCTGCGGGATGCTATTGTAGAGCTCTCTGACCTCGGGCGCTCGTATTGCACCAGTCGCACTGTATGAAACTCATGTAAGTATAGGGCAGAGCTAATGTACCAAACCTAGAAAGAAATTCAACATAACGTACCTTGGTAGGGGTGCAGCCGTCATTGTGTTCGAGGCAATACTCTCCCTGGCAGGTTGTGCAGATCCGTTGAACTTCCATTTTACAAGCGCCGCACTGTTGGACAAGGTATTAGATTAGACGATTAGATTTTCTGGATATTACAAAAATATTCTTGAGAGGGAGAGAGGGGAGGAAGGGACGTACTGTAGCACCACATTCCCAGCAATCTTTGCTGATATCAGTTAAAAGGTGCTGTTAGAATGAATTATTAGAAAAATCCTAGTATTAAATGAGGGGGAATTTGGGTGGGGTAGAAGTCTAGTGGTAGGAAGATGAAAGACGATATGGAGAAGAATCAGAGCATTAACATATGTTGAGATATACATCAAAATTATGGTAAAGGCAAAGCATACTCTTCATCTCCATTTTCATACGGAGAAGTGCTACCACAAATCAATGGCAAGTCACTTCGTATTATCATGGATCGACGAGACAGCTTTTCGGGTCTGTCATGGCATGGCATTCAATACAGAGACCGTCATATACCTTTTGTTGAGAAGGGCCTGTGGGCCGCGACGCTGTTTGATGCAGCTTGAGATGATGTGTTGGCTTTTCTGGGTTGGGGAGGCAGGTGGAACACCACCACCGGCCGCACCGGTGGCACCAGCGGTTGGTCAGGCAATCTTGGCACTGCATTATCAGAGTATATTCACCATTTGAGCAGCCAGCGGGTGACTTGGCGGCGGTGACTCTGGAGGAGTGCATTGGTGGGGGCGTCAAGAGCGGGAACTGGTGATTTGGTGAATGATTCCAGACTGCCGGACCCTCTGGGGAGGAATGGCAACCCTCGCACCCGCTGGGCCCGAGGGCAACGGTTGCTATAGCTGGGGAGAAGTAAGATACGGGTTGCATGTCGTTGCCTGCTGCGTTTGCTGCTGCAGTAGACAAGGGCTGATGTTGTGGGCTTCGACACAAAACCGCATCAAAGGAGATGATCCCGTTGCAGAGCTGTAATGTCTGCGCCCATCCAGTGGAGATTGGCTTCTTGAGCACTTTGCCGGTCGGTTTGTACCATGGATGTCTCCAAGTCATCCGACCTTGATGCTTGGCATTGTCATCAAGTTCAGAGGAGCCGTATGGTTGAGAGGGGCCCGAGTGCTTCCTGTCCTGAAAGGCGGTCTGGGCATCATCCATTGGCGTGAAATGATAGATCCCTTTCACCCTTGGCATACCTTTGGCGCGTGAAGGTCTGACAGCGTATTGAAGAGTCTGCATTAATTTCCGTTCGTTAAGGTTAAGACAGTCCCTAATCGACAGTATAACTACGTTAAATTTGTCTGTCAGGATGATATCGGCAATAAGGTCTGCAGGAACAGAGAGACCATCCAGGACCAGAGTTCTGACATCCTGCAAGATATTCCTACGTCCCAAATCTGAAAAGATCCCCCTCAATGGTCCTCCATAAAACTCATCTTCAGTCAAGGATTCATCCATGCGTTGAGTCCTCCAAGTCTCGCCGCCTGGATCGATGGGCCCTGTTGATGGCGGTGGCTGAGACCCACGGCATTTTGTCAAATCCATATACCGGAAGACGTATGGGGTATCCATGATGATGGAGCGGAGGGTGGTGCATGTGGAGGCTAGTGATAGAAGAGATGAGATTGACAGGTAGGGCGCGAGATGGTCAAGGATCAGAGAATTAGACAAGATATCTAGCAAAGAAGTTGGCAACGGTTTGCCTAAGAATGCGACGGGGCAATTAGAGCGACATGGCAGGCAGAGAGAAGGGTTGTTAATCAAGGTGGCTTGGCCAATCAGGTGGTGTTTGTAGGCAGCCATTGCGCCAGCGGTGATGGAGGAGTCCTGCATGTCAACACTGGAGTAAGAGGAAGGGGTAGATAAAAAGGAAGAGGACATAGAGGATATTATTGATGCCGGCTGCGCCTGGATTGCCTGCAGCGCGGCTCTAGCATTTGCAAGTTCTGTCTCCAACAAATCAATGGCCGATTGTAGGATAATGGGCATAGCTTTTGCGTTAAGGGGATCGATGGCGGTCCTTAAGGTAGCCCATAGCTGCCCTTGGGCCATATCAAGCCAGCTGATATGGGAGATAGCTATAATATATTATTAAATGCCCTGATCCTCTAAAAAAAATACTGATGCAGAGTAGAATCACCGGAGCAATTCCCTTCGTTGACGGTCGTTCGGGAAGCGATGACTAATCCCGGTCGCAATAGCCGGAGCAACAAGGGCTGGGCGGAGAAAACACGTGCAAGCGGCGCCCGTCCTCCAGAGTAAAACCGTCCAGCGGGCTATGCTGCAACACAAATGGGTCAAAAATGAGTCAAGAGAACTCCAGATGGATGTTGAGCGGTCCGGAGAGAGTGTCGGCTGGGACGGTCTTGGGAGTACGTGGCAAATGCAAATCCGCAACAAACATGAATGAAAAAGAAGGTAATGATAAGTGGATAAAATGGAGATGGTTTGGTCGTTACCAACCCAACAGATCTCATGGAGAAAGTGGATATCGGAGAGTCAGAGCAACCTAGATAGAGCCTTTTGATCTGTTTGAACTTCCCAGCTGAGGCCCGAGGGGAGGGAAAACTTGAGGTGGAGCAAAAATATATAATAAAATGAGGTTTGTGGAAATTTTTAAACTTTTGATATTCTCACTTAACCTAAGGATGGTTGAACAATACTAATGGAATGACGGAACACAACCTTCTCTGGGGTTAACAGCAAATTATATCTAAATAGTACACCCAAGAGGCTGAGTTGGTGCCACTCCCCGGCGGGAGCGACCAAACTCGACCGGGGAGTGCGCCAATTGTCTCCGCAGACTGCTGGTCACAGTGGTTGGTGGAGAGAGCTCTCTTAAACAAAGCAACAGGACGAACGGACGAACCAGAGTGTTTGGAGCTCGAATCCTGAAAATGAGGCCAATCGAAGCTAAGCAGTCTGGCAGGAAGCGGATATAAGATTATTAAGAAATCTTAGTTAACCTTACACCGAAACAATGAAATCGGTAAGGAGCTCGACAACAGAACCCTTAACGAAGTTAGGAAGGGAATTCGTGGAGGACAGTTGAGGTTGATGCCATAACGACTCACTATAGATATCCAGACAACTTTTTCATTCTTCTTTAATCTCCTCTCACGCTACGGAGGAGTAACAGCGCACACAACCCAAGCCTTCCCGAAGATCATATCAGCTTGAGAGGGATGGAATTTCCACCTCAACTGCCGAGGGAGTAACCGGCATAAAATTTACACATCTTCCGCCTCAACAAACCAGCTGCGAACTGCCCAAGTGGCCGAATAATAAGGCTTTAAGCTTATCGTTTCAATCCTTGGCAGCATTTGTTCAAGAATGATATTCTGCCAAGCCAATGGAGATCTGTCTTGCCAAGGTGTGGATTCATGATGTTTGTCTTGTTCAACATCTACAAGATTACGCATACCAGAGTCTCGGGTATCTACAACAGTGAAAAGAGCAGGCGGTCAAGTGATCGATGTTGGTCTGGAATTGAACTCTTATCTAACATCTGCAGACAGGACTGAGGAAGAGTTATGCGGCAATCTATTTTGCAACTAAAACGAAGTGAAAACGCGCGAAAATATATATAATAAATAATTCATGTTGAGAGCTGCAACAGGTTGCTAACAATACGGCTAGATTTCTCATCAGTGATAATTGTCCATATTCATCTCAGAATGCATGTTCATGCTTGGGATTGCAGTAGCCTTCTCCAGCTGCTAACACCACATGGATATATCTTCGACGGTATCGACCTGTGTCCTTTGAGGGGCAACAAAATCCTTGCTACACATGCCATAGTCTCTGGGCAAGTAACTGTTGACCATGCAATAATAATACCTATGTCAGAATGAGAAGCGAAAAGCCTAGCCTGGAGCCAGCTAACTCTGGACCCATGCCCGGCATCTTTGCTTCCCATGCTAACAATGTATTTGTGAACCACCTGCCAGATAATTTATAAGAACATGACTGTAGAACCCAGTCCGTCCATTCTCGATATTGGTATTGCCGTTTTCACCAGCGGCATATGCGAATGTAATCAAACAACCTGTGAGGAATATGTAAGCCGTTCTTCAACCCCCTGCGCCCCCACCTTTCAAAAAAAAAAAAAACTAATGTATGTGCACGTATAGCACAAGTACACATACATACGGTACATATACATATATGGGAACTTCTCATTTGCTGGCTACGTGTGCGGTGTCCTGGCAAATTCGAGTCCAGCCCAGTCGAGTCATGGTCGGAAACTTTGGCTTTTGGAAATAGATTTGGGCTGTTGTTTGACATCGACTCACAGCCTATCAGCGCCAGCATGATGCGGCATCACACGCGTACCAGCCGTGAGACTGTGTGACTTGGATAGTGTTGCTGATAGGGCCGTTTGAGGAGGTCGGATAAATGTCGAACTGTGATAGGTGGGTAGCGCATTTAAGTTGGGAACTTATATCACTTCTAAGATTTTGCATGGGATGGGGGAATTGGTAAAGCTTCGTGTTGTGAGGTTTGTTTTCTAACATAAAATGATTTAACTAGTTATGATGTGATATCTTAGACAAATGGGACGGGGTATTTTAGGAATAAAATAGGTACAGTTCTTTAGGAGTGCAGGGTTATCAATTTTACAGGAAACATTGCCAATTCAGTCAGGATGGGATCAGTTATTGTTGTCCATGTCAGTATCGTTTGGTATGAAGTCCTTTTGATAGGCGTGTGTTCTGGCAGTGTCCTGATCAAATGGGTATTGAAGACTATTTCATTTGAAATGAAAATCCTCTCTCATACCACTCATATACTTAGATAATGGAATATACACCAAGGATTCTACACCAACCTTTATCTAGCGAATACACTCAATACATTGTCAAGTATCCCTTTTCCAGTATTAGAAAATATACCCCGCAGAAGACGGCATGTTTTGCCTACCAATACAAAATCTAGTTATACATATTCATGCCAAAAGAGAGATACGAAGATAATGGGGAAAACGGGTATGGTAAAATGATTTAAGAAAGGTGCCTGGGTGGCTAAATAGGTAAGCCAAAAAAAAAAAAAAGAAAAAGATCGACAGCAGAGAGTACAGCACTTTAATAGGAAACGAACACCCACCAATCTATCGTCGCCTGTCCGTAAAAATCCACACATGCCATAAAACTCGATTCACATAATGGGGAAAAGAGGGAGTCAAAGTACCACATCTACTTGAAGAATTTCTGCAAACTAACTTCCTTGTCGTCGTGTTTGTTCAGCACTTTCGCCGTCGCTAGGTCGAAATCTTCTTGCGTCACGTGCACACGACGCTCACGCAGTGCATACATGCCTGCCTCTGTGCAGACACCCTTGAGCTCTGCGCCTGAGCAGCCATTCATCTTCTCTGCGATTTTGGTGAGGTTGATGCCACGGGTAAGATTCATGGATCGTGAGTGGATGCGCAAGATGTCGGCGCGGGCTTCGACACTGTTGTTGAGAGAAAAAAAATATAAATTAGACTACTTATAACGCATAAAAACCTTCCAAAAATCCATACACTGCTGCGGAGCTTGGGTAAACTCCATTTGGCAATAGAGAAATAAGAGGATCGACTTACGTGGGTGGTGGGAACTCGATCTTTCGGTCAATTCTCCCTGGTCGAAGAAGTGCGGGATCGAGAATATCGAGACGATTGGTAGCCATGATAACTTTGATGTTCTTTGTTGGTTCAAATCCATCCAGTTGATTAAGGAGTTCCAACATCGTCCTCTGGACCTCAGAGTCTCCTCCGCTGCTGCCTTCCACACGACTGGAGCCGATACTGTCGATTTCGTCCATGAAAATGATACTGGGAGCATGTTCACGGGCCATAATGAACAGCTCCCGGACCATCCTGCTGCCTTCACCGATATACTTCTGCACTAACTCCGATCCACTCACCCGAATGAATTTGCAGTCCGCGTGATGTGCCACCGCTCGTGCAAGCAGAGTCTTACCGGTACCGGGTGGTCCATATAAAAGGACACCTTTCGGCTGTGCGATACCTAGCGACTCGAAGAGTTCTGGGTGATTAAGTCCAAGCTCGATGACTTCTTTGATTTCCTTGATTTGTTGGTCGAGGCCACCGATCATGTCGTAGGTACTGTCGGGCACTTTCTCGACCATCATGAGAGAAACTAGCGGGTCAACGGACGAGGGAAGCATCTTTTCAAGCTTATATGAGTCTGAGAGCAATGATACACGCTTCCCCACTGTGAGCTTAGAAATATCGACATTATCTGCAACATCAACGACTAGAGAGATCCTGGGTTTAGCTGTATTCTAGAGAGGCAGCTAGCTTCCGTCACTTGCGATCAAGAAGCAAAGGCAAGAAAACTGAACGATATAAAAGAAACTTACCATATTTTCCTTCTGGATGCACCTTCACGAGTACTTTCTTAGTGCCCATAACCTTGACCACCTCACCAACATATGATCCCGGTTGCTGTAAAAGACCAAGCTCTTCCCGTAGCAGCCTTACTCTGGAGTTGTAGTCGTTCCGCTGTGCTTCGAGCCGTCTCAGAACAGCTTGCCCCTGAATGATTTCAAGCTTCATGCTTTCTATCTTGTTCCGAAAGTAGTTGTCGAGCGCCATGGTTTGTGTGGAGATGGAGGAGGGTAGTCGGGATGGCTTGGAGTAGGTAAAGGGGATGGAGGAAGGCCGCTTGGCAACAGGAGACGTGCAGTCAGGTTCAAGAGTTTTGGTGTAGTGTTGAGTGATCAGATAATTCCGCGGTAATAATGGATGCAACAATGTCGGCTCATCTCCAGGTGACTCTGGTGTACGTCCCTTTTTCTTGTCTGAACAACAGCCTGTGAAAGCATCAACAGCTTCCCCCTTTGGGCAGAAGGTTAGTGCGGTCTCCTGCCTCGTGCTTAGTCACACGCTATGTTTGCGTTAGTTTGCTAAATGTTAGCTCTGTTTGCTCTGTTTGTCCTGTTTGTCTGTGGAGCTTCCTAAAAGTCATGCATATGCGGCTCTGAGGTCAGTGTGTGTTATCAAACCACCCATCACGAAATTAACACAGAGGGACATAAACATACAGATATTCTTCATTCCTCACTTGGTCTGCTGTCAACTGGATGCAGATTTCTGGTGTCTGTTTGTGAGGTTGAGCCGGACTCTGTCAATCCACCATCCTCTGACAGCTCCTCTGAAGGAACCTGCCTGACCTTTCCCCCCCCTCCCTCCCAGCGCTGATCACATGCCTGGTATCGCAGTCAGTTCCTCAGTTATTTGCAACTGCAAACAAGGGCTAGGATAATAGGTTCGTCATCAATATCCGATCTCTCTCTGATATGAATCATCTTCAAAGCAGTAGTACTATTGGAAGGCCCCTTCGTTCTCTCTGTGTGACTGGAGCTCTCCTTATTAAATTTCCTATTGCTTTGCAGTTTGGGTAGGTGAACACCCCCGGTTTCCACATCATGGCATCCCACAGTGATGGCAGGGATCCTCAAGATCAATCGGAGTTTATATTTGCTTCAGCGTCATCATCCAACATCCCCATTATCCGAACCCAGCCCACCCGACCAACATCAAGGGACAATGCAGGAGATACAACTCGGGTTCCCCGGGCTGTAGAATCCCACTCTGGAACAACATATGGTAAGAAAACCATCCAGATCCATCAGTAGCTGATGCCTTTGATTTTGGATTTTTTTTTTTTCGACGACTAACATGCCCAAAAGGAACTATGGACCCGCACGATACAAGACGGCTCGAATCCCGGGTCGAGGAGAGCTATCAAACATCTGCAGCCACATATGAGCCCATACGGTCGCCCGTCATCTCACAGCAGTCTTCTGAGCGAACGCCCAAAAAGCCCCCAACCATACGTCGCACTTCCAACAAACCGTATAGAGGCCAAGAATTCTCAGTCGACGATGACCCAAAGGAGTACGAAGAGGACAATGCCCTTTACAGACATGTTTCCGGGAGATCCACAACATCTCTCCGTCGGAGACCTCATGCCCAGCAGCCTGCACTCCAACGTGTTGATTCGAGAGACGAAGACTCTGTTCATTTACCATCTTCTGCTGAATCCAGCGGTCGCCGTGGTAGTGGGGGTGAACCCTCTAAACTCACTATGAGTGTCGATGCGGAGGATGATTCTCGCAGTGATGTGAGTGACGCAGAGAGCTTCACGCTTAAGGACCGCCAGCAGGCCATCAATGCGACGCATCCTTTTGGTATCAGAATTTGGAAACCTGCTCTGTACAAGAAATTTCGCTCCGTTGAAAAGACAGCAGAGGGGGATATCCATTCGGTTCCCGGAGAGCGGGTGAGCAATTGGCTGTTTATGACTAATCTTCTATGGTCAATCATTTTTGGTTGGTGGCTGGCTCTGGCATCCCTTCTCGGGGCTGTTGCTTGCTATGTCCTTGGCTTTTCCCCCGATGCTAGGGCATATGGGAAAGTGTTTTACGATCTCTCTTTCTACCTCTTCTATCCCTTTGGTTCATTTGTCTGTCTGGAAAACGACGAAAACTATGCACATGAAGATGAAGGCGAAGGTCGTAGTATCAGCGAGTATGAACAATGGCAAAGCGGAGACCTTGAACATGGAAGGCTATTTTTTGGCCCAATTTCAAGTCGCTCTCTCGTGGGGCGTCGAAGAAATAGCCTTGACTCGGCTAGCGAACATGACAGTCTCCTCGGTAGTAGAACAGGTAGAGGATCTCACGATGGAAGTTCTTCCAAGGCGAAGAGACGATTTTTTGGTCGAGGGGAGTGGACAGTGGGAAGAGTTGTCTTTTATACGTTCTTCTACTTCCTAGTCGGCCCTTTGATGCTCCTTGTGTCTCAGATCTGCTGGATGATGGTATTCTGGATCCCCATGGGTAGAGTAACCATTATTTTATTCTCCCATCTTCGCCGTCATCCACTTGCGCTTTCATTCCATTCCGATGTGACCTACACCCGATCACCGTCTCGACCTTCCTCCTCGATCCTTCTTTGTACCTACCGCGCTGCCGGTCAGAAATACTGGAAATACACCATTGACGGAACTAATATTTTCTTCATCAACCTGCTTTCTGTGGTTATTTTCACCATATTGGATTTTTGGGTACTACGTGTGATGTTCCAAATCAAGACGTGGATTACTCATCCCGGTTTTATATTTACTTTGGCCCTCCTTTCCATTATCCCTCTGGCTTATTTCATTGGACAAGCTGTTGCGTCCATCTCCGCCCAGTCATCAATGGGGCTTGGTGCCGCTGTCAACGCATTCTTTTCGACGGTGGTCGAAGTATTTCTTTATTGTGTTGCCCTTACAGAAGGCAAGGCACAACTCGTTGAAGGGAGCATCATTGGTAGCATTTTCGCCGGTATCCTGTTTCTTCCGGGTTTATCTATGTGCTTTGGTGCCATTAGACGCAAAACCCAACGATTCAACGTCAAATCTGCTGGAGTTACGTCGACAATGCTCCTCTTCGCCGTCATTGCTGCATTTGGTCCGACCCTATTTTATCAGGTTTACGGCAGTGTAAGTTGGAATGCTGCCCTCGTTTTCCACTTTGATTTCTTTTTCCACCAAATGCTGACATGTTGTGTCTTATAGCATGAATTGAAGTGCATGTCTTGCACCTCTACTGGTTTTGGAGGAGAAAGGGACTGTCGTCGTTGCTACTTCTCAGACATACCCGCGATTAATGAGAAATTTTTCCTCAAAGCGGTGCAGCCATACTCTTGGTTTGCAGCAGTCCTACTTTTCCTATCCTACGTTATAGGACTCTGGTTTACACTGAGGACCCATGCCGCTGTTATCTGGTCAAGCGAAATGGATGAGAAAAAGATAATTCAAGCAACACATTTCCTGCCACAAGATTCCAGTCTCTCAATAGCTAAAGGCAAAAACCACCATTCCGCCAACGGGCAGCAATTCGGCCATAGCAGCGCTCATCAGCCAAAGGGTTCTATTCGAGACTCTCAACTATATGCCCGCATTCTCGGCCAGTCGTTGAAACATGTTGGCCTGTCTCCACCCTCAAATGATGGCAACCCAGAACAGCATTCGAACCCCGCCGAAAGCCACAACGTTACTCCTCATCTAGTGCCCCCAAAGAGTCATGATATTTCTTCCACTACCCTGTCTCTTCCAGGCCTCTCAGACGAACAGAATGAAATATTTGTCCGTAAGGTAACGGAGGTGGCTGCTACTGCTGCCACTGTCGCAGCCCGCGATGCCGCCACGCGGCAAAGAAAGCCCCCGATTGTCGCTCCTACCTTTGACCAATCTGGCAACAAACTAGCTGATGCCGGACTAGCCACGCTGCCAACCCATGAGGATGGGGAAGACGCTACAGTTCTCGGTGAAACCCATTCTACCTCAGGTGGCCATGACGCACCAAACTGGAGCAAGACGAAGAGCTCCATCATCCTTCTAACTGCAACTGTGCTCTACGCAATCATCGCGGAAATACTGGTTGATACCGTCGACACCGTTCTGGATAACGTTGATGTCGATGAGAAGTTTCTGGGTATTACTCTCTTTGCCCTGGTTCCGAATACCACGGAGTTTATGGTCAGTGATCTGTCCTACATTCCTCTGAAAGATAAGTGTCGGGTGGAGGATAAGAACTAATTACTTCTACAGAATGCCATCTCCTTTGCCATGAACGGGAACATAGCTCTTTCGATGGAAATTGGATCTGCATACGCACTCCAAGTCTGCCTTCTTCAAATACCCGCGCTGGTGTTATTCAGTGCCATATACGCCCAATTCATCGACCCCAAAGAGTTGCTCAGTCATTCCTTCAAGTAAGCTTTTTTATCCCGCATAATCCCTTCACAATTTATTCAACATAAAGCACAGGGGAGTTAGGGCTTTAAAAGCTAATCCATTCCGTTAAACAGCCTAATATTCCCGCAATGGGATATGATCACTATCATCCTTTGTGTCTTCCTTCTTTCATACATGTACGGCGAGGGTAAGAGCAACTACTTCAAGGGCTCTATTCTCGTCCTCACGTACCTTTTTGTCATTGCTGGTTTCTACCTGTCCGAGTTCAATAATATCGATGCCATGAGCGTTGATCCGCTTGATAGTTTGGCACTTGCTGGGAGTGTGAGCCTTCGTACTGTGGACAGGGGAGGGAAAGCGTTTTTAATTAATTGATTAATCGGCGAAGCAGTTCATGGTTTTTTTTTTTTTTTTTTGATTAAGATAAACTAATAAACTAAACGGAAGGTAAGTTCCCAGGTTGTGAAACTGTGGGACGAGGTTATGATAATAGAATATGGTGATGGGATGGCGGTTATGGAAAAATGGATGTGAGACTGGAAAGTGAGAATAATTATCTTTTGGCATGTTTTGTTAGATGGAAGCTATGACTTATTCTGGCTCTTGTTTCTCTCATGTTCATTTTTATGTATCGAGGATATTCTTGTATTATACTATGCATTATACTATACATTTGCATTGCACATAGCAGAAGATCAAGCCTCGTGTGTGTCTTGTTGTGCTCTTTGGCCGTTTACATGTATACCCGTCTCCAGCATTGTGTTTCCTTTTCCTGGTTTTGTTTGGTCGACTTCGAGATGTTGTTATACCCATGCTCACTGTTAGAGAATTGTCATGGATGAGGAAGATAGGGAAGAGAAAACTGGCTACCGCGGTATACATCGATAATATGTGATGACATGAAGTGAAATGCAATCTTAAAATCCTTTATTGATATCGTTGTTTATTACCTCATTTCACCCATCCGTGCTTCATCATTGAATGAACGAGTTATGATGAGTTTATTTCCTATTGCATCCCTAACTCTGTCTCTCCTTTTCGCCCTAACCATAGATCCTCTCTCTATCCGTAACTGTACGGTTTCCTTTTCCATGAAGCCATGGAATATTTCTGGTGATCCTTCACATACCAAAAAGTTCATAACCAGCTCACACGGCATCTAGAGATGGACGAGCAAATGGGCCAAGTTGGAAATGTAGTAAACCAATAGGCGGCGAAGGAGAGGAGAGGCACGAGAGCATAACCAGACAGACATGGAAAAGTTCTTATCACTAGAGGAGAAAATGTAAAAGAAATCAGTCAAAAAAGACAACCGCATTATTGATATTAAACCTCATTAAACATGTTCACTCCTTACTACCCTCCTCAACTTTTATTCATAGAACCAAAAACTCACAAGGGAACAGCTCCCTTCTTCCCCCACCCCTCAATCGCCGCATCCACATCCTTCCGATACTCCTGCTGCTTAAAACACTGCTCCAAAAACACCTCATACTTGACCTCCAACAGCTTCTTCTCATACTCATCCGTAGTCGGCTCTACCATCTTCCCCGGCTTGCTCATACGATCCATGATATCCCACAAATCCTCCGTCTTCCCATTCTCATCTGCACTGGCCGCTTTGGCCCCCAACATCGCCGCCCCATGACACACAGCAGCGTGCACGTAGCGTGGGATCAGCACGGGCATCCTGCACGCCGACGCGATCAGCTTCATCAAAATGTCATTCTGGCACTGTGAGCCGGACATGAAGATGGAGGTGATGTTATGACCGGCTTTATTCATTGTGTCGATGATCTGTTTCGTCTGCAGTGCGATGAATTCGAGTGTTGCGTAGTAGTAGAGCGCGAGACCGCTGACAGATTTATCGCTTGACAGGCCGATGATGGAGCCGGACATGTTTGGGTCAGATATTGGGGAGCGGTTGCCGAACAGGTCGCCGTAGAAGAAAAAGTGACGGCCTAGATAGGAGATGCTGGGCGCCTTGCTGTCCGCAGCCATCTCTTTCAAGTGCTCATTGAGATAGTCGTAGATATTGGTGTGGTAAGACTCGGCGACGGAGAGGGCCTGGTTGAAGGCTGGATGCGTCTCAATGACGTGCTTGAGCAGCTCGCCCGTGGCAGACTGGCCGCCTTCAGCCATCCAGAAGCCTGGGATGATGGTGTCGCGGTACGGACCCCAGACCCCGGAGACGAAGACGGGGTTTGGTGACATGGCAAGATGACAGGTTGATGTACCGGCGACAGCGGCGAGGCGGCTGAAGGCTTGTGACTTGTCATTCTTGGCTGCTTCGGAGCTCCGTTGGTCAGATCCGAGAACGACTTTGGCACCGACGGTGCCTATCCAGCCGGCATATGCGTCGATGACACCGCTTCCTACGGCGATCCCGGCGGGCAGGCCTAGTTGTGAGGCTGCTTTGTCGCAGAGTGTGCCCACTAGCTCTCCAGCAGAGAGGTATTCTCCATTCTATTTGACAAAATATTAGTTAATTTTTCTTTCGAGATCATCATAGAGCTTTAAAAAAAAAAAAAAAAATAGGAAGACCCACTTCGCCGTTGACACCTCCAATGCGTTTAAAATTATCCTCTGCCAACTCCTCCAATCCAATCTCACTCAAGAAATCAGGTTGCCAGCCCTTGACGCTGCCATCAACACCCACAGGAACATAGCCCTGTTTGCAGACGACGCTACAGAAACTCCTCTTCTCATTACCCGTAGCTAAGTGGGTCAAGGCATCAGGCAAGTCGTAGAACTTGCAACGGTCGAAGAGCTGCTTAGACATGTTATTTTTAAGCCACAGCACCTTGGGGATTTCCATTTCAATGGACATCTTCCCGCCGACATAGCGGAGGAGATTGTGATTCGTGTCATTGATTTTCTCCGTCTCTGCGACGGGACGATGGTCAAGCCAGAGAATGACGTTGCGATCTGTGTCGAAGTTGGGGCCAGTAATGGAGACAGGCTCATCATCGTCATGAGAGAAGACTGCTAGAGAGCAGGTTGCATCGAAGCCAATGCCGCGCACTGAGGCGGGGTTGATATTTTGCTGGCTAATGGCACGCTGCACGGAGAGACAGATGCAGCGCCAGATATCACTTGTAGATTGCTCCTAGACATATTTTATCAGCATCCAATGAGGCATAGCCATAACATACATAGATGTTAAAATTAATTGTGATTAATTATATCGAAAGATATGGTGGAAACCTACATAGTACCCCTGCTGTGGCTGCCACAAGCCAATGTTTTCTGAGGCTAAGCCTACAATGTCACCCTTGTTATCGATGATGCATGCTCTAGCACTCCCAGTGCCGACATCGATACCAATATAATGGTCCATTTGCGGAGATATTTCGTTTCGTGGAACCATGGATGTTTGTCTTGATGTTTGCGGCGGGGCTTGCCGGTGTGGAAGAGAAGAATTGTTGTAGGGTGCTCAGAACTCTATTTCTACCCGCTGCGGATCCCTCGACTTGATGCTGTGAGGGGTTGTAGGACTAACGTGTTGCAGGCCTTGCCTGCGTCTGCAAATGTACTGTACTTTGACTGAAACCTGCAGGTTGGATCGGGCCAGGTTGGATTTGATTGCAGCCAAGATGGGAGGAGCTGGGTATGTCTAGAACTCCCCCCCGGACCTGATCAGTTAGGTCCCCTGGGGTGGCCCTTTAGGGGCGGATATTTTTCTTATCGTCTTGGGGATAATTTAACAGAGGGAGTTTATGGAATGTCGGGTGAGTGGAAGTGATGAGAGTAAATGGGGGCCATCAAGAGGGACAGGCCTCTCACTGATCTAATATACCTCAGGGACAGGCAGGTAGAGAACCAGATATCATCAAATGATTAACTCACGCTTCTAAGCCTGACAGTTGCCAGTGTAAATAGAATGGGTCAGTGTACATCGTTCTGTCGGATATCAGATCGAGAGAGCGAGGACAGAGGATGAACGAACGACATGAGAGAATTGCAGAAGCATAAAAAAAAAAAAAAAAAAAAATTGAAAAAAGGAAAATTAACCTGTCAGCTATCCGGGATGAGGTACAGCACCTATTTTACACTGCTCTGTGTCTCAATAACTTGCATCCATAAATTATTTAACAGGGCTAGCTGGCCGTTCAGCAGCAGCTCTCTTGTCACGACAAGTTTCCTTCTCCACCCCCTTGGGCGCGCTCTGGAGCCTGGAAATCAGGCTGGAATACTGGAGAAAAGGCCTTCTAGGTATTCGCAGATGTCATAGCCCATTGAGTCACCGGTGGTTTTGTGGCCCGAATTGTGGGTTCGTGACCAGGAGTTCTGTATAGCAGGGATAAGCACATCCTAACTTCTGATGGTTGATGGCCGCTGCATTGTGCTGGCGGAAATCGGGCTTCGGTTGGTAACTAACTAGTTATAGTTAACTAAACGTCAAGAGAGAGAGTTACAAGAGTTTCTTTCCTCTGTTTATTGTTTTGTAAACGTGTCTCCGCGGGAATGGCACTGGAAGGGCTTTGGAGACGACCACAATGGAGCTGTCTCTGAGGCGTAGAGCCGCTTGAGATAGTTAACTACTCAACTAGTTACCGTTAACCATGGATTGGAGATCATAGGATGTGCTAGGGATTGAGGGGATAAGCAGGACGCAAACTGGCCCAGACCCGCTAACTACAAGATCTCGCACTCTGTTTAAGATCGACTCCCTAACGCAATGGCCGCTGCTGCACACGGGGGATGTTTGGGGGAGGGACAAAAGCTGTCTCTTATGTTCTCTCAAAGGCGGGATCCCTCGAAATAATAATACTAAGCCATCAAACCAGGAATATCGAGTTTGGAAAGTTATTTCAAAATTATCTTCATGTTATGGAATATAACCAACCAATCCTCCAGGAGCTTATAGACAACCCTCCCCCGTATTTCAGTCCAGCGTACACATATATACGGAGCAGGAGTAATGTGTCTATTGTCAGCAGCTGTCCCTGATCAGAGTAAAGCAACCAACCAACCATTGCACATTGGAGCAACTCCCAAGGTTCACAAAATAACCCTCATTCCCCAGGCAGATTTGGCTCCGGCAAGATGTATCTCCAGCTGAGCAAGATCTCATCATCTATATGAAGCATACCCATAGAAATGCGCAAAAGGACCAGTGGCTATATTTCTCTCAGAATAGATCGACCCACTGAAGATAGACGAAATGAATTTTGAACCATGAATCGAGCCGTTGATTTGAATTCCCGACGGGGAGAGCCCCCTGAACTCAATCTCAACCTGAATCTCTGGCATTTGCCGGAGTTGAGCAAGATATGATGGCTGTTCTGAGGCGGCTAGATGAGGGATATTCACGTATATAGGATCGCCTACAGCGGCAAATTAAATAAACGGATGAAAGAGTTAGCAGTTGTATCACTGTTGTCGTAGCTGTCGTAGCTGTCGTAGCTGTTGTAGCTGTCGTAGCTCTTGTTGTACCCAGTTGTTTAACTTCGACTCGGCAAACCTTCCGCAAGCTCGCTTAACAACCTACTTCAACCATCGCAAATCGACGCAACTAAGTAGTTGTTAACTAACTATCCCCATCAGCTTAACTAAGTTATACCCAACAAATAGTTAACTTACCTCCAACCCTAATAATGATATAGGCAGCAGAGACAACATACACGCAATTCATACAAGGGAGCCCTCCACTGCGTCCGCGCCATGCACATCCCGAACCTCGCCCTCCTCGCCCTCTCCCTCGCCCTCTCCGCCCTCACCTCTGCCTCCCCCTCCGCGTCCTCCTCCGCGTCCTCCTCCCTCTCCGCCGACATCTTCTACTGGCCCCTCTCCTCCTCCTCATCCCCCTCGAAACCCTCCCGCCTCGCAAAAATCTCTTACAACCCAACCACCCTCCGATCCACAATCGACTCCTACACCCCTCCTCAGCCCGTCAACACCAACGGCAACTTAGACAGGCAAGCCGACCTCCTGCGCATCGGACTCTACATCACTTCAATCAACGACAACAGCCCAACAAAGAAGGATAAGCAATGGGTCGGGACCCTCTGCTCTCCCTCCATCTTCGCAAACACACAGCAAACCCTAACCCTCCACCTCGATCACAATAACCACGTCTACCATGCTTCCATCTCCTCGTCCGCTACGCCTCCCGTAGCACACGCCTCATCCACTGGTGCAGAGAAGAGCAAAGAAAAGACTACTTCCAAGGCAAAAGAAGCGGATTCGGAATTGCTGAAGGTGGAATTTGTCCGCTTAACTCCCAGTCCGAAGCCGCATCTCAATCGTCCCGTGGTGCTAAATGCGGACGGGCATACACCAGAGGAAGTTGTCGAGAAGACCTTTTTGCAAAGGTGAGGCTCATTTCATTCAATTATATATATATATATATAAAGCTACACTTGTAGATATCCGTGTGTATCTTAAAAATACATGACTGCTAACATAGCCTCTGGCCAGGTACTGGTGGGTTCTTGCGATTATTGGCCTGCTGGCCTTCACTGGGAGTGCGGAAGGGAGTTAGATCTGCAATACCCGCTGTCTATCGAAGACAAGACATGAATGAGGGTTTGGCACGGGTGGATTATGGATGATACGTGTACCGTCCATGGTGGTAATATGCCATCCGTATCAAAAGCAGAAATGCCTTGTTCATTTGTTTTCTCGTTAGCAAATTGAACCCGAAAGCCATCCCGCTTTCATTTCAATATTGATCTCTATGTCGATATCAGAAACAGCAGAAAAAAAAGGAACTTGACATCTCATTTCCTCAAATGCACCAACACCCGCTATTAAAATACCATGCTAGATTTTAACAATAAGACGGCCTTTCTGCGTGCTAAACCCCAAATTCACGCCATTCCCTGGCTTGGGGGATTAATTCCACAGAGCTTGAGGTCAAATTACTGGGCTGAGAATAACTAAAAGGAAGACGTTATATCATCACTGTCTATCTCCTCTTCCTCCTCCTCATAATAATCATCATCGTCATCACTGTCATCATCATCATCATCATTATTTTTATTGTAATTCTGCTCCTCGTCGCTATCAGCATTCATCCTTTGCACAACGCTCAAGCTCTCCTCCTCCTCCTCTTCCTCAACCGCATTCGGAATCTCCAACACCCCTTTCTCCCTCCTCCCATAACTCCCCGCCCCAATCTCCCACCTCATTACACCCCTATCTGTCAACGCAACAATCTCATCCCCTTCCTCCGTAAACCTCATCATAAAACACACCGCATCACTCTCCAAAACAATCGGCTCCAACAGCACCGCAGTGGTCACCTCATCAATCATGTTCGGAGGATAAACCCCATCCAAATTATTCTCAATAATAGCCTCTGGATTAATCGCCCACACCTTGATCGTTTTCCAATTCGCAATCGCCAACCGCATCGCGGACCGCGACGTCGCAACAATGCCAGGCAGCGAGTTCACGCTCATGCTATACCCCGCCAACCGCGCGACGACAGCCCACGTATCGAACCGGCGGCCGCGGTCGAGGTTCTCTTCGTGCTGGCAGTTGTGCGAGCGACAGTGCGCCTCCGCCTTAAGGAGGCAGGCGACCAGTTTCCCATTTTCGTCCGTCGCGGTGCCGAGGGTGAGATATTTCCAGTGGCAAAACTCGCGGTTGGAAGGCTCAGTGTAGGTATGATGTGTACTGAAAAAGGGAATGGCGACTGTGAACATTAGGTCCAGCCAGTCGTCGTAGTTATGGAACCGGTCCAAATGATAGTAGTGGACCCAGCAGGAGTTGCGGAGGAGGCCGCTTGTGAAGTTCATTGAGCCGTATTCGACGTTCATGTGCTGGTAGGAGCTGTATATTGTTGACGAGGGGTGGTAGTAAAGCAGCTGGGTGGAGTTGTCGTTTAGGGACATTTGGATTACGGGTTCCATGTAGCCTGCGTTTCGTTGGGTGGGCTAAGTTGTTGTTGTATGGTATGGTGCCGTATTTGTCGATTATTACACAGTTGTTGTAGACTTGGTCTGGAAATAGAAATTAGTATCGTGATTGTAAAATGGGGAGAGGACATGAGATTCTTCCAACGTACAAGATATTTTCAGATTTGCCGCAACAGCATCCGGATATTCCGTATGTACGATGACCTTGCGTTTGGCTGGGTCCCGTCTATGCTGCCAGGAGATGGCTACCAGGTCCCTATCCGCCACAGCCATTGCCAGCGGACGGTACTGATCCAGAGCCGGAAAGGCAGATATCGTCACACGGGAGTATCCCAACCGCGACGGAAGACGCCGATAATGCACCAGCTGCGTACTTTCTTTCCGATATGGCTTCATCGCCTCCTCGACAAAGGGATGATCGGGTCGTCTTTCGTTCCAATTCTCATTTCCATCTTCCGACTCCCCTTCCTGCAGCGGGATATACCTCTGCAACACAGAAATCGTGTGCCCATCATCCCCGAAAACAACTTTAATGACCTCAACCCTCCCAGGCCACGCCATAACAGGCTGCAACACGTCCCTGGCGAGAACTTGGCCCCCAGAAATGAAATAGAGATAAACGTGCGGGAACCCCTTTTGCACTAGCGCGACATTTGGATCTCCCAGCTGCGGTCGTATAGCCGATGCAAGCGTGTCAATGACAGGTTGTCCCTCGCCAAATGTATACACGCTCTGGTTGGCATGGAAATTGGCACCGCAGAGCTGCTGCGCTGCGCGTCGGCGCAGCAGGAGAAAGAGCTCTGCTGTAGTTTTTGAAGAGAGGTCGGTGCAGTCATTTGTACCATTTGTAGTGGTGTTGGGGTATGATGGGAGTCGGGATAATTGGTGCAAGAGGCCCTTGCGATAGTTTGAGAAAAAGATGAAGAGGGTGCGGCATGTGTAGGCCGCTTGGAGACAGCTCGTGACAGAGCAGAAGTCGAAGATTGGCTGGAGGAGTTCTGGAGGGAGGTTCAGGAGGGGCATTCTGGAGTGGAAGCAAACGGGGATATTGTATAATTTGAAGGGGGCAAGATGGCAAAACGGCGTGGATAAATGGGGGGGGGTTATATGGGTGACAACTTCAAGAACCCGAAGCACTAGAGCAGTGGTATAAAATAACAGACAATCAAGCCCGTCTTAGTCCACGGTGGGGAGTTGCAGAGGATATTTATATACGGAGGTTGAAAGCGTCGTTTTCATCTCGTCCCAAGCACAATATTGGGCAGAACTGCCCGAAATGAACTTGCCAGGAACAGCCCAAGCCTTTTTATTCTTTCGTTGTGGTCCGTTTGTCGCCTGTAACTAATAGTTAGTCTTGGATAGTCGGATTACCTAACATGAATGGGTTTGTTTAAACTAACTATTGGCTGAGAGTAAATGATGGGATAGGTAAGTTGTTTGGCAGAAATAAGCGTTTACATGCCTTGATATAACGGATGTGGGCGATCTGTGGGGGTATGGATTTATCTATTTGATCAACTGGTGCGAAAGGAGTTATGCCATCTGGAGGGGGAAAAGCGACCTTATTATTCACAATGTAAATAATCTCTCTCTGGTTGTGGAATCTATGGTGAAAAATAAAGCGAGGGATGGGACTTTGATTAGACAAGAAAATAGAGACATCTGATTAGAGAAAACCTCTGCAGAAAAGTAGATAAGAAGTCTGAACGAAGAAACCAGAACAATCGTAATCTCATAACCCGACCAACAACAATCAAAACAAAAAGAACACCATAGAATAATCTAAAAGTGCCAATACATATTGCCAGCGCTATCTCTGTTGCTCTGATCTTTGCTCCAATCAGAGCCCATTCTTCTCTTCTAACCCCATGCACCTCAGCTTTTTTCTTCTCAACTGATAAAAGTCTCGTCTGAAATCTCTGCATCTGTACCTGTATTTGTATCTGTATCTGTATTGAAGTCTTGTTTTCTCTTGCCAAAAAGCAAACCGAAAAAGAAAAAGGAGAATAATAATAATAATAATACTCTACCCCCATTTCACTCATCGTAACTCCTCGAAGATCCCTCCTCCTCCCCGCCCAGGCCCTTCCGAGCCAGAGGTGTCATCGATGGAGCCGTCAAAGGCGCCAACAGCGGAGCAGTCATCGTCCGATCTATACCAGGACATAACTGATGTTCATCATCGACACATCCATTCACAAGCTCCACCTCATGCAGCGCAATCCACGCCAAAACACTCTCATAACAAAGCACGAACTGCTTGAGACTCTGCACCATGCTCAGTCTCTGGAGGCGAAAATCCTCCACAGTTGCGGCGATGAGGTCTATGTCATCGCGGCAGAGCCAGTCATCGTTTCCCCCCCCTCTCTCCTCTCCATCCTCAATCTCACCTTCGACCATATTAGTCGACATCGCCGACGACGTCTCCATAGCCGTAGGCGAAGTCATCACTGACGCTGACGTTGACGATGTCTTTGACGCCAATGCTGCCATTCTCTGCCTCTTCAACATATCTACCACGCTATCAACGGTACAGAACGTGCCCGTTCGCCCACACCCAGCACTGCAATGGACCAATATCCGCCGCTGCTTTTCCGGCTCCGGAGCCAACGTCATCATCTCATTCCCGACATCACCATTTGTCGCCTCAGCAACCCGATTCACCTCCTCAATTAACCTGACGAGATGAGCCGGTTCAGCGGGGGTGCCGAAATCAGGCCAATGCGCGTATTGTAACTGGGTTATTTCGCGGATGGGCTGGAAGGGGAAGGAAGTGTGGGCAAGTGTCAGATGCCGGATTGTTACGAAGGGGGTTACGCTGTCGGAATTGGTCGTGTTGATGTTGTTGGTAGTGAGTTGGGCGCTTGGAGAACGTTGATGTTGTTGTTTGGATTGCGGAGAGATAGTGAGTGGTATACGCTTTTCCGTGCATGCTTTAACCTGTAAAGGTCCGTAGTCTCCTGCTTTCCAGTACGGGTGGCATTTCACCTGCGGCCCCTCGGATTCCGCGGTTAACATGACGATGACACGGATGTCTTGTTCCCAGACGACGCGCCAGAAGTCCTGTTCATTTCATCAGCGATCGTTAAAAATCCCAAATTCATTATTGTAAGAGCATGTGGTTACGTAGGCACATATGTGGGTTTACAAAATCACATACATTAAAAGTTCCCGGAATTGGCGCCTGCGTTGCAATATACCTCTTCTGCGATCGCGAAGACTGTACAAAGCTCGCATTGAAATAATCGCACATCCCATTAGGGACACCCTGCAACCGCACCCGCGAATGGTCATAGGGATATATATTATTATATCGGTTCTTAGATCCCTGTTCTATTCCCGCAATACGGAAGGGTTTCTTTGCCGAATTACTCGTATTAGCCTCACCATACTCCACAGACCCCGTCAGCGCCTCTTGCATCCGTTTCTGCTCCGCTTGCTCAATCTGTAGGAACCTCTGTGAGACCAGTTTACCCTTATCTTCAATGTCAGAGGCACGGTTGAGCCATTGCGGGAGGAGATTTAGGTGGTCTGCTTTTCTGTTACTAGATTTTGGTTGTAGTTGTGGCTGGAGCTGTGGGGGCACTTTGATCGGGATCTGGCCAACGCCATCGATTAGGTCCGTGTTCTGACGAATATTGGAGAAAAAGGGGTGGGTGGTTGAAGTGGTTTTGGGAATTGAGCAGCCTCCTGCTATGGACATGTATAAGTTGCGGGGAAGGGCGAGGCTGATGGAGCGTTGGAGTGTAAGGGCGGTAGAGGGCGGTTGTTGGTGGCCACCATTTATTTGCGATGCAGATTCCACGGCTTCCGGGAACTCAGCGGAGAATTTCGCAAAGCCACCACGTAGGATAGATGGTTCGCCCTTCCAGCCTTCGCTCGTGAATTTTTTCAGCACATTGATTAACGTTGATGCATCCTTCATGTGTGTCGTTGATTCATCGTAGACGACGATGCGCGTGCTTATCTGCCAGCGTGCGAAACCTTCCTTCTCTTCGCCCGCGAAGGTGTCCTGGAGCTTTTGCAGGTTGAAAGAGGGGCGTTTCAAGAGCGTCGTGGGTATGCATAGATTCAAGGCCCCTTTTATTCTTGCTTCAGTAAATTGGGGATACGGTCGTACATCTAGGAAAAGAGTATTGCCTGGAGACGACTTTAAGAGCTCCGCACACATACTCGGGGAGATGAAGATAACATTGCCTTGGTCAACGCTGGCAGGAGAAGTTTCTGAACGTTGGAGAGGGCGCGATCTATGCATAGCGAAAGAATTCTGCGCGGATTGGGGAAGTGTGAGGCGCATGGGCTGCGCACCACCTTCTGAACTAACCGGGGTAACTGGACATGTGATGTTTGCGGCTGAGTTTGGTCCTGTTGGTATATTGTCATAGATCGGCTTGACAAAAGCAGTCGCCGACTTAACCTCTGCAGTATGAGTATTAGGACGTGGATCAATGCTCATATAGCTCGTCATCATATCATCATACCGAGGCCGGGTCCACGAGGCATCGGTAGTGTGTGGAGAAATAGGCGATTGTCTCACACGTTTCTCTTCAGCATTTCTTCCCCGGTCCCGTTGAGCCTGTGTCTGCTTCTCGAAGCTAGATGAGATTCGGTGACCGGCGATAAACCCAGCTGATTCAGCTTGCTTCCTCAACGCTTCGAATTCAAAGGTGTGTTCAGAGGAGTGGCGATTGCAGTGATTGCTATTATTGCTATTATTGTTATTATTGTTGTTTGTGTTGCAGTTAAGCTTCACGGGGGACGAGCCTGCAGGTAAATTCCAAGCCTTGCGTGTATGCATGGAGGATGAATTCGCTGGGTTAGCAGTGGAGAAATCGACGATGCCGAAATAGCTGTTACACGAGTCGCGCAGGAGTCGTGGTGAGAGAGCAGCAGTGCCCGGTTTTCCCAATATCGGGGCGGTCATTTGGCCAACAGATGAAGGGGTTCTTTGTGGCAGTCCCATCGGTGTGGTGGAAACGTTGGGACCAACACCGGGACTCCAGGCCTGAGGAGAGGGTAAGGTAGCGGTGGTCGCTGACATTGTTTAATCGTTGGATTTCTTGTGTTGAGAGGAACAGTTTAACGACAGCACTCCCGAGACACAAAGGCGCCAAGCGAGGGGAAGGTCTATATATCGGTATATGAGGTATATCGAGAGTATTAGACTCTAATAGAAGTAACAGGTGTCAAATAACGATGAGGGACGAGAGGATAAGCGAACCCCATGCTCCAATGAAGGTCGATATTAAAGGAAACATGGTTTGTTGGCTCTCAGCAGCGGTAGTAGTAAGTAGTAGCAGTAGATGTAGTAGCAACAGCAGCAGCTGTAGAAGTAGCAGCAGTAGATGTAGTAGAAGTAGTAGCAACAGTAGCAGCAGCAGCCGCCAACAGAGCTCAACACAATCCAGTTGTCGTTTGTAATAACGATGATAAGGTGGTGGCAAGAGATCGAAAAGTATCAACGAAAGGGAGCAGTGTAAGTGGCGAAGTAACTGGTAGATAAAACTATATACCTCCAAGTCGACAGCGGAGTGGGGCGGAGTGGTAGGGTGTGAGGTATGTTAACGACGCATAGGCACCCAGCACCAAACACGCCAGACAACAGGTAGAAGACCTCACGCGACAAGCTTGGTTTGCCAGAAGGCGAGTTTTAGAACAATTTCCACAGACAGGGGGATGGGAATGGGGATGGGGATGGGGATGGGGTCAGCCTTCTGTTTGTTGGACTGTGGTCAGCGGCGAATGTGGGGGAGAATAAGGAGTTTGACGGTTGGGTGGTTTGGAGTGGGAATAATGGTAGGGCGGTTGGGCGGTTGGGCGGTGGGTGGGCGGTGAGTGATTGCACCAGTGCAGAAAATGACGTAATGGTTACTTATGGGAGAGGGATATAGTTAGCAACGTTTGCGGTAGAACACGGTCGAAATCTGGGGTTCGATCAAGCCAAAAAAAAAATTAAAAATACAAAATATAAAATAAAAATGAAATTGGGGAGGGGCAGGATTATTTAGGGAGAAAGGGAGGAATCTGGCTCGAATTGTCTGTGAATCGGTTTGAGAAATGAGGATTATTGAAGGATGAGGAAGGGAGAAAGTGGAGAGAAGATGGGGCTGTGACGTTGATGGGAGAGAGGAGCGGGGCGCGCCCATTTAATTAAGCCAGGAGAAACAGGGGGGACATATGTGCAAAAAATATTGAACAGACAGCTTGGGTAACAACAAATACACTCTGCACCAATTTATTCAACAAGAATAAATTAAACTCTGCTCTGGTGTTGCATTATTTAATAAAGGATAGTCGGGCTCAATGTTGCTGCTGACTGCAATCAGCTGACGGCAATTGAAGTGCTAGCTGTATTCTTGCGCCCAGGAAAGATGATCTCATCAGGGGGCAAAAGAGTAACTAAATAGAATAGTTTCTTAATTAACTTACCCGGCTTGTCTGGAAGTGGCCTGATATGCCGTGTTGAGTAGGATCACGTGACTCTCGCGCTAAAGGGACAACTACACGGTCGGGCCAGAGAGAGAATGTAAATTAATAGATAATAATAATAAGTAAGTAAATAAGTAAATAAATAAATAGTGCCAGAGAAGAAAATATAATAGTAATGTAGCAGTGGTAGACTGAGTAAGAATAGCAAGAGGGAAGAAATAGTAGATAAGAGCGGAGGAACAATAAGATGGATCAGGCGGGCATCCTGACAGTGCAGAATAAGTCTGATAGAACGGGAGAGAGGTGTCCACCTAGGAGGTAGACATCTCTGCTAACGGCTGTTCAATTGCCTTTGAAGGGCAGCAAGAGCATTGAGACTGCAGACAGGAAGAGATCTTTTAAAGCAAAGTAAAATGAGAAATGAGAAAATAAAGGAGGAGGAGGAAGATGAGAAGATGGAAAAGAAAGAAAAAGAAAGAAGAAAAAGCCAGACTCTCAGACAGGACAGAGGGTCTGGACTCGGGGATCGACTGCTGACTATTGCCAGGACCGTCTCCTGTTGTGTACCATCAACTGCAATTTTCTAGCAAAATAAGACATTTCATCATCATCATCATCAGCATCATTCATCCATCTACTTAATTCCCCTATCGCATCGTCTGCAGAAGCGCCTGCTTCGTATCCCAACTCTGGTTTTTTTTTTTTTTTTTTTTTTTTTTTTTTTTTTTTTTTTTTTTTTTCTTTTTCTCTCTTCCCTTCCCTCAAGTCTCCGAGAGCTGATTAGTTAAAAAGGCTGGCTCTCTGTCTTACTCTAGATAAGCCGTCTCTATCCCAGAGTTTCGCGATCGAGCCTAGAATCAAGCGTTTCCCTGCCAGCGTAACCCTGCCTCCGCGGGCCCTCTGGTCATTTGGTCCACCTGTAGCTTCATAAAATCATTTAAGGGGGAAGCAATTGGAGTGGTTTGCTCATATTTCTCAGGTTCCTACCCTTAATTAACTCTAATCCTAAGGTTTGAAGAGGGATGTATTAGTAATATGTTGTGGGGTGGCTAGTTAGAGTTGTTTGAAGAAGTGGGCGCCCCCCCTTGTAAACCACGTTCAACTTTTTTTTAATTAAAGCCATGTTCAACCGTATCCCCCTTGTTTGTGTTTATTTGGAACGTTTGATAATTATATTTCACAAGGTCCGAATGGCCGTTATAATATTATTACCGACCCAGCCACCCCAGAACCTGGTACTAAACTGCCACACTAGGAGGTCCCGGCATCAGAGCTTGGTCGATTCACATAGGGTGTTCCACCCACTGATGCAGCAGGAAGTTTTCTTGGAATGTATGTGGGGGTTTTCATTGGTAAGAATAGAACCATATTGCTAGAAAGGTCTGGCACCATTTCGTTAGAAGGAGAATTGATATGAAGGGAGTTCTTTGGATTCTTCTATCTCCTGCTGTGAGTCTGGAAGATGCAAATGTCGGTGTACAGAAGCATATATAGGGGAAGGTCGATTCTTGGGATACTCGGGAAGTATGAACCTCATACTTCTTCTCCCCTCATCTCCCTCATGCACCATACACCCCATAACTAGTCCGCATTACTATCGGAGTATCGACATGTCACGTAAGTGGCAGTGCCCAGTCCTAGCACCAGACTCTTTATTCCTCCATCCCACATGGCATATCAGCAAATACGTTACCGCTGATGTGCCTGAATAATCAATTGTTTGCTGCAGCCTGCAGGTGCTCCTCTCATTATTAGAGATTATTCTCGAAGAAGTTTCAACTCCACTCCACTCACTCACACTCTCCACCCTCCATTATCTCTATGTGCGCACACACACACACACACACACACACACACACACACACACACATACACACATGACGCACAATCATCAAAACTTCTTTTTGCCATGCCGCTTACAGTCTAGCACTGATGCTGGGGTGTTCTTCCATTCCAATCATATATTCACAGTTGAACTTGCATGAAGCCCCTAGCATCAACTGGCTTCTTGGATCCTTGGCACGTTGCGTCATTGTGCCTCTTTTTCTTCTTTTTGGTTGAGTTTTGCGGAAAGTCTGAGAGTTTTATGTAGGGTGGAAGAGTCGTTGGCAGGCTGGACTTCAGATTTGGGAGGGCTTTTTTCTTTTTTCAAAATTTTTGGATTATGGCGGAGAGATTACAATATTAATTTTTTTGCTTCCTTTCATATTTGCTGGATGATGGTCTATTGACATACGAACAAGGACCGGGTGGCCTTGCAAAATGAGCATTGAATCATGGTTCCTCTTTCTGCGGGTGATTGAGGAGATGTTGTGATTTATCGCTGCTTTTCTTCAGGATCTCACAGTGGTCAATGACTGCGGTGAAAGAGAGAACTTTGCTGGGGCCTTGTCTTTGAGGAATTATGCATGGCGTTTGGATGGTGGATTTATGTATGTATCCTGGAAAGTTAATCGTGCGTGATGGGTTTTACAGCCGGAACCATATTTACGAGAGCGTTATTGGTTGCTTCAGGGGCTGTTGGAGGTTGGGTGGTATCCATCGCTGCACTATCCAAGTTCCGGCTTTGGCTCAGGAAGCCAAATTGGGGTAATAATAGAGGTGTGAGGTGGCCTCTCTCATGTCCAACCGATTGTTGCAAGCTCTTCTAGACACTACTGAGCAAATAATCCAAGAATGACTTCCACACACACACACACACACACACACACACACACACCCAAAAAAAAAAAAAAAAAAAAAAAAAAAAGAAAAAAAAAACAGGTATCCAAAGAATTATGCCCATTTGAATAACAATGTGGGTTATCCAACTGCTCGGCTCAATTTTCTAACTTGTCCCATAAACGATGCCACCATGCCACAGATCGACATGGATATCCTGCATTATCTCTGACAGGGATGGATATATATGTTCATGTCTGGGGATGAAACATCCAAAGTCTAAGAAACCTCAGTCCATTCATTCCGTTGCATGTCAATATCCCTCTGACAGTGGGTATCACAGCATAGCATGACTTAAGACATGATCAAGCTGCAACCCTACGATGCACGAAATTAAACCTTCCCCTTCCTGCCCAACCCCCTCACCTTCTCTCTCCGACCGTTTCCTTGCTCTGGGATGGATTGTTCACATGTCCACCGTCCACAATGATGTGGTGCGTAAATAACTCCCCCTTCTTCACTCGACCTGCCAAGTATATATGCACCAGACCCTGTCCCTGGTCCGCATATCATTCTCCCGAAGTCTTAAAACAAAACCATCAATACATCATCGACATCAGCTTCCTCACACTGAGGGAAATGTTTTCCTAACATGCCCTCCACTCAACCTGCCTTTTCCATCCACCCAGCCGGCCTTGTGGTACCCCAGTTAATGGACCGAACAGCTACATCTTGGCTCTGATTTTCGATTGATGGGACGTCCGTGGCTCGGAGTGGGTAGGATGGAAGAGGGGAGGGAGTTGAGGATTTGTATCGCATGGAGACTGGCCAAACCCCAGGGAAAGAGATGCACCGGGGCGGGGGAATTATGATAAAGAAAAATACACAAAATAGTGATAGTGGGGCATATACGACTTTGCAGGAAAGAGTGAACGTGGAGGCTTAATATTCTGCCAAAGACGGAGAGTGAGAGATGGACTTTTCGCATCGAATAGATGCGATATGTATCGAGAATTTGCCGAATTATAATCTGCCATCCGGTTCTCCCTTGAATCGCTTAACTCGTTTCTGTTCCCAGTTATCCAGATCCTTGGCCATGAGTTTCTGTACAGTCGTTAGCAATTATTCTATACATAATATCAAGTCAATGGAAAGAAGGACAACAGAATTGAGATAGATGAAAAATGAACTATGAAAAACACGAACATAATATTCCTCCTTCTCACTCCCCAATATCCTCCGCCGTGGATTCCTTTTAATCTGCACCCCGTCATCGCCTTCCGGGCCCTTGAGACCAAGCCCCATAGCCTCCTCCTGGCTCACTTGCTGCACCTTCCGATCGAACCGTTCGTACCGCATTGCAGTTGCTGGGGTGAGGACGAAAGAACCTGCAATAATGACGCTAATGAATGGGAGGCCGAAGAGGAGAAAGGGGTGTTTGGAGAGGTTTGCGCGGTATTTGGCACCCAGGCGTTCACTGAGGGTTGAGCCGAAGGAGTTGGAGGGGCGGAAACGTTTGGCTTGGAACACCATGTTGAAAATGGCCTTGGATAGTGCTTTTGTTTGGGGGGAGGGGGTGGCTGTCGGTATTTCTAAATTTAATATTTCGCTTCAATTTATGAAACTAATACTAGCTATATATCGCAATTGGTATAATTTCTGTCCCTCTGTTATTGAAAATGAAGTCGAAAGTATCTATTACTGCGCTGCAGTCGACCAAAAAGAGTTTTGAGCCCAGGAACCCGCTTTCTCGGCGAAACTGTTGATCCGTCGTAAACATCCAAAAGCAGTTGGGAAGCTTCATATCAACTTTTTGTTTCTTCTATGACGCCTCAGTCTTTTGCACTTCGCATCCCCCGTCAACATACATCACCCCCAGTCTCGCCCTGTAATCCCCGTATCACAGAAGCGCTCGCCAATGTTCCAAAGCTCAAATCTCTTTGGAGGTGCTTCGGCACAGCAGCAGCAGCAACCTCCTAGTCTATTCTCAAACCTTCCCACTGTTGGGCAGGCGACAAATCCTTTGTTCGGCCAGTCAGCAACCACAAATTCTCCATTCGGCCAGTCGACTATGGCAAATACCCCCTCCTTTGGCCAAAGCAATGTACAGGGAAATACAGGATCATCTTATTTGGGGACCCAGCAAGGCGCGCAGACCCTGAACCAGACCCAGACCCTGGGTCAGACTCAAACACAATCAACACTACCCTCCGTTTCCGCTGCGCAGCCAACTCAACCTGCCTACTTTAGTAGCCTGTTAGAGCGGGGGAAGAAGCGCCCCAATCTGTTTATGGGGGGTGTTAATTCTTCCGATCTGCCCAATCTCCAGCTGGGTTTGGATGATATTCGGAGAGCAGCGAGAGGCATGGGAGCTGCTGGTGAGCGGGACAGGGCTGGGGCACAGTTAGAACATCCTAGCAGCAAAGCGTAAAGCACACGTTTCATTTTTCGTGCAGTTATATAAAGCGGTAGTGAAACATTCTGCTAACATGTCGATTTTGTTTTTTAGACACTACTCCTTAGCTGCATCTGGTATATCTCCGGGTCAAATTCTACAGGATTTAAAAATGCTCGACACGCAAACTACAGAGGGCAGCCCATTCAAGCAAACTGATGCATTCGACCCGGACAATCAAAAATTTCTACGACAGGCTCAACAGCGTGGAAGAGATGCGATGATTGCTGAGAGTCTTTCTCGTGTCCGTAAGGATTTCGATATTTTTCTCGAGGATAAAGTAAATCTTAATTGGGATGAGCAACGTCAAAAGATCTATGAACACTTTGGCTTAACGCTTTGGGATGGCTCTGCATGTGGGAAGGCTGATTCTTCGTACCGGGCTGCGTTTGGTCGGACAGGGGCCTTTGGCCTCTCGACGCCGTCGGGGCTGGATATGTCACGGGGCGGAAAATCTGGTGCCAGACGGAGCGTGTTTGGTCGGTCGGCTCTGGGGAAATCTGTCATAGGGTCTCCTTTAGTTAGCGCAAGAAGCCCTCAATCTTTTGTTGATTCAATTATGAAGAATGACGGGAGTGGGAGCATTCAATCTGCAGATTCTCGATTCTTGAGGGAAAAGATTCGATATTTTGCGATGAAAGTTCAGGCTCTCAATGAGGCAAGGCTTCAAGAAAGGGTGTTCCCGATTTTATATGAGTTTGCTGAAACTGAGCGTGTTGCGGGGGGAGATGTATGTGAATTTCTCACCCCTTCTGTACACAATTTTATGCTTGCTTCTAACGTGTCCCTTTTTTAACTGCCCCTCCCCTCCCCAGATCCCACGACAGCTGATTGACGCATATCACGCTTTAATTAGCATTGTAAATGAAAGCCCAAATGCTGGTAGTCTTTCGGATCCTGACGTTCTCAAAGAGCGACAGTTTGCCAATGACTACTTGGATGATTCCACGCATTCGATTGGGGCGACGAAGATGAGAAAGAGAATCATCGAAGGCTCGCGGAAGTTTCTGGAACAGTCGTTCTATAAAGAAGTCGAATCCATCATCGCTAAGAATCCCCGTGAAGCCCAACTTGGTGGAATCCCATCCATAACTAACAAGATCCGGGCATATATTCGTCTTCGTGCCGCGAGAAAGGACCTTGCCCCCGATGGCACGGAGCTCCAGATGGTTGGTCAGGATTATTGCTGGATTCTCATTTTTTACCTGCTCAGATGTGGCTTTGTAAAAGAAGCTGCAGAATATGTCAGCCAGGATCCAGGGTTCCGGTCACTTGATCACAAATTCGTCACCTACATGACAACTTATGCACAGAACCGAAGGCTTCAGCGGGATCTTCAGCAGAAGATTAATGGAGAGTATCAGCAGCGACTCCGCAATGCACCCGAGAACACAGTTGACCCATATCGTATGGCATGCTATAAAATCATCGGCCGCTGTGACCTTACCCAACGCCGTTTTGAAGGTATAGGTCAGGGTGTCGAGGATTGGATGTGGTTGCAGTTCGTCTTTGCTCGGGAAGATAGTCGAGCGGAAGAAGTTGCCGGTGAACTCTTTGGACTGGAGGACATTCAAAGTGACATTGCTGAAATTGGACAGCGGGTGTTTGGAAAGGATCAAGACGGGCCCGGTGGTTATGGGACATTCTTCCTCCTTCAAATCCTTGGAGGAATGTTCGAACAGGCCGTAGCGTGTCTTGCGAACCATGCCCCAATTAGCGCTGTGCACTTTGCCATTGCGTTGGATTTCTATGGCCTACTTCACGTTTCAGACTTTTATACCTCTGGTGATGAACTTTGTAAGTAGTTGTTGTCCTCATCCTTTTGTATCTTCTTCTTAATTGTCCCTATGCTTGCTAACCAATAATCGTGTGAAACAGTGTCCTTCAGCACGAAGCAAGTTCCTCAAATCAACTTCGCCTCACTCATCACTCAGTATACTAGAGAATTCCGCACCGGTTATGTTGAGGCCGCAGTCGACTATTTCACTCTTATATGCCTGAATGCCGATCTCCCAGGCGAACTTGGCAAATCCCAAGCTTCAGTCTGCCACGAAGCTCTAAGAGAATTCATACTGGAAACCCGTGACTTTGCCATCCTTCTTGGGGACATCCGTTCTAACGGCACTAGAATCAAGGGAATAATAGAGGAACGGCTTAAACTTATCAAGCTGATTGACCAGGAAGAGTTCCTGAAGACGATCACGGTTCAAGCTGCGGCTGTTGCCGACGATAAGGGGCTAATCACAGATGCCGTTCTGCTATACCACCTAGCTGAAGAATATGACAATGTCATCTCTATAATCAACCGGGCCCTTTCGGATGCTGTTGCTGTGGACTTGGGTGAATCTGCAATGAAGCTCCAGCCTCTGAAACCCCGAACCACGCAGGAGGGACAGGAACAGGTGCAGAAGGGTCAACAGACGCCCCCCCAAATTGAACCGGGGAGCAGTCTTAGTCTCACAGCTGTGGACGACCCGGTTGTGCTGGCGAAGGATATGATTGGGCTCTATAATACCAATGCGCTCTACTATCAGAGAATCCAACAAATCAACAGGGACGCCTGTGGATTGCTGCTGCAGACTATGGACGCCAAGGCTAATGTTGAAGCTGGGAAATGGGCTCAGGCACTTGACGTAAGTTATTCTCCCATCATTGCAAATCTCGGGGTATAGCAAAATAACACTGTTTTTGCACGCTAACATTTGATGCCAACAGAACATCAACGACCTCCAAATCCTCCCATTGCGTGCTCAGGGCTCTGTTCAATACATCCGCAGCGCAGCGCAGGCATTCCCGGCCCTTCCTCCCGTCATTTCCAGGAACACGGGCCAACTGATCATGTGGAGTATGATGTGTATCGGCCGGGAACGCGAGAAGCTTCAGCAAAGTGCGTATGAGAATGACATGCGACAGAGCCTTGCGGATGAGCTGCTGGTGATGGCGAAGGATCTGATGGTTTTCGCGGGGATGATTAAGTATAAGTTGCCGCCGCGGGTTTATGAGATGTTGGCTAAGGCTGGTGGAGAGATTGGGTTATAAATGAAGATAACGTATATTGGATTATGTGCTAGATAAAAAGGATTTTTCCTTTTATTTTTTATTTATTTTTTTATTTTTTATTTTTTTTTTTAATTTTTACTCTTGTCATGGAGTGCGAATGGCTGAGCTATATGTCTAGCTAGAAGGGCTTTGGAAAAGGATATATCATTACCAGAACTGCAAGAAAAATGAGAAGAAGTAGGGGGGGAACAATTGACTCCTTTCAGCATTGTTTATTAAGTAGTTCCATCTTCTCAGGTCTTGGGCATGGCTTGAGCTTGCGGATGCAGCATATTTGTCTACGCAGACACTAGATTCCCCGAAACCGCCTTATAGCTGATTGTTCCAACAGAACAGAGATTTTGCTGCTTCTTCGAAAACGATTGAGATATTGATATCAATATGAAAAATATTAACATAAACCTACCTATGCCCGTCATACAAGTCTTTAGTTCGGTCTTGGCGAATTCCCACTTGGGCCAACTTCTTTTGCCAGCCTCAAGTCGCATCCATCTCAACTTTTCTTTCCGAGCTTAAATTAAAGAAACTTTCCTCAAATTTCAATTGACTGCCAGCCACCCATCCAGCTCTCTCCAAGCCGTGGTTTTCGCACCCGCCAGCATTATAATCCAGATTCACACTCACTATTACCTATTTTCAATCGCAGTCTCCCACTTCTCTGTACCTTTCAGCTTTCCCTGCGCCGAAACTCTCGTTACCAGCCCCAAGGATTATTCCGGCTAAATTTTCATAGAACTCGCCTCTCCGTCTATTTTGCCTTAAAAAGAGTATCCCAATCTACCGACATCCTTTGCTCGACCTCACACATATATCGGACATTAGCTAGTAATGGATGAAGATGGTGTGGCCACAGCTTCTGCCTCCCCTCAGTCACCTGTTTCGAATTTCCCAGAGCAGCATGTGACACCGGGACCATTAGTTGCTGGGGTGGAGAATTCCACAGATGTAGATATGGACAGTAATGTTGAGGATGATGACTCAAGACTTCAGAATGATATAAAGGCACAGGTTGAGGCCGAACCAGGACAGCATGTGTCACAGTCTTTACAGTCTGCACAGTCTGCACAGTCTGCAGAGTTGTTGTCCAATCCACAGCAAGCAACAACAACTCCAAATGCAGAGCCAGCAGCAGGATCTACTGAACAACCTGCTACGCCGGCAAATCCTCCCACGTCCGCTGGCCCAGATTATTATAGCCTTTTCAACAACCCGCCAAACCTGGGATGGATCAGGCAGGTTCTGTTTGAGCTGAAGGATTCGGTGGAAATGAGCGTGGATGAGTTCAACACCTACTGGCCGTTTATAGACAATGTTTGGGTGAAACAGAGGTCAAACTCCACCAAGGATGGCCTCACAACTACTGATTATTACATGTGTCGTTTACGGAGGCCTACATGCAGACCCACACAGCGGAGACCGCTGCCTGAAGGGAAGAAGCCTAGGAAGAAGCAAGTTAGGGAAGGGAACCAGTGCAACGTGCAGATGAAAGTGGTGAAGTTCGACGGAGCTTATTCTGCAGTTACGATCTCACAGACGCGCAGGAGTAGTCGGACGCATTCGCATGATCTGGATCACATCGATAAGGTAAAGAGGAATTCAGGGCTCATGGACTTCTGTAGGAAGGAAGCTGAGAAGGGTTATCTGCCGTCGTCGATATTTGCGAAGTTTCGCGAGGAGCCTGAGAAGCTGCTGGCAGCTGGTGGGAAATTTTTTACCGTTACTGACGTCCGCAACGTCTCTGCCAAATGGCGCGTGTCACATCCCGATGTGAAATTGAAAGAACATCAGGGTTACCATTTCCAGCAGGGTCATGGTGTGGTGCGTACTCATGGTCCGCTGCTAGGCCTCCCAAATGGCATCGGGACCGCTCAATTCGAGTCTCAACCTGCTCGTCTCCAACTTCCTCGTTCCCAGCTGCCTCCCGATGCTCTACCATTCCCAACATATTCTCTGGACTTTCTACAGCCATATCTACCACGGCATGAGAACGGTCGGCAATTCCCATTCGTCACTTTAACGTATGCATCTTCCATGGATGCGAGGGTGTCACTTCTCCCCGGCGTGCAAACGGCCTTGTCCGGTCCTGAATCCAAATTGATGACACATTATCTGCGCTCTCGACATGATGCCATCTTAATAGGAGTGGGGACTGCCATGGCAGATAACCCAGGCTTAAACTGTCGATTGGAAGGTTCAGGAGGGTTTGGCGGGTTGGGCAAGATGTGGCAACCTAGACCAATTATTGTAGATCCGACGGGGAGATGGTCGGCCGACCCTGAGTGCCGGCTATTAAGGACCGCGAAAGAAGGGAAAGGCAAGGCACCATGGATCATCGTTTCGCCGGGTGCGAACATCCAGCCTGCTAAAGTCCTACGGCTCAAGACTCATGGAGGTGATTATCTACGCATTGTGGAATATAATCAGAGCTGGCGGCTTAGGTGGGAAGCTATTTTACGCGCTTTGGGTACTGAGGGCATAAACAGCGTCATGATAGAAGGGGGAGCAACGGTGATTAGTGAATTGTTAAATCCCGAATATGTGGATTTTGTGGACTCTCTTATAGTTACTGTTGCTCCTACATTCCTGGGCCGGGGTGGGGTTGGAGTCAGTCCCGATTCCAAGAAGGACGGAACAGGTAAAGCGATCAGTGCACTTGATCCCCGTGATATTAGGTGGCAGTCACTGGGTAAAGACGTTGTTTTATGCGGAAAGATACGCGGTCCTCCTCCAGCGCCCATCCTTCCGGGGATTGAGGCTGTTGCTCAGGAAAATGTGCAGGGAAATGCACAAGAAAATTGTCAACAAAATACACAAGGAAATTCATGATACCTTTTTCTTAGGGTTATAGCATTGGTGTTTCTTTCTTTTTTAAAAGATCGCCAGATTATTCGGACTATATATATATATATATATATATATATATATATATATAGGTGTCAGATATGTTCGTTTTCCTGGAAAAGCGTTGGGTACGGGAATTTCATTCTTACCTTGCAACCTCACCGGGAACATTGCATACTTCACTCGCAATGAAGAACGACCATCTTTTCTGCCGTCCGCATCCTCTGACAAAACAACTCTCTGATGGGGCAACCCCAGCCGGCAAGGAGCACTTCATGCATGCTCCAGTCTGCCGGTGCTGTTGGTTCGGAGTCGGATTGAAGTTGAATATGTGCAATCAGCTATTATCTACATATTCTATTGTACATCTGCAGAGGTTTGGGGAGAAAAGGACCTTACGATATGCATCGAAGGACGAATGGTCCCCTTCTGCAGCGGAAAAGTTTTCCCAGATCATTCCAGTATCTCTAAACTGGCTTCTACCCCGGATCAGCTCTGGTGGTGTCCTTTTCGCGAGCCTAACCAGCTCGTCATCTGGTAATTGTTTAATCGCCTGCATATATCCTAGATGTTCAAATATTCCTTTAGCAATCTGATGGGCAACGCAGAATAAATGCAAATGCAGTGAATTATTTTGTCAATTCTTTGTTACAACCTACCAACTCGAATGATAAGTATGTCTCCAAACTTTATCTCTGTCCCCTGCGACTGTCGCAACGGCTTTGAGATATTTCAGTGGAATGGAGGTTTTCTTGAACACCTCAGTCGATATGTTGTTTGTTGGTGCCCATCTGTGGAAATCGAGCAAGATGCCACGGCCTACAATTCCTTTCTCAGCCCAGGTTGGAAGACGGCAGGAAAGGGGGTGTTAGCTATCTGTAGATAGGACATTTTCCCTGTTCACTTTGCTGGCATACTTACCCTGGATGCCATTAACTGTGCTGTCTTTCGAACCATGGATATCTTCCATTGTCACGCTGATATAGAATTTCTTTTCCTTTTGGTAGCCAAAGTGCAGAGTCCGTCCCCTATTCACTCACATGAAGAAGGGTTCCGTCAGCGATTCTTATTCGTAGCCTTCTGGAAAACTTCAATCCAATGGCGGGATGTATTTATGGGGGGATAGAGGGTTGAAGAAGCATAAGGGGGAGCTTACATTGGCTGCTACTCTGCGTGTTAAAAGTCCAGATATCATTGTTCACCGTACGGTGATTTGTCGATGAGTTGTTTGTGGAACACTTGACACCCGAAGAAAGGGACCTTGCTCTGTGCGTCCAACGGCCAATTTAGGGATAATTCTCCATGTATATATATATATATATATATGGAGATAATGGTTAATTCTCTAGCATTGTTGTAGAGGGCATTTAAGTTATTTTTTCAGAAATAACGCAATGATGATTCAGGGGTGAATAAAGATGACAAGAGGTCGAGAGAACGAAATAATAATGTATCTCTCTTTCGTATTCATAAAGATATTTTCTCTCCTCACACCAGTCTTGATCTCCGTCTTTGCCGCCTCTGCCCCGATGGCATCTGTTTGCCGATTCAGGAACCCCAGTTGATCATTCTTCCCATACAAACCCATGTCTTGTTCAAGGGAAGCATGGAGAATTTAGGAAGATTTGCGGGGCGTCTCATCATTGTTGAAGATTGTCTTCTATTGACAACTTTAGATGCTTTAGGTTGTGTCGATTATTGGGTACCTATGAGCAGATACAGATCCAAAAATGGCCAGAAGGATGACTTCTGTGGCTTTTATGCTGTTTCCCTGTTTTACTTCCCTCAGATGCGTGTTGGTGATATCCCTGGGGTTATCCCTGTTTCGTGCCGAGCAAGAACATAGGTATATTCAATTGGCTAAACTCTTCCTCCTCCATACGGCTGCTGTTACGATCGAGCTGTCTCCATATTATTTATACTGGACCCTGATATATAGTTTTTAAATCTTTTAAATTATAATTTTATTACATAATATATAACAATTAAAGTAGTAAACTAAATAGATTCAAAAATATATTATAATATATGTAAAGTTCATTTAGTTCTATCATAACTTAATTTAAAATCAAAATTAAATAAGATAAAAGTTTTAACTCAATTAATTAAATATCTGTATGAAGAATACTAAACTAAGAATTTAAATATAAAATGAATAAGCAGTTGAATATAAATAAATAATTGAGAATTAAAACAAATCAATCTGAATAATTAAATATGATTGAAGCTATAGTAGATTAATTTTAATTCATATTATCAGTGTGGCGTTCCGCCCCTATAATTACCTGTGGTGTTCCGCCTCTATTCTTCCGCCCCTTCCTATATTAGTATCCGCTCTCTATTCGCCCCTCTCTAATCCACTCAGAGGCCCCAATCTCTCCTATATTTCCTATCCTATGTGATCACTCCTACCATATAGAGTGATTATAGTGTGTATATATAGCAGAGCATCCGCCCATCTTATTAGAAGAGAATCAGATATGATTTATCTTATCTATTCAATTGCTTGTACGTATCAATCAGCATTTGTGTTGTAATTAGTTCAAATAATTATATCATAAAAATACTTTTCTAATAAATAAAATCAAAAATCAAAATACTGTCAATGTAAAATAAATACATAGTGAAAAAGAGATTATATATATAGATTAAAAGAGTGTTTTGAAAGTTACAAAAAAAGTAAATCACTTACAAAAAGTGAAAAAAAGTAGAAAAAAAATAAATGAAAATTCTTACTCTCAATCATAAAAACATAGAATCTCAGTGCATGGCATGTTACATACTAGAACATACTGCTCATATGTGTGAAAGTTGATTTAGAAATGATTCTTAATATAATTAATCTATTTTTCTTAACTATGTGGTTGTTGTATTTATAAACACAATGAAATGAAGAGGAAGTTGTCTGTTGTCTCACTAATTAGCTTGTTGAATTTCATTAGTTAACTGGTTAGTGTGAGTTATTAGCTAGGTTAACTAGTTAACTAGTTAGTTATTTAGCCGCCGTGATGACATAATCCCCGCTTTGCCCCTAGCGTACCATTCAAACAAAAAAAAGAATATGAAATATTAAACAAGGAACACACGACACCAACACAAACAAGTTCCAAACTCCAACCTCGAATCCGTCAAATCCGTAAATTCCTGTCTCTTCCTTTATCTTCTCACCGGCCACTTCCCTCTTTGCCATTACTTCTGCTGTGTTTCCTCGAGAACCCTCTTACAATCCCTCCATACTCTGCACTCGTCTTAGCGGCCCTCCTTTTTCCTTACCACCAGCCTTCTCAGAAGCTGCTGTTATGGCTCCCAAAAAGCCCACTGCTGCTGCGATGTCCGTTATTTCAAAGCCAGCCACCAAGGCAAGCAAGGCAAAAGTAACCAAAAAAACTGTTTCAGCTGCTCCAGCTGCTCCTGTTGCCTCTAAGAAGAAACCTACCAAAGCAGCTCAAGCTGCAGTGAATGTAGGGATTTCAGCGATTTCAGCGACTGCATCAACCGCTCCAAAGCCTAAAACAGGGCGTCCCAAGAAGGTGGTAGAGCCCCTTGAGAAAACTGACAGCGTCAAGTTGAATGGCATGTCTTCTTCTCCCCCAACTGACTCAAACGAGTCGCACAAGAAGCGCAAGGCCCCTGTCGTAGATGATGTCGTGCCGCGCGAACCCAAGAAACCCCGTGTCGTTAAAGGCCCCGTCGTCAAAGCCAAAGTGGTCATCAACCAGCCCCCTTCACAACGATTGAACGTCTATGTTTGTGGCGAAGGAAGCTCTGGAGAGCTTGGCCTTGGTGCCGCAAAGAACGTAGTCGACGTGAAGCGTCCCCGTCTCAACCCGCACCTCCGTGCGGATACTGTTGGTGTTGTCCAGATTGCCGCAGGTGGCATGCATTGTGTTGCTCTTACTCATGATAACAAGATTTTGACCTGGGGTGTCAATGACCAGGGCGCGTTGGGGCGTGATACTATATGGGATGGCGGGATGAAAGATATTGAAGATGATGCGAATGATTCCGATTCCGATTCGAATAGTGGTAGTGGTTTGAACCCACGCGAATGCACTCCTACTGCTGTTCCATCTGAGTATTTCCCCAAAGATACAGTTTTTGTCCAAGTCAGTGCTAGTGATAGTGCATCTTTCGCGCTCACTGATGTTGGCACAGTCTACGGTTGGGGTACGTTCAGAGTAAGTCAATTTTCACACTCTCCAGCGCAATTACTACGTCGTTTCTAAGGAAAATCCATGTAACTAACGCACCTCCCACCAACTAGGGCAATGATGGCATCTTGGGTTTCGACAGTAATACCAAAGTCCAACGGACCCCGACCCTCATTACAACATTGACAAAGATCAAAACCATCATTTGCGGTGCCAACCACGTCCTGGCCTTGAATGACAAAGGGTCCGTCTACTCCTGGGGTTCAGGCCAGCAGAATCAGCTGGGTCGCCGCATCATCGAACGCAACAAACTCAACGGCCTCCAGCCGCGCGAATTCGGCCTTCCCAAAAACATGGTCGGTCTAGGCTGCGGCTCCTACCACTCGTTCGCCATCCACAAATCCGGCAAGGTCTACGCGTGGGGCCTCAACAGCTTCGGAGAGACTGGCATTGTCCAGGGCGCCGGTGATAGTGACGCGGCCGTCCTACACCCTGCCGTCGTCGAGTCCTTGTTGGACAAGGATGTCGTCCAGGTCTGCGGCGGGTCCCATCATTCTCTTGCCCTAACCGCTAAAGGCGAGTGTCTTGCATTTGGCCGTCTTGATGGGTTTCAGACTGGGTTGAAGATCGACTCGTTGCCTGAAGAGTCTATTATTCGTGACGATAGGAATAAGCCTCGCATCCTCGTTACGCCTACTGCTATCCCGGGTGTTGACGCATGTCATGTTGCTACTGGGAGTGATCATTCTATTGCCATCGATAAGGATGGGCATGCTTGGTCTTGGGGGTTTTCGGCCAATTATCAGACTGGCCAAGGGAATGATGAGGATATTGAAGTTGCTTCTATTGTTGAAAATACTGCTGTTCGTGGGAAGAAGTTGAATTGGGCGGATGGTGGTGGCCAGTTTTCTATTTTTACTGAGATTGCTCATCTGCCTGCTGAATCTTAAGTTGTTTTTCTCTTTCCCTTTTATCATTTACAGTTGCGTTATTTTTTTACAGGCTGATTTTGATCTGGGAAGATTTGTATGTCTGTTCCGCACTCTGTTTCTTAGTTTGAAGGATGGAGGTTTTCAACATCCTTTTTGTTTCAATTTTCGTCATATTTGTCTTACATGGGTGTGTTTTGGTTATCTTTCTGACTTTTTTATTTCTACGTCTGTTGTCAAGGGTTGTTTTTCTTCAGTGAAGCTTGTAATGTGTTGTTTCCTCCCCCCCCATCTCTGTGTTAGTTTGAAGGTTCAAGGTTTCTTTTCATCATATATTTGTGTTTTGATTTCCTAAAATTTTTGCTATTTTTGTATGTGAGAAATTGTGTTGTTTGCCTGACTTGATTATCTGTATTGTTATTCTACCTGTCGTGTTGTGGTACTCATACTCCTTTATTAGATTTTCTTCTTTTATTTGTTTGACCTGTCTTCTACTATGTTTTCACAATGGATGTTGGCCTCTATTTAGCATGGTTAGTATTTCAGCTCCTAGTTCTCTTCCAATTTGCTTCCTTTGTTTTTGTTTGAACCTGTGTTTCACTGTTTGAGATTCTAAATGGGAGAGTTTGGACCATTTGGCAGATGTTGTTTTGTACACTTGTGATGTGATGCTTGTCCTTGTTCTTCCTCCAGTGAGAATGGTGGAATTGAATTAAGGAAGCATGATGAGCATCACCAATCCAACAAGTAGAATAAAACAAACTCTGCAAAGACTTCCATGATTTTTAACTCATTTTTCTTCTCTGCATTTATCTTCATGCTAGCATCAAGTTCAAAAGCCCCTGTGATGGAATCTTATTATCAATGTTATCCAAATCTTCATCCATGAGTAATATTTAATTGCTAAAAATATACGGAGTACTTAAAAGTCATAATTGTCCATCGCATCTAAATCATCAAAAGCCCCTTGTGGCGGACCTGAACCCGAACCTGAACCCGAACTTGATTTTGGATCTGCAGCAGGCATGCCACCACCCTCAGTCTCAGCTAAGAGAGCCTCTAGTTCGTCATATTCAGGCCCATTTTCAACATTTGGTGTTGGTTTATCGACTTCGTTATCTCGATCACCTCCAACAAATAAGCTTCCCTCCTTTCCAAAATTGCTAAACATGTGACCTGGAATTTTTGTTCCTGTGCCTAATATGGATGATACTTGATTGTCCAGCATATCATCGCCCTTGCAATGATCTTGGTCATCTTGCCGTGTGGCATTTGTATTTGTGTTCGTGGGAAATAATTCACTGTTTCTTCCGTTCCGCGCATCCTCGTAGTTAGTCATGGTCACATCGTTCGCAGCTGGCGGCTGACTCGCGTGGTTTCCTATCTCTTCGTCTATATCCCTTTCATTAGCGTGGGATTTCGGTTTCCCTTCATTAATCCACTCTTTTCGCATTATCTGGATCCGTTTCGAGTGGCCCAGTTTCTCAATTATGGCGAGTCCATCTGCAAATTTCGCACGCGGGTACAGATTATCTAGCCAGAGTTGATAGAAATTGAGAAGGCGCATGGCATCGGAGAACTATTAAATGAATATAATTAATATATCATGATTTGAAGATTCCAAATTCCGCACAGACTATGGGAGAGCATCATGCCTCGTGGCCTTTCCCCTTAAACTTCAGCTTCGTCTTTGCGTCCTTCCGCAGTTTTGGAATTCCAGCCTGCGATAGTAAACTAAAGGGATATTTAGCAAAGCGAAGCTGTGGGGGGGGGGGGGGGGGAAAGACATGGAAAGCCTTTTAAGAAACCCATATTTTACGGCATACCGTGTCTCATCTAGTTTCACAACAGGTCGTCTCTTCGGCGCAACTTTGATCTCCTCATCGAGACCTAGGCCGGCGCCACTGGAGTCTGTCCGTGCATTTTTGATTTTTGACGCTGAATTTGTAGAGGCATTGGGTTGGCTGGTTTCTGTTTCTCTGAGGATATCATCAAGGCCAGCATCGTAATCGAATAGGTCGTCTATGGTAGGTGTTTGGTTTCGACCTCGCTCAGGACTTCGTCCTCGGATTTCCATCGTTCAATAGTGGCCGATGTGGTTAATTGGAGAAGAGGAGTGAGGTACAGAGGAATATACCTACATATATATAACTTCGAATAACCAAGATTAATACTGTGGCATTGTCAATTGGTTCTTGGAAATGTCTTGTTATATCAGATTTCCAGATTATGCCCCAACTCGACGCGACTTTTAACGCGACTGCCTAGGTATTTGGCACCAGCCCGATCAGGTTTAGCGTCAGGGGTTATAAGCCCTTTCTCCTTCCAAGACCACTCAAACCATCCTCTAAGTAGCTGCTCTTCATCATCTCTAATTCTCTCTTTATCTTCTTGCAACTCTCTTGTCTTTATCTTCATATGTGCTGCATCATGCCTCTTATATTTGGTCTCACTGTCAGCACCATGTAGACAAGCTACACCTCGGCTGAAACAGTTCTCAATCTGATGATTGTCTTCATTTCTCTTCTTATCTGAAGCAGTTTTCTTTGCTTTCCTTCACTCTCTGCTAGTTAATTATTTCAATTATTCTAAGGCTATGCACAGACTGACCTTCTCACTGAGTTATCTGGTCTGCAATAAACTGTGATTGACTGTGATTTTTTTTATTACATTTTACTAATCTCATTTTTTCTATTTCATGCATAATCAGCTTTAGTCAACTATACTTTGTTGATTTGAGTTCTGCACTTCTAATATCACCAGCATTGATGACACTCATTCTCGCACATTACCTCTCAATCCCCTTCGAAATGGGTTAGAGGCGGATCAGAGATTAGAAGTTTAGAGAGTTAGGATAGAGTTAAGGATTGAGATCTGTGAATATTAAGATAGGAATCATTCTTATGGGAGGCTAGTAGGCTGCAAGTGTTGTTTCAGTATAGAGTTCTTCTATTTACAATCAACCCTTTCTAATCATCCTCAATCACATGCCTCATCACAGGGGCAGCAATGGAACCTGGCAGCTCATGGCATTTTAGCTCTGTCATCACTCCAAAGTGAAATTTTTTACTTCTTTTACCACTCTTGTTTTTCTCAGACTGCATTAAGGCTTCTGTAACTTCTTCGCCTCTTGCATCTCATTATCACTATTCATCTGACGATTCTTAATAGACTCCGTGTCTGAGAGTCTCGAGGCTGCTGCTTTGTTGAATCGATTTCCGCAGAGTGAAGTATCAAGGATGTCAAATGCGTTCAGACAGAAGCTAGCCAGCCTGTGTGAAGTTGCTCAATCCCTGCTGATGGATCAATACACAATTTGGGTACGACTTCTAGCTGTGGAAAAGTGGCACCTCAGATTATTGGCAATACTAGTAAGGTGAGATCCCACACCGTGTCATATTAACTGACTGTGACACCATAAAGCTAAAGGATATACATCTGAAAAATCCTCGTCGTCCATTTCCCTCTATAGATTATGATTAGAAAGACGTTCACTGTTATAGTCCTGATTATGGTCATCCAACCCTCATCGATAATCGTCAAGAATTCCTCCGGCACTTCTATTTCTTTGAAACCGGAGTGCCACAGTTAATATAATTTCAAGAAGGTATATTCTCTTGGGATTAGCGGAAGTGGTCACCTTGCGGCATTGGTCCCTGAACCGAAGTTGAAGCAGAAGGCCCAGGCCATATTGCGTGGCTCACCTGCAGCTGCTGAGAAATCCTAGACCTCTCCTCCCAAATTGTAGCCTGCATTTCCTCGTTCGCATAATTTGAGTCATCCTTTGCTTACCCGGAGTGGTAGAAATTTTGGCTACCCTGGATTGCTTAATTGGCGTCTTGATAGCCATGCGCGTTCTGCGCAGGCGGGTCATTGATGTTGAAGCTGTAGCCCTGCCCAAACTAAATAGGTGCGTTGGTGCCGCTGAAACAGAGAATGGCTTGATTGGCGTCGTGGTAGACAGGGCCCTGCTGGAGGGGTTCGCATTGATATAGTTAAAGTTGTGTTCATGCAATGTGTTATCGGAGTTATCGACGAAAATTTCGGGATTTCCTTCCTCTCACCAAAGAGAAGTTGAGCTATGAAGTCTAGAATTGGTTCATGTTATCGTTTCTCTTTCCAAGAACGACACAAATACCTACATATATAGGCAACTCGCCGAGGCTCAACTGTTGAAATTTATGGATCTCGAATATCATCATCAAAAATCCTTACACTGGTGATAGCATCCTTAGGAATTGCATCCTCATGTCTAGTCTAGTAGTTTTCTTTCGCAACAGCTTTTGAGACGCCACTAGCCAAGAAGCCCTGGCGCACCCGTGGCTTAAGGGAGAGTCTGCCAGCGATCATAACCTGCTGCCAACTGTTGAATGAGCCATCTTCAAATAGTTATCCACAATAATAATGTTCTTGCCTGAATTGTGGCATTCTAGGCCATTAACATGCTTGGTGATTCCAGCTTTCTTGACGGTTTTCAATAACATTTTGCAAAGCTCTTCTACCTGGACAGAAACCGATTTTTGGACTACCAGTTATTTTAATTGTCGGTATAGAAGAGTTGCATAAGCTGTTTAAGTTGACATCGCGACCCTCACTGTCCCCAACGTATGCGAACAATGATCGTTGATGAGAGATTACGGTGTTAAAAAAGTGGCGTAGGCTTCGCATCACACCGTTCTTGGGGGACTGCTCCTTGAAAACAAGCAACAAAATGAAGTGTTCAGACTCCTCTGAGTGCGCGTCCTTCATCTTACACAATTCTCTGTGCAGGGGTTAAACTAGGCAGGGAACACGATCACATGACGCGTTTATGTAAAATCACGTGATATTTCATCAAAAGGGTCCAAGCTCCGACGAACATTACATCCATCCAATATTCAAATTGGTGCGAAGCAATCGATTGAAGAGCATCAACATTTAGCAGAAGTTCAGTATACACCAAGGGCTGTGTCTTCATCATGGCTACTGATCATAGCCGGCCTATTGTTCCTCCGCGGATTCTCAAAACTGACTACCCCGTACGTGCTCCTTTCTCCACTCGTGCCATTTTAGTTGCTTACCCAACTGTTCTCATTTTAGGTGATTGATACAGACCCGTACGCACGTCTTAATTCCGACCCAATTGTTCGATAAGCAGTGTTTCTAACGTCCATCACAGACATATAAAACGAGTCTTCGGATATGCACGCCCTTCCGATTATGTTCTAGGGGCTGGGATCGGTGCATCTTCCCCAGCTCTGTTTTGGTTGATGGAGAAAATGCACCCTATCAATGCCAGTCCAGGAACATTTGGCCGAGCTATGCGACTGGCGACGGCCATTGGCTTTTTTGGTGGCTTCTTCACCGTATATAACACATCGTGTAGTACGTTGAACTCACGTTAAATTATACCTTGGAAGCGGGTATTGTGGATTTCGCCATTAACAGCTCCTTCTATTTACAACATAGAACGTTTCTACGGTTTTACAGAAAACAAACGCGAGGTCGATATGGATATGCGTGAGATGGTCGATAAAATCAAGAAGGGAGAGCCTTTGTACGGAGAGTCGTCACTCTCTCCTTACATGCAAGGGATTGCCGCACGGAATTCGCGATATTCGTCCCTATTCATCCATATCATTCCTTGGTTCAATTTCGTGAACCACAACCAGGTATTAATTTTTCCGGACATATGAGAGTCTGTGGTTGATTTAGACCCAAGCTAATCTTTTTACCCATTGACAACAGCACGGCGTCGACACTGCAAAGTACTATCAACAAGCGGAACGGGAACTAGAAGCAGAACGCCAGAAGGCTCCATCCTCGTAATATATTGATTTCCTTCATTTTCAAGCTGTCTGTCCAATAGCATTCTGTGAAATTAATTTCCCGTTCGGTCCTGTTTTGTGTAAGGCTTTTTCGCTTTTTAAAGGGGAGGAAAATTATTGTACATAACTATATCTATGGTTCATAAATTTCATAAATATTCCTCGGCAGGAGGGCAAAAAGAGAAATATGGTGAAAAGCAATGTTAACCATGTTGCATCACGCAAATAATAGTTCATGGTAAAGGTATTATTTTGACCAAATCAATGCCCGCTTCCATGTTCTCATCAAAAACATCCTTCAGCTCACGGTCCTTTTTCGGTTTAGGATTAGGAGCTAGGTAGATATATCAGTTCCCCAAAAGCTCTTTTCTAAATGACATTGAAGTAGGTTATAGATCACCAATTATTACATACCTCTCTCATTCTCCTGGATATAAAATCGTCGTAATAACATAATTGCTTCCTTTCGGAACAGGCCTCCCGTGAGCTCATACGGTGGATCTATCCCGGGACTAATGTTCTATGTTTTCAGCAGCGATCCATGTTGGATATTTAGATGAAGGATGATCGACTCACTCAGAGTGCAAATTTAGAACCCCTCCAGTTCCTCCAAAACGTTCATTTGCGCATCCAAAGTACACATGTCTGATCCGATATTGTCTTAAAGCAGAAGCACACATTATACATGGCTCAACAGTAACATAGAGATCTGTCTCATGAAATATACTTCGTGGGTGACTTCTCAACACTTCTTCGACGGCTAAGAATTCTGCATGTCTTGTTCCCTTGATATTTTATATCAATTTTGCATACCGCAAGTTGCTCGAGGAGACGGCTATATACATACATACATTCATTGACTTATTTGTGTCATTCATACCGGATCCAATAATTTCCTCATTATGAACCAACACGCAGCCTACTGGGGTTTCGCCGCTTGCGAGAGCTTCTTCGCCCTTCGTATTTCTATGAATTAGTTTGTAGGTAGGTAGCGAGGAGCGGAGAGGGATATAGATACCATATCAAGGGCTTTCCTCATAAAATATTCATGCTTTAATGTTTCACTGGTAAACCGCGAGTTAGGTTTGTTCTGTTCCATCTGGACGAGAGAGACCTGTTATATCTACATTATCTAGCTCCGCATTCGTTTGACGAATGATTGTAGAGAATAAAATATTTGGGGACAAAATATTATTGTGGTCGTAGGCGCATTACATAATCACATAGTTACCATCCAATAGTCAACTTAGTTATCTCGAACAGTGTTAAATATGTCAGAGGCCTTGAAATCGAAGAATCAGGCTGCGCTAGCTAAGAACCCAGATGTAATCTAAAATCACTGTTCGTTATATTTGATTGCGGCTCTGCTAATCCTCCCGGATCTCCGCCTGTCTTAATCCTATATTCGTCCATGTGGTGAAAGATTGTTTTGAATGGCTGTGGACAAGTCAAGAAGACCTCAGCGTCAAGTGGCAGGTGAATCAACTTCATCTATTTTAGCTGCTCATCTTGCACCTCACCTGTCCCCTGGCCCGAATCAAAGATATGGTATCAGCCCAGAAACCTTCTCCCAGTTGCGCCAGGAGATCCTGGGTCAAGATGAAGGGGGCCAATCCAATCTGGAAGACAATATCACAGAAGTGCATAACTTGATATGCGTGGTGATCAAAGCTGGTCTCCAGACGTCTATCAAGTCTCAAGTGTTACGGGAAGATATGGAGGGACAGATATTAGACTGTCTTGACATTATCCGGTTAGCGGTGCAGAAATCTCCTCAAGTCCTCTATGAGATTTCGGACCCTGAAATTCTTGGCAAGAGAGATATACATGCACCCCTGTTTGCCTGGCTTATCCATGAACTATTCGCACTCCTCTTCGAATGGACCCAACGGTCTATACAAGACAAAATCTACAGCCTCCTGTCAACCATCTATGTTTCCCAATTCAAAGGTCTCCAGTTATGGCATTCGTCCCAGTCAGTGCATACACTGATCCAAGCTTGCATTAATGGTGAGTTGTTTGATCAATCCTTCCATGTTGAAATCAGAGGCTCACATGTATTCTGCAGATATGTTGTATTCCCTGGAAACTATTAAACCTTCACGGTTGGACGATGATATCACACTATTTTTCCCGGGACCGTCGAGCATCTTGCCAACATGCTTAGACAAGCTGTCCCTTCCGCGCTCGATGTTTGCTAACAGAGTCAGGCTAGGGACACCTGCAATGGTTGTTAAGTTTTGCCTTCAACTTTTCGAGGCAGTAGCATGCCCTCCGTTTCATGCCACTCTATCAGCATCCAGAGCAGCCAGCCTTCGTCAGCTCCTTACCTGGGTGCTTCACTGTCAACAGAAATTATGGAGAGTGATGTTCGAGTGGTTTGAAATAGCTCGGCCAGATCACATTGAGGAGAAGTTGACCTATCTTCTTGATTTTGTCACGCTGTCCCGCAAACTATACTCACATGCTTTGAAGTTATCGCAAGGCTTGCCTTTGGACCAGCAGGCAAAACATGTATGGCTGCAGTGTGGAGTTGATTTGCTGACCTCCCCGAAACTCTCACAAAGCACGGATGTGCAACACGCGCTGAGCCAACTCCTAAGCGATGCGATGCGACTTTCCCACACTTCCTCTGAAGTCGGCCAATTTATTGAAGATCATTTCTTCCAACCACTAAGTGATCTTAGTGAAGATGAGAGTGGGTTTCAGCATTTACATCAGTCATTTCAGGTGAGAGCCATTGTGTATATGTATCTTTTGTATGTACACTGAAAGGAATCTGCAGATGGTCATATCCAGAATCGTAAATAAGGAAAATGGGGCTCGAAGGATTGAAGACGATTCAAATCCAGCAACCCCAACCCCAAAAGCTCAGACGCATGAATCAAAAGTTACCCCAAGGAAATCTTCAACTGACCCTCTGCTCGAGGATAACGGAATTTCTGGAAGTGGTAGGGCACGGAAAAGACCCCGTCTTTCAAACGCGGAAGAAAACGGTCCCGTCCCAAACCTGATACAGACGATCACAAGTACTCTGTTCCATATTCTTGGTTCTCACCCGTCAACTGGTGTAGAAGAGTTAAATCAAACAGTTTTGTAAGACTTTACTTTCGGTTCTATCAAGGTGTCCACCGACTGATCCTGTCAAATGTTGTTTGTAGAAATACTTTACCCAAGCTATCCCAGGATTCCCAGTGTGCGGTTTTGGCAATGCTTGGACGGATTGCATGTGCTTCGGTAGAAACTTTGGTGATGGAACAACCGAGTATTAATTCTAGACCTCAGTTCCGGTGTCGCATCTGCGATGGAACTTCACCAGAGGCCTACAAATGTCAAAACAGGAAGCTCCCACAATTTGAAGAACTACGAAAAACTATGATTGAACTCATCCCGATCCTCCGTGGGTCTGGTAAGCCCCGGACAGCTGCTATGTTTGCTATTCGGAATGTCGTAATGCACGACCCGAAGAATGAAAATATGCGACTACAATCATCCCCATTGGGTGAATGGTGTCTCCAATCGTTTCGCAGCTCTATCCGGGAGCTGAGAATGGCCGCAGGGTACGACTTTTTCCAGCTAACAGCCACACTTACATGTACTAACCCTCCATGGAACAGGCAAACTTTGCCAGCCTTCTTGCGCAAAAATCTGAAATCCGATATCCGTCGAGCTAATTTTGTAATGTCTTTGGAATATTTGCAAAACGTGCTCGAAAAAGGCGAAATGCCGATTCAAGAAACATCTATCGTGGGCTTGAGTCGTGTGGCAGAGTAAGCTTCCCCTTCTCTTCGGTATCTATAGTGTCTAATATAGACAAGAGTCTCCGGTGATGAGGAGATGAATATCATCCTTCTCCGCCTTCTTGAGTACCTTGGTCATTCAAATCCATTCATTAGCGGTGTTGCATATACCGCGGTAAGTTTCTCTCCTTTGTTGCTGTTTGGTTATTACCCACTGACAATTACTAGCTCTCCAAGCTTGCCCAACATCTAGGAGGTACTCCTGGTGCGCTCTGCAGGCCGTTCTGGAGGACACTCTCTGTTATGATCGTAAAAAATATTCAAAGACGCCCACAAATGGCTGACCAGCTCTGTGACCTTCTCGGCATGAAGGTGGATAATTTTTTAAGGCTTACTGAAGTACACGTTTTACCCTACCTTGTTTTGATGAGAAAATATGACATCATGGAGCGCATAGGAGCCACCTATGACCAGAAGAAATCTCTTTACGAACTCTGCAATAACGATAATAACATTGCGGCGATTCTTACCCTTTTGCTGATTCAACCGTCAGCCGATCACAATGCTTTGGTTACGTCAATATTTAATGAGATATCGCCCAAGTTCCAGATCAACGACCTTTCAGGTTGGGTTCGGTTGCAGCCAATTCTCATTGCCTGTGGGCTTCTCAAGGGACTGGGAGATTCAACTAAAGGCGAAAGATTTAAGGTAAGAAAGGAGACTGGGTGATTTTCTATTAAGCTATATTGGAGCTCACATTAGAATCCCAGTACTACAAAGCGCTCAAGCTTGTTGCGTCTCTTACAATAAGAGGACCCGACTACGAAATTGACTCGTCGAAGGAGAATGAGCTAGTCGAAGAGTTTATTGAAGAAAATGTTCTGGGGATTATCACCGAGTTCGCCCATGTTGTTAACGATTTTCAAATCCGCCAACCCACTATTGAAAAGAAAAGGAATATCATCGCGATCGGGGAGATGATAAAACTAGCGAATGGCAATATCACTATTGCTCTGCCACAGGTTCGTATTGCGCTTACCCGCTTCTAAAGATATGAGTTGAAATTTTATTAATTCTTTCTAGATTTGTGCTTGTTTGCGATCGGCGTTGGAGATGCCAGAACTCTGCGATCACGCTTTCGCGTCCTGGAATATCATAATGACCACACTCGACGATGAGGAGATAGAACCTTTAATAGACCAGACGCTTTCAATAATTATTAAAAATTGGGATACATTTCAGCAAGAGAGCAGAGATCGTGCCTTGAAACTTGTTAGTCACATTTTCAATGAGCATAGAGCCCTGGTGGAACGTTCATTTGAGACCATGCCCTCATTATCGTCTATTCCTTCTATGAAGGAGTACGAGGAAGAGATCCAAAATCTTAAAAAGCGAATGGATGTTCAAACTAGATTTAAGATATTTTGTCGACGGTGCCAAAACGAGAACCAGGTCGTCGTTGAGCAAGCATTGAAGGAGCTTGTACAGGAACTACGCAGAAACGATGAATTCATTCATCGGTCTGTTACAAATGAGCAAGCAGACGGTATTGTTGCCCAGCTGATTCGGACCTTATTGGATTGCGGCTCCAAGTTTAACCCAGGCTCACCTATAATAATGGCACTCTCTGCTCAGTGTCTGGGTATTATCGGATGCTTGGACCCGAATCGAATTGAGTTGGTCAAAGACAAGAAGGACATACTCGTTTTATCTAATTTTGAGAGCGCTGATGAAACCTTCGATTTTATTTTATTTTTCTTGCAACACGTTCTGGTTCAAGCCTTCCTCTCCGCCTCGAATACAAGAGCACAGGGATTCCTTGCATACGCCATGCAAACTTTGCTGAAGCTTTGCAATCTAGGATCCATCACGATGCCCCGTTCTCAAGATACCATAGCAAATGGATGTTATCGACGATGGCTATCCTTGCCGGAACATGTGAGAAACACGTTAACTCCGTTCCTTAGTTCAAAATATACTGTTATCATTGGTGCTGTTGATACAGGCTGCTGTTATCCATTGTTTTCGTCAGAGTTGAGTCATCCCGAGTGGCTCCGAACTTTTGTTCTCGACATGTTGCAAAAGGGCGGTGTTGAAAATGCATCCATGATTTTCACCGTCTGCAGCAGGATAATTCGAAGCCAAGATATTTCCATCTCTTCATTTCTCCTCCCTTTTGCTGCTCTTAATCTTGCACTCAGCGGCGATCAAAGCCAAAGAGAGGAATTGAAAAAGGAGGTGCTGCACGTTCTCGAGTATCCCCTTCCCGAGGATAACCATCAAGTTCGAGAAGCCATAATCTTGTGTAGCGAGGTACGACATCTCTGCCCATTCTAGAAATATGAAAATGACTAAAATCAAAGTTGTGAAAGAGCATGTTCTCGGTCCTCGACTACCTCTCCCGATGGCTTCAGGGAAAGAAAAAGGAATATACTAGCGTCGCTGTGCCAAATGGCCCTGGCAATCGTACACAACGTGACCTAATTCTCAATTTATGGGGTTCACAAATAAAGCTAGTTGAGGAACTTCTCTCGTGCATACCTGCCGAAGTAATTTCCAAACGGGCCGTTGAATGCAAATCATTCTCAAGGGCACTTTACCATTGGGAACAGTATATACAGCAACAAAGGAATGTCAAAAACCACGCCCCCCTTGAACCACTTTATGAGAGGCTTCAGGAAATATACTCGCAAATTGACGAACCAGACGGTATAGAGGGCATCTCTGCTCATCTTCATGTTCTTAATATTGACCAACAAATCCTCGAACATCGTAAGGCTGGGCGTTGGGTGGCAGCTCAGAGTTGGTATCAGTTACAGCTTGAAACAGACCCGAGCAATAGCTACGTCCAAGAGAATTTATTGACATGTCTGAAGGAGTCTGGCCAACCCAGTATGATCATTGTCCATTGTTATTGAAAGAAACTAGCGTCATTCTAACTTAGTTCCAGATGTTCTTCTCAACCAAATCGGCAGCCTAGAGTTGGCAAGGCCTACGCTACCGAAGGTGCTCCCCATCGCTACAGAAGCTTGTTGGTTGACTAGTAACTGGAACCTCTTGGATAAATATGTGGAGATGGCGTCCTCTCAAGCTATTGAAGATTTTAACATTGGGATTGGATCAGCTCTGAGCGCTCTCCGTCACGGTAATCGCGAAGAGTTCAAAGACGTAGTCACCAAGCTGCGACTAAATATCGCGAAAGGGTTTACAGCAAATTCTGTAGCATCGTTCCAAGCAAGTCATGACAGCGTCCTTAAACTCCACGCTCTGAACGAAGTTGAACTGCTTGCGTCCCCCGAGCCCAAAAATCGAGATGATCGAATTGCGCTTTTCGAAACATTGGATCGTCGATTGGATAGTCTTGGTGGGTGTATTACCGATAAACAGTATCTATTGGGTTTAAGACGAGCAACTATGGAATTAGTGTAAGTTCTCAACAGGCTTTTCTTTTTCTCAAAGTTGTAAACATCACTGATTAGGGGAATGAAGCTCTTCATTTGATGCGTTCGACATTGCCTCGATTTGGCTGCGTGTTGCTCGTCTTGCACGAAAGGCTAATTGCACAGAGCAAGCATTCAACGCGGTTCTTCATGCTCATCAACTTGACTCTACTTCAGCTACCATTGAGCATGCGAGGCTTTTGTGGAAAGAAGGTGACCATAGAAAAGCTATACAAACTCTGGAGGGTGCAATCAAAGCGAATGCATTTACAGCACATGACTACGCCCTATCGGAAGATCCTTCAATATATGTAGCCCCTGATCGACAGCAAAAGCAAAATATGCTTACGGCTAGGGTATGATACATGTGGTCCTCCTTTTGCTTTGCTTGCTTCTACGTTTTCTTACTTTTGAGACTAGGCACACCTTCTGCTTGCGAAATGGATGGATAGTGCTGGCCAAACGCAGTCAGAAGTTATCGTTCAACGGTACAGACTAGCTATAAAATTCCACAGTCGGTGAGCTTAGAAAATCAATTCCAACTGTTCATATATTAATCGCATATATATGGCCTGCTAACCTCTCTTAGATGGGAGAAAGCACATTACTATCTTGGAAGGCATTATACAAAAATCCTGGATTCGGAAAAGTCGAAACCTCTGGGTAAAGAGGCTCAGATATAGTATGTATAGTATCTACTTGATTGCTTGATTGTCACAGCGCTAATACATTCGTATTTAGTCTGAGTGGTGAGGCATCGAAACTTGTCATTGACAACTTTCTCCGTTCCCTTGCCCACGGAAACAAATATGTTTTCCAGACCCTCCCCAAAATTTTGACTTTATGGTTGGAGCATGCTTCGGCTGTTGATCAACCCTTTGACCCTAAACGGGGCGACAATGAGTGAGAGCTACAGATGAATTATTGTAAGAGATTTTAATTGACTCTTTGCTAGGGAATTTCAACAATATAGCATGGCTCAGAGGAAGAAATGCCTGGATGATATGCATACCCAGTTACGGAAATATTTCAACAGAATCCCCGCTGCACTGGTATGTATTTACGTCTGCCGTTCTTTAACGATATCCTACTGATTTTCGAAGCTCTTCACGATCCTACCCCAAGTGGTCGCTCGAATTTGCCACAGCAACTCTACTGTCTATAGTATCCTTACACAAGTCGTGGTGAAAACGGCAAATTCCTTCCCACAACAGGCTCTATGGACGGTTCTCGCCGTGTTGAAGTCCTCCTCGAGAGACAGAGCATCTCGAGGAATGTCATGCCTCCAAAAAATAACGGTACGTCTGTTACTAGCTCATCAAATACGACTTTACTGATTAAAACAGGAGGCCAACAGAAAGACGAAAACTGACATATCGGTTTCGGATCTTCGGAATATCATCAACCAAGGACAGAAATTTTCAGAGGAATTGTTGAAGCTCTGCAATATCCGGATTGAAGAAAAGACGCCGAAAGTTAGCTTGGCACGAAACCTTGGCTTCAACCACAGAACAGCACCTTGCAGACTCGTTGTTCCGTTAGAAGCTACTTTGACTCCGATTTTGCCGACAAATCATGAACCAAGTTTCCTTAAATCGTTTCGAGCATTTCCTCATGACCCTGTTACCATCGAAAGTAAGCTTTACTTCCCAGTCCCGGTTTTAAAACATATCCATCTAATTTGTCATCACAAGCCGTACTTGACGATGCTCTCGTTCTCAGCTCACTACAGAAGCCCCGTAAAATTAACATACGGGGCTCAGACGGCAAAATCTACAGTCTTCTTTGCAAACCGAAAGATGACCTCCGCAAGGATCAGCGGTTGATGGAGTTCAACAGCATGATTAACAAGTTTCTGAAGAAGGATGTTGAATCGAGCAAGCGACGTCTATGTGAGTCTTCAAACATCAATGAAAAGGAAGTTGCAACCAGTTATTGTCCTAACTATGAGATAGATATTAAAACTTATGCTGTTACGCCATTAAACGAGGAGTGTGGGCTGATTGAATGGGTTGACAATCTAAGAACTTTGAGAGAACTCGTTATCAGACTTCTCAAGGAAAGGGGAATTACTCCGAATGTGTGTAGCGAGATATTGCAGACCCATCTCATGATTTCATTCTAAGGAGCTAATAATTTACAGTACAATGAAATCAGGCAATATCTGAACGAAGCTTGCGCCGACCCATCGAAGCTCTCACTTTTTACCAACAAAGTTCTTGCAAAGTAAGATTCTCCCCATCCTAAGGATGATAAGTTCTAATAGCAATGCAGATACCCACCTGTTTTGCACGAATGGTTTGTTGAAATGTTCCCCGAACCCGGTACTTGGTTTGCCGCACGATTGAAATACACCAGGAGCAGTGCTGTCATGTCCATGGTTGGTTATTGCTTAGGGTAAGAATCCTTCAACTTAGAGAGAGGGGGACCCAGAAACTAAATCTGCTTTAATAAACAGTCTCGGAGATAGGCATGGGGAGAACATACTCTTCGAGGAGGGTAGCGGTGGTGTTCTTCATGTTGATTTCAACTGTCTTTTTGACAAGGTATGCATTTAGCCCCTCTACATTATTAGGAACTGTTAACTCAGGTGTGCTAACCTGTTTTCTCTAGGGTTTAACATTTGATAAGCCGGAATTGGTTCCATTCAGGCTAACCCAAAATATGATCAACGCATTTGGGGCTTATGGATATAATGGTTAGACTTTCAACCCTTTGTTAGTACTCACAGCTCTAACCCAGACCCCAGGGCCATTCCGAAAGACCTGCGAGCTCACTCTTGGCTTGCTACGCCAAAATGAGGATTCCCTGATGACCATTCTGGAGACCTTCCTGCACGATCCCACAACAGATTTTATTGGGAGAAAGGTTGGCTCTCCTCCACTCTCCAATTAGTATCAGCGTGAATTAACAAAGCTAATAGGTATCAAAGAAACGAACAAACTCCAAAGTCCCGGATACCCCTGAGGGCGTGCTCGAATCTGTACGACACAAACTGCGAGGTTTACTGCCTGGGGAATCTGTTCCACTATCTGTAGGAGGCCACGTGGATGAGTTAATCATTCAAGCCACAAGTATTAAGAATCTAGCAGCAATGTATATAGGATGGTGCGCATTCTTCTGAGTTGTCCGAATCGTTCTGGCTATACATACTGCCAATGGACAGAAATTGAATATTAGTTGAAAAACTATGGACACGCGGTTATTCTCTGTAATGTGAACTAAGTATAAATTCGGGAAGCAACTAAAAATAATCGTATTGAGAACGCCATAGTATGACAGGACCTATAGAAACTTTGCCCCAGTGCCTGTCCAATTAAAGTTACACAGCCCTTTTAAAAAACCAACAAAACATTAGAACTCATGCGCCAGGAAAAGCTACCTCCTGCCTCCACCGTAACGAGTTCGACTGGGACTTCTGCTTCTACTCAGGCTTCTGCTTCGACTTCGACTTCGACTTCTATTCCTGTCACTATAGCTACTATAACTAGAGTCCCGTCTCCTACGGCGAGGGGGGCTGTCCCTGGTATATGGCCTTCTCCGTGGCGGAGGCGATCTGGAACGTGAGCGTGACGAATAAGAAGGTGACCGGCCACGTGGGGAACGGGATCTTGATGCTGAGCGCGGACGATAGAGATCATGTCTTTCCATGCCACGAGGACCTGGAAAGCGCCGTGGGGAGCCACGGCGCGGCGGCGGAGACCGATATCGACCGGGTGGCGGAGCTCTCCCAGTATCCAGACCTGATGTTCGACTGTATCCCCTACCTCCGTATGCAGGTCGATCAAATCGCCCAAAATCAGCCCTGTTCCGGGCAGGGGGCGGAGAGCGGGAAAACGTGCGACGCGGAAGTACGATAGAAACGTTGAGGACAGCACCATCAAGTTGCGCTTCGTGCATGTGCGAGATAGCAGCCTCCGCATCTGCTGCTTCGTAGTACAAGATATACGCCGTCCCTCTGTTTGTCATAACTGCAAACTTGCTTGTCAGACAAAGAATTGTCTCATATAATGATAATAGAAGAAAATTCTCTATCACATACACTGTGGGTTCATTGGCAGTTCCAGGCTCTGTATTTCTCCGTATACCCCGAAGATTTCGCGCAAATGGTTTTCATTCACATTCTTGGTTAACTTCTCAACAACGATCTACAATATTCATTAGCCTCAAAAGTGTAACGTGACAATAATACATCCATGTTCCCATATCATATTTTGAGAGCTGGGATGGAAGGCTTCATTTTGCAGAGCGCTGAGAGATCAATGACAAAGCAACCTACCTTCGAACTTGTTCGAGGAGGAGTACCGCGGCTTGGACTGCGCGTGTAGCTTCTATCTCGATATCTACGGTCGCTGCGGCCTCTGCTTAAGCTTCGGGTGGGACTTCTACTTCGTGAGGGGGATCTGCTTGCATCCCGATGTCCGTTACGTCTTGGCGACAAACCCGGTCCAGGGGTTCTCGACCGCGAGCGGGAGTGGGAGCGGGAACGGGAGCGGGACAGTGAAACATGTGAGCGGCGGGAGTGCGATCGCCGTGACGAACGTGAAGCCACAGGGGATTGCGACCTGCGACGGCCTCGAGAGTGAGCGGGAGAGGGAGACCGCCCGCGAGACGGCGAAGGCGATCGTGATGGCATCGCCACTTCAGGCAGTCATATAAATTATAGCCCTTCTTAGCAGAATAAGGACTATGGAAATGGAAAATAACGATGTTCTGAAATAAATAGTCTGCACTAAAGAATGCATGCGTTAGCAGCTTCAGCAAAGCTGTTTGCTTGTTATTCTGTAGGTGATTGAAGGTGTTGTTGTTAAGTTCCAGGGTTTGATCCGGAAGGGAAACAAACGACTTTGAGGTTCTTTGGACGCACGTGACCTGGACGGCTCCAGCAGCTCTGGGGGGAGAGAACTGGATGAATTTATATCCATTTGTTTACAGATCAAGAGATTATAATAGGAAATACAAAAGAATATGGACATCATCAAATAAACAATAGGTAAATATTTGCTTATAATTCATTCATTCCACCTCTTCATAGAGGGAGCTGGAGTTCTAGCTCATCTCTCCACCTCTCATAGCCCTCGATCACAGCTTCAGATATCTGTTTATGGACTTGGTTCAATGCATGTTCAAAATGCCTCCATGCTATCTTCTGTTCCTGGCCAGTTTCTTCCTCCTCATCCAGCGCTCCGTCTGCTGCAGTCTCGCAGATACTAACCATCTCCGCCCCAGAATACCCATCGGTCACCTGCGCCAGCCTGTCAATGTCAACTTCGTCGTCAACCTCAGATTTACTAAACCAAATCTTTAGAATCTCTTTCCGCGCCTGAAGATCTGGAGGTCCAACGTAGAGAATATTATCCAGTCTTCCAGGGCGCATGAGCGCAGGATCGAGAACCTCTGGCTTGTTAGTTGCCGCCACAACAAGAACGTTTTTCAGCTCTTCAATTCCATCCATCTCATTGAGCAAAGTCGTCAGCACGTTGATGCCGCCCTGGGACGGGCCATTGTTTCGTCGCGCAGCAATCGCATCAATTTCGTCGAAAAATATAATGCTTGGACTGGCTGATCGCGCCTTTCGAAATATTTCTCTGAGCGCCCTTTCCGACTCTCCCACATACATGCTCAGGATCTCAGCGCCCTTCACTGCCAGGAAGTTCAACCCAGCTTCGGTTGCCAGTGCCTTTACTGTCAGTGTTTTAGAACAGCCAGGAGGGCCGTAGAGCAGAATTCCCTTTTTACCGCTTATGTTCAGCCTTTTCATTCGATCGGGGAACTAGAAGCCAATTCTGTTAGTCATTGTGAAAACACAATAAACGTTGCGAGATTAGAACAATAAATTTAGATTATATGTACACACCTTGAGTGGTCTTTCTACAGCCTTCTGAAGCCGCCTCTTGATTTTATGCTGTCCGCCTATATCACTCCATCTCACTTTCGGAGTTTCCAGGAACACTTCTCTCATTGCCGTTGGGCGAGTTTCTTGAAGAGCAAGTGATATGTCTATATCCTCAATTTGAAGTAGATTCTCATCTGGAATCATAACATCGGAGGAAGAAACAGCTCCGTCCAAGATATGCTGCTCGCTGGGTCCCCCTTGCTCCAACTGTAGTATTTGTCGAGTTTGTGCTTTTCTACACGCAAGCTGCAGTAATGAAAAGAGGTCGGCACCGACATATCCATGAGTTCGCTCCGCCAATTTCGCCAGTTGACTGTCACTTGGTACAGCGGAAGTACCACGAATAGCCAATAAAATCTCTTCTCGACCCTCGGCTGTCGGAACTGGCAATTCGATCTCGACACCAAATCGATGGGGGGTTCTCAGTCCATCATCAACATCATTTGGGTGGCGTGTGCACGCAGCCACAAGAACTTTCGTATCTTGTATAGTATCCAGGACTTCGCACAATGCCGAAGAAATTGATGGATCATTAGAGGTATTTTTGGGAGCGAGAAAATCCAATTGATCAATAGTAATAAGACACGGCTGTGACTGAACAGCTTCGGAGAAGGTCTTGCGTAATAGAACCTCTCCATCTCCCCTGTTTTTATTCAGCACAGAGCTATTGATGGTGAGCACCTTCTTCCAACCCGCGGCAGCAAGATTAGAAAGTAGCGTACTCTTCCCCGTACCTTTCGGGCCATAGATCAGAATTCCGCCGCTATTTCTGTAAAAAGATGGCATAGTTACTTTATTTTCCTGAATAGTAAAGTCGCGAAGCCGCTCATTGATTTGCGTCATTTGTCGACCAAGTCCACCCAGCCCGCAGGATGGCACGACAAGTGAGGACGGTAGAGTCTGACGTTGTAAAGCCTGTCCAACAAGCACCTTAGACTTTGCAGTGAAGTGGAAGATCGTGTTAGTTCGACCTTGGATGAGCGGTTCAATTTCCACGACCTTAAAAGCTCTGCGGATGCCCTTGAGCTCTAGGTCGAACATCATTCCTTCTGATAAAACTTCACATTTTGACAAGGGATATTCAAGACCCCATGCCCAGTGTTCCCTGTCAGCTTCCTGAACAGGACCCACGCCAGAAAGTTTCGTGGCATCGGTGCATTCTTCAAGACGTACAACTGCTATATCTTCTAACGGTTCGTTCTCTCTCGAAATCGAAACCTTCTCTCCCAGCTTAAATCCATATAGATCTTGTAAAACTTTTGAGGTCTGCACAATTGTATCTTGTATTTTCTCCGGGGCCGTCCATGCGATGGCGGTTTTTGGAGAGCCTCCAGCCAGTTCCAACCGGCATAGATCGCCAGCTCGGATTTTCACAAGTAGCAAGGAGGAAGGGGAGAGACAGATACGAAAGGAGTCTCTCTGGTCGTTTCTAGGCTGCTTCAACAACGGTCGCACCGTGAACTTGGGTGGCTCCACCGCCATTACGAACCCCACTTCAAGATATCGATCGTGATTGAAAACGCACTTCCAAAGGCCAGAATAAGTAGGCTAGATGAGTTTTGATCGGTAGTTTGCTTAATAGTAACGTCAAATGAATTGTCGAAGCTTCAACACTGTCCATCCTTGAGCAGATAGATGTCAGTAGACTATATGTTTCGTTTAAGAGATACAATTGGGCTAGATATACCTGGTAACTTTCTGCGTATGGCTATTATAGAGCGCGCCGCCGGATGCTCTAGATTGTAATTCAAGCAGGTAGCTAATAAGCCCGGCTAAATGTAAGAATCTCTGGTCGTTTGTCGTGCTTGTTCTGTTCTTCTTCTCATCGGGTGTTGGGAAAAAATAAAAAGGTCCAACAACCTATAAGATTGACCATTTATTCTCAAGGTCAGATAAGCGGTGCTATAGTTAACTAACTACCAAATTCAATTACCCACATCACATTTCTATATCTGCATCAATGATGTTGCTCAACAGCCCTTTTACCATCTACAGGGCTACAATTGTCTCAGGAGCACTGGGAGCGCAATAAAGGCACAGAAGCTGACCATCCGATACGATAAATTCTTCCACCTCCCGAATCCCAACAATGAGCCTTCTATCCCCGTCGTAGCCCGCCCAACATGTTCCGTCTTACTCGTTTCTCAGCATACATATGGACTCTTTCTCTCAAGCCATCACCGCAATGCCGACGGCTATCTACATTGGCTCCTCCTGAAGGGAATGAAGGGAAACAGGGAATACATGAAACCACACCCGACGAAGCCTCTGTAGAAGGTGTTACAGCGGACGTCAATTCGCCCGGCGCATCGGGCCAAAATAAATGGTGGCCATCTGCTACTGACGAAATATCCCTCAAACATGCCGATTTACTTAAAGCGTTTGGGCTGGCTTCAATACCTCAGTCGGATGACACGGGTGTGGAAATAAACAAGCTCGGCCAAATACGTATCACGAATGAGGAACAAAGTCAACAGAAGCACAAAACGGCTCTTGTGCTATCTCGCGCCCCGGCTTGTCTTGATGAACGTGACTTCGTGTCAATTTTGGGACCGGGGAAATATCTTCGTCAATGGAGAGCTGCCAGAGGACTTGAGAAAAGTGAGACTTCCTCTCTATCGTTTGTGAAACGAGAGTTCATGGGATGTATTTCCTATGGTATGCGCAAAACTAACAACTTATATCTGCGGATGGTATATAGTAATCCCCATGCGCTTTCATGATACCCTACGGCGCTCGAACACATGGATCCTGATATTTTCCAGCCCCGCCTCCGCAAAGGAATTCCAGGATAAAGTCCACCGCCTCCACAAATTTGCCCGAGACAATCTCCCCACCTCCCCCTTAACTAAAATTGTTCCACCACCCAACTTCAGCGCTGGCGGTGCACATCAGCATCGCTTAAGCGACTACACACTCACAGCACCATGGCTGCGACTTTCCCTAGTTGCCCACCTAGCACCCTTCAATGACAAAATCCAAGACGCGATCGATCTTCATAAAAGCCTGGCATCCAAGCGGATCGATGGCAAAGCAGGTTTCCCGGTTCGCCTGTGGCTCGAGAACCAGTACCTCTTCACTCTTAAGAAGGAATACGTCCGTCGATTGCTTGTGTGGGATGGGCAGAATAGGCGGACGCCATGGCAGCTGATTGAAGATAAGGATACGATTACCTCGCTGTCAGGGCCCTTTTCAAACGAGATGTTAACCCCGGATGAGGATGAGGTTCTGGGGAGGGGGGAGAATTGGCGCATTGCGTTCCAGAGCGCGGCTGAGGCTAAGAGGTTTGTCCGCACGTGGCATAGGAGTGTTTTCCCTAGGCTGGATTCGTTGCTAAATTATCCGGATCCGCCGCCTATAATCAAAGCTGAGTGTTTATTTGAAGGCGATATATTTTGATGGCACTTATTTTGAAAGGAGACTCTGGACCCTTGAACTACGGTGACCCTATATATGTAATTTTATATATGTTTTTCAGTACAATTTTTTTTTTTTTTTTTTTTTTTTTTTTTTACCTGAGCGTAACCCGCATTAACCATTGTACATTAAGAGATCAAGATATCAAATGAAAATATTCAATGTCACTAATGGCATCGATCATTCACAATAGACAAGATGTTAGGTATTAATATGGGTATCAATGTGTAGTAGCATGCTGCGTAGATATGAAACGATGCCTTACACGATGAGAAACAACCCATAACATTGAACATTTTCAACAGCCACCAAATTTTTGATTTGCATTGCCATAAGATATCGTGATTCAATATCAGCCACACTTGCGTTAATAGGGTAACTCTTTACATTAAATTGACGCAAAATAGGTTCACTTCTGGAGGGGCGGATATCTGTGTGGAATATATGAAACAAAAAACAGCGCGCAAAAAGACGAAATGACGCCTTCTAGAGGAATAAACATAGACAGTATGGGGGGGGAAAAAAACTAGGGAAATAGAGGACTGAAAAATAAAAAAGAAACATGTGAAACGCAGTAATAGAATCGTATCGAAAGAGGGAAATCGATAGGGCACACAGAAAGCAACATATGAGAAGAGAATGTCAAAGGGGATGAAGAATCGGATTGGCACGAGTTGCTGGGAAGATAGGGGGAAGTAGGTGCGGAACCTGACGACGTCATACGTAAAAGCCGAGTTTAATCGGCTGCAGGGGGGAGAGCTGAAGGGCAGTGTGCACTGGCAACAAGACTTATGTCCCTTAAAAAGAACAGGAGCAATAGAAGGAAGCGAGAGAGAAAACAACAGCAAGCATGAAAAAAACATGCTGATAATCCACTTGCAAACAAGAAGAAACAAATGCACTCTAACAACATTTCCCCCCAAGGTTACTGCCTGCCCCGCCGCCTTGATGGTCTATAATAACACCCTGGGAGCCGGCTTGTTCAGACTTAGTTGTGTCCATGACTCTCTTGATATCAGATGCGAGTGTATAAAAAGCCTTTTCAACGTTGATATTGTTCTTGGCGGAGACTTCGAGGAACGGGATGCCTAGTTCATTGGCTAACTGCTGGCCTTGCTCCGTCGATACGGCCCTCTTCTCTTCCCAGTCGCATTTGTTGCCAATAAGCATTTTATGAACTCCTTCGCTTGCATGTTGTTCAACGTTTGAGAACCATGTTCGGATGTCTTTGGCGAAGATTGAGAAGAAGGAAGAAAACAAACGTTAGAAAGGGTATTCCATAATATTAAATCCATAGGTGATCCAACATCAACGCAGGTGCATTCAAAGGGAGGTGAAACTCACTGTTGAAAGACCGCTCATCGGTCACATCGTAGACCAGAAGTATTCCCATGGCGCCGCGATAGTAAGCCGTGGTAATCGTCCTGAATCGCTCCTGTCCAGCCGTATCCCATATCTGCAACTTAACCCGTTTGCCGTCGAGTTCTATCGTCCGGATTTTGAAGTCAATTCCAATTGTTGTGATGAAAGATGGGGTGAACGAATCCTCGCTGAAGCGCAATAGGCAGCAAGATTTCCCAACGCCGGAATCACCGATGAGCAGGAGTTTGATCTGGGTTCACGGGTATAAAGTTAAATTTTTTTTAAAAAAAAAACAAGAAAACAGCACTACCAAGGGGAGTAATCAATTTCGGGGGTTTGAGGGAGTGAGTATTGTCATTCCAGGAGCAGAAGAACATACCAAAAAATCGTAATTTCGTGTACCGGCCATGGCGATATCCAAAGCGGGAAGGGGAGGAAGATGATTATTGTGAGCGGTGGGATCGAGGCGTGGAGAGGTTTGTGAAGGGGATTATACAGAACCGGATGAATCCTGCAAGAAACGAGAGAAGTTGCCGTCGAAAACCTGAACCTGACTCAGCTTTAGCTCTAGTACAGGGAGGCAATCTGTATGTTTTGTCGGGATCCGAATGAACGGGGAGTTGGTTTGAAACGGCTGGCAGAGCGTAGAACCGTCTTCGAAACTTGGAGGCTGAGCGCGGGAGGGAAAAAGAGCGGCGAGAGTGCTGCTTAGGATATTGTTATTGACTGATTAATGGAGTATCTGAACGGAGCATGATAGAGTGCAGCGAAGTAACTAAACACCAGGCTCCCGGTTTAAGTATGGTTTGGCTGGTGAGTGATGAATGGTGGGTCGTGAGTGGTGAGTGGTTGAGTTGGGTTGGTTGGTTGACACTGGTTTGGTAGGTTGTTTTTAGTTGGCCGTTGGCTGCCGAAGGGAGCTGGGGGCCGGCAGTATGGGGGGTACCTCGTGTTTGCCCGTCCAGCCTACACAAATCGAGGTACCGTGCCGTTGGTTACGTAATTAACTCATCATCTCATGGCCTCAGGCGGCAGAATTGCGGGCCCCATTTTTATATCCGCAACTTTTCTGCATATTACGATGCAAAAGAATGAATAATAAACCAATTATAAGTATCCTCCATATTTAGCCCAAGCTCCTAATCCAAGATCTTGTTTGAAATGTATTCAAATGTTGCGATTGTGACAATTTATCCCACAGAAGGTAACTAGATAGTCCCCTGGTTGGATCAATAATTGCATTGCTGAAACCGTCATTTGCGACTTCAATTTTATATAGTTTGACTTGCCCATGCCATGCAACAGATGCTAAAGCCCCCCGGCCTCCAGTTGTTTGAGTAAACTTTTACTAATTATCATTCTGACACCCTGCCTGGACAGACCCACAAAATTGGACTCTGCATATGGCGCCCAGAGACGGCTGGGAATCGCAACTCAAAGCTAAATGGAAGCTTGTAATGCCAGCAATCCTCTTAGAATATCCTATCCGATATAGGATTCTCACTTACCCCCTCTGGGGATGAGGGGTAGCATGGTTCATTAATATATTTTGAGTGTCTTACACCCTAAGTTAACCATCGCAGTTTTGATTCTTCACGAAGTAATAGGAACCCAACACGTTCTCAGGCATTTATAGAGATCAAGAACCGGCTCTTCAAAAACGACAATACCTACCCAATTAATATCAACTTCATTCCTATAGCCATGTCAGAAGAAGAGCAGAAACGCGGGGAAGAGATCCTCCGTGTCTTTAAAGAAGCTTTCGGCGAGCTTCTTGCCGCCGACCCAGCTGCCTTCAGAGTCAAATTCCGTAAAATGGCAGCGTCAGCCTTTGCCTTCTACCGCGGCTCTGCATCTCTGTTCTATAATGACTTGCAACACGAGCAGAAGGGCAGTCCCTACCTCGACGAGCACACCAGCCGAGTCTGGATCCACGGCGACTTGCACGCAGAGAATTTCGGCACGTACATGGACAGCCAGGGCTGTCTGATTTTCAACGTCAACGACTTCGATGAAGCTTATATTGGCCCTTTCACCTGGGACGTCAAGCGCTTCGTCGCCTCTATTGCACTTATTGGCTACGCAAAGGCCCTTAGCGATAGCCAGATTACCACCCTAGTCAACACATATGCTGCTGCGTATCGTGAGCGTATCAAGGCCCTCGCCACCAATGTGAACGGCCATTGCAAGGACGAGCACGGGAATGTCCTTGGCTTCAAGTTGGACACCGCCAAGGGCTCCATGCTTGGCGCACTGAGAAACGCGCGTTTTAACACCCGCATTGGCCTTCTCAATAGCCAGACGGAGATCCATGACTTCGATCGTCGTTTCCGCGCGGGCGCTGGCACCATACAACTTAACGACAAAACGCGAGCCAAGGTCCTCAAAGCCTTCGACCAGTACAAGGAGACGCTACCTGATTCAAGCGTCCGCAGCCGTCCCCAGGCTCAACGGGTCAAGGACATTGTTGGCAAACGCGGCGTCGGCATTGGCTCAGCTGGCCTGCCATCATACAACCTCCTCCTCGAAGGGAACAGCGACGCTTTGGAAAACGATATCATCATATACATGAAGCAAGCGCAGGTCCCGGCTGCGTCAGCTTACATTTCTGACCCTGCCATCTGCAGCTACTTTAAGCATGAGGGACACCGGACTGTGATCTCGCAGCGGTCCCTGCAGTCATATGCGGACCCGTGGCTTGGTTGGACCGAACTGGATGGCGTCGGCCAGTTGGTAGCAGAGGTTTCCCCCTATGCGGTGGACCTCGACTGGTCGGACATTAATGAGCCGCAGGACATTGCTGCCATCGTTGCTGATTTGGGAAGGGCTACGGCCACGATGCATGCAGCGGCAGATAATGAGAGTGGACATTCGGAGCTGGTTCCGTTTTCCACGGAGCAATCCATTAACAAGGCCATCGAGGCGGATGAGAAAGGGTTTGAGGAGTTGCTTGTCAAGTTTGCGCATGAGTATGGTGCGAAGGCACAGCGTGATCATCAGATTTTTGTGAACCTGTTCCGCAATGGGCAGATTCCGGGCCTGTGAGGATGATTGGCTTTTGTAGCTGCACAGTACGTACTCCTTAGGCGTTACTGTCAGCAGTCTACTCTAGGAAATAACCTTGGAAAACCCAGCGGCTTTCAGCGTTGAATCCTTTTTGAACCAGGGCTTAAAAGTCTCACTGTCCTTTTCGTATTCTGGTAGTTATAGCGTATCTATTAGGTTCAGGTCAGAAATAGTAAATGACATACCTCTCCGCTCCTTAATATTCTTCGTTATATTCTCCTATTTTCCTTCTGTTTTCTACTTCAAGCCACACCAGGCCTCTTCCTTGCCGTATTGTTGAATATAGAGTGTTTGTCTTTTGGCCCTACTTTGCTAATACTATCTTGCACTACCATTTGTCCACTTTTCCTTTGATTTAGTTGTGCCAAAGTCGTAAATTATCCATAAGTCACCTGGATAAGTTAAATAACTGAATGTATGGAACGCGAGAAACGGGCTAGGATTAGTCATCCAGAACTTGACTTGGCTAGTTTAATGCAACTGTCAACAATAATTAGACAATTGAGCTCTGTTCTTCCTCTTTTATTTTATTTTATTTTATTAATTTTATTAATTTAATTTAATTTAATTTTTTTTTTTCAAATAGTTTTGGATCTTCAATCGGCGCCCTTGCAGCCCTTCAGCAACTATAGCTAACAGGCGGTGTGTGCCTTGCATGTGTTAAGGGTGATATATCAGCTCGAACAAGGTCAAAATGCTCATATATCAACAGGAGTTGAAACTTGCTCCCTTGGAATCATTCTTCCCTCAGTGATAACTATCCGGTAGATATCCACCCCTCGTCCCGTCTCAATTCTTTGATGTGAGAACAGGCTCAGGCTGCTTTCGTCCGCTTGGTAGGCTTCAGGTCGAGCCTACGGGCCCAAACAATGGAGTGACCGTGACAGAGAGAATTCCAGACTCTGCACCGTACCAACACGGAGATAATCAAGTCAAAGCTTGTTGAGCTGAACACGATACCAGACAACGTGCAGTACCCCTTCAAAGGGGGAATTCGTCTGACACAAAACATGCTGGCGTGTTGTGCAAAAGGCTACATCCTTCTCTGAATTTGCTGATGAATGTCTTAAGCACTTTCCGATGCTCTATGGATTTGAGCGACTTTCTTGCTCAGATTGAAAGAGAAGAACGCCGTGCCGGGTTTTGCCCCGGACCGTTTCGATGAAGGTATCGATCACAGGATGGAACAGATTCACCCCGAAGATGATGGTGAACAACGCCGTAGGAAAGGAGGCATTTTTGTCAATCTTCCACCCCGAAATCTTGGATGAGATTTTCAACCACCTCCCAAAACTTACTGATGTATGGAATTTAGAAAAGGTCTACTCTCGAAGTGCGAGCACCAGCGTTTGGATCTCTCTAGGCCATAGGTTTGTGACATGTGATGTTCAGTTTTCCGAAGGCTCCTTATATACTATTAGCGGGCGTGTCAAAATTTCTTTCGCATCCTTGAATATGCGGAATACAGATTCCCTCGCACCAGAAGTTTTTGTCTGGTGTGGGAATGTGTAGACCGAGTCCTGAGAAATATAGACAAAATTCGTGGCTCAGGTCTTGCAATACCCGATGTTCCATCTTCAAAATTCGTTTGGTTGCAGTGAACTGGAAAAGGAGATTTTATTGTCACATATCACCCAGGCTTCTCAGGTGACTTTGCATTTTGTCTCTCTCCAAGCTGCCAAGTGATTTACAAAGTCTCAAATTAAGACAAATTCCAGGTGAGATCCCCAATAACATATAGGAGGGTGGCTAGTGAATAAAATATCTTTCACTACGGATAAAAATGAATAGGATCAAGGCAAGCTTTCGGATATTTTGGACATGTCTTACAATGTGAGTTTTCCAAATAGCCTTCTTGCCTTGCCCCTTGAAAACTTCTGGAGGAGAATAAACAGAGTTACTGACCCCCTCTCAAGTCCGTTGGAACTTTAAAAACTAAGCAATCTCTATCTACTTCGCCCCTGGTCGAGATATCTTGGGAGGGACGCCCTCCCCCCAAAATCTCTGGTTCAAGTGCGACCTATCGACTTGGGACCCCAGTTGGCAATGGCAGCAAACATTTCTACTTCACTCGTAATATCGACAAAATATCAAAATCAACTACTATACTTAACTAACAATCCCCAATTTAGAGAGTGTCGATATTCTGTTTGATGACGGCAAGCGTACCACAATAGGGTATCCAAAGTTGGGGTTGGTGTGCAATGGCTTGTTCCTCGTTGGTCGTGATATGTATTGGAGAGGAGATCACCACTGTTGCGTATTCCTTTTAACCTTCCTACAATGATTGCCCCTCAAGGCTGGTTCTCCCATTACATACGGCTATGCTCTGGAGAAACTATACAAACTTAGGTCGCTGCGTTGTTTCTTGGGACACTAACGCGAAGGATTGGGTGGTCTTGAAGCTTCACTCGGACTCTCCTTTTCGTCTAATGTGGGTTAGCTGATCCTGTGTGAATAGGGTAGCTCTGGTCGTTGAATTCTATCGACTTACTAACAGGTTTTGGAAACAGGAAGAATGGAAGCTTCAGACCTTTGAATGTTTTCGTCCGCTCGAGTCTCTCTCCGCAGCTACCCTACCTCCACCAAAAAGTCATTGAACACTCAGAATTGGAGATCGTCAATGTCCTCTTCAGGATGCTTCGGGGGGACCGGCCGTTACTGATAAATCTTGGATTACGGGAGCTTTTCTGAAAGCAATACCCGAAAACGGGGGTTTATCATGGTTAACATGCAGGTCCGTCGTTTGATAGAATTGTTGGCATGAGGATATCACCCAGCTAATCCCAGCCCAGCCAAAAGGAAAGAAAGAAACATCCACATAGACAAGATTTATCATAAAATCATAGCAGCCGCCGGCCCTTTCCCATGTCATCTCTATCAAGCAGAATCATCAAATATATATACTTTTACATCATTACATGAAAAGCAAAACATTTTCTACATATTTCCAAATACGCACATAAAACTTCCGCTTACTCCTCACCTCGTCCACTTCGCATAAGTCCATCTCACCCTCTCCAAAACCCTCAATTGCCTCACAACCCCAACCCTCACATTCAACAACTCATTAAGATCTTCCTTGAACTCATGATACGTAGCTCCAGGCAAGAGGTTCTGAGCCCGTTGGTCGAGAATGTCAGTTTCGTAGATTAATAGGCCGTGGTCTTTGTAGGAGAGGATGCCATCCTGGGTTGTGGTGGAGGCGGTTAGGACGCGGTCGACGGCGCTAAGGTGAGGTGTAGGAGGTGTTAGACGGACAGGACGAGGTTTTCCTTTTTCTTTCACCCACTTTTTTGGGGGCAGGTGAGAGGGGAGAGAGAAAAAAGTTAGTTGGTTACATACTTAAGTGCACGCGTCATCTCACCCTCCCTCTTCCCGCGTCTCAACCCAGCCCTATTCCCAAATATCCCATAGATCCACGAAAACACCGCGTACGAAACAAGTATTCCAGGCGTAAGTCCGACAAACCTGGCCAAAAATCGTCAGCGTACATTTCAAATATATATGTATATAAAATAAAAAACCATACCACACAAGGGAAGCAGTGATGAAATAGTATACATACCCAAACACCAATTCCTGACTTTTCAACAACGCATCAATCCCCCCCATAGCAATCTCAACATCTACCTTTGTTTTCTGAATCTGTATAAGCAACGCCCGCACCAGATCACCCCGGACCGTGCCCACAAACGGCCTCCTCAAATCCCTCTCATACGCCACAAGCACAGGCGTCAAATCCCCTTCGCGAACCTTAGCACGCAGCGCGTCCGCATCCGCATCCACATTCGCATCCGCAGTTGCATCCCCCTGTGACCAGGAGGTACCCTGATGCCGCCCATCCATCGCAAAATCAACAACCATCCTCTCCAAACTCGACCGATCAGCCTCCAAACTTGCCTTACTCATAATCGCCACCTCACTCCTCTCATCATGGCGAATCGTCCCGACAAGCCGCTTGAGTGGATCGATAACCCAGTTCACGCCGAAGTCAACCGTCGTCGCGCCCAGCTCCGTCAGCCAGGTCCAGAGCTCCTCGCGCCTATTGGTGAGGGTGTTGAGCACCGTGCCGAGGGAGAGGAGGAGGGTCGTGGCAGGAATCCAGTAGCGGATGAGGCGGGACGGGTAGCTGTGGGCGTTTAGGCGGGTTTTGGTGGAGTGGTGGTGGGATGGGAGAGAGGTTTCGAGGATGTGGAGGAGTTGGTGGAAGATGTGGGAGGGTTGAGTGGCAGAGGGGAGGTGGTGGGAGACGGTGGTGAAGATGGTGTCTTCGAAGAGGGTGATTTTGGAGTTGTCGTCGAGAGTGCTGATGTTTTCTAGAACGGTGCGGAGGAGGATGACGGTTCGGCTGATGGTGTCTTTCCAGTCGCCCAGGTTGTCTAAGCAGGCGTTATCGGCCTCATCGTTATGACTACCACGATAGTGATCAGAACCGTGCGTATGTCTGTGGGCATTCTGATCCCCGCCACTCTCATCCCCCATCTCAAACACCAACCCCTCCTCCACCAACAACCCAATAGCACATGCATGAATCTCCCTCATCTTCTTCAGCTGCTTCCTCTTTCCACGCACCTGCGACCTACAGAGCGCAAAGGGAGTGAAAAGGCTCATCTTAGCCCGCACCAGAGATCGCTCCCTGATATTCTGATGGACGATTGTGTAGAAATCCCTCCAGCGGTCCGTGAAACTCACTGCCACAGAGGACCCAGCATGGTGAAGTTGTTGTTGCAGCTGCGGCTGTTGTCTCTGCAGCTGGAATGTTTGGAAGATATCCCGCGCCTGCCCCCAGAGTCTCAGGGGAAGGGTTTGCATGGTATATAAACCAGTGTAGAAGTGGGAGCTAAGGACTTCGTCCCAATACCAGATGCCGTCGTTTAGGGGCAGGCTTTCTTCCAGCAGTGCGCGCATGACGAGGCCCAGGGTCTGGACTGTGGCCTTTGCGGCAACGATCCATTCGAGGTCTGTGATGTAGGCATCTTCTCGTACTCGTTCTTGATTTCTCTCCTCTTCCGCCTCGGTGGGTTTAACCTCTGCGCCGGTCTGAACGGAGATATATTGACGAAGGAGGTGGAGGAGATGGGAGCGGGTCAACAAGGGGTGTGAAGGGGAGCCTACGGAGAGAGCTCTGGCGATTGTAGCGAAGGTGTGTATGGTTGTTGCAATGGTGGTGGTGGTGGTGGTGGAGGAGGAGGAGGAGGAGTCATCGCCTTTTGCTAGTAGAGATGCGGCTGCGGCGGGCTGCTGGGCTATTGCTTCAGAGATGTGCAATTGGATCCTGTCGATTTGAGCATCTAGCCGACGTACTTGGCTGGGTATTGGTTAGCATGGACGGCAGATAGAGTGCGTATATTATTGGGTATATCTATAGCATTCTCTATGGGGGAGGCTAAGGGGGATGGGACAGAGGCATAGAGATTGTCCTGCAACGTACTCGGAGACGATGGACATTCTGCTGGATAGCTGGCTACAGGATGGAAAAGGATTATCTATCCGGACTCATGTAGGTAGTAGTCAGGGAATTGGCGGCATTGAGGTGGTATTGGGTATCATGTTAAAACGGGCATATATTAGTTAACAGAATAGATATACTGTTGTTTTTGACATCGGGGAAGCAAAGACAAGGCTGACTTCCGTAGGAATAATGTGATACGAACTCATCGAGATATTCACATTATACTAAACATTTTAAAATTACACATAGAGTAGACCATGTAGATATATATGATAGGTTGCTTGACTTAATAATTGATCTGAAATGTAAGACTCCCAATATTCAAACATTTAAAAACTAGATGTGAGCATGGATGAGCTTGAAGCGGAAATATCAATTAAAACTTCACCAGGAATGTTTGGTGTCCAAGGCCGAATTGTGCTATCATTGTGCTTCCTGCAAAAACCAAGTGAAAATTCGTGACTTTCCAGCCACGCCACCTGAAAAAAACGCATGATAGTAATCTCAAAATCCCCAGAAATAAACAAACCTTAGAATCTTTATAGTCAATTTCAACATTATCAAACAACGCGTTTTTGACCTTGTTTTTGCTCTATCCCCTCGTCCGTCTTTTGATGCACAATTAGCGCGATTTCATTAGTGTATATTATACGTGATATTATTGACTAAATGGTGTAATATTGCGTACTATTTGGTATTGGTGTATTATAATAAGCTAAGCCTAATTAGGTTATATAGATTCTTCAGCTCTGCCAATGCCATGGAATTCCTCCCAGCATCTAGTTTTCAAGCAAAGAGCCACATTCTTACATGCTGAGCATCCAGATCTTGATCTAGGAGCTTGTCTACTCTCCTGCTGACCTAGCTTTCGCATATATCAACACCAGACACAAATTGTAGGCTTTGGTAGAGAAATTCGTTGATGAATAAGCTCTAGATTTGATCACTCATGGGGTAGATCATCATGGATCTTCAAATTGAATTCAAAGAGTTGCTGATAGAGCTTCTCACAGAAGCTTATATGAGTAGGAAGCCTAGAGACTCCCTGCTGCTTCATATATATATACTGAAGCCTCCACGCATTGACAACAGCAGCATCCAGAATCCAATAGAAAATAGGCAACCAGGTCCGATAGCTCACTCTACGAGAGCTATAGGAAGCTCTATACTGATTTGCTAGGTCTCCTCCATTCATATTATGATTATAGTCATCAATAATCTTTGGAATCTGAAGGTTCTTCCTAGGTTGATTCTCAAAGACTGGGCGGACTATATGAGCATTGGTAGAGAGTTCTCCAGGCCGTCTTCAAAATCATTCAATGAAGGTGTCCAAAGAATGAATAGTAGTAAGAGCTAATACCATATTATTGTCTTGCCAGGCTAGACAGAGGACCTTATTCACTTCCATAGCATGTAGAGTATTCCATAGAATACTCTTTTGAATGCTCTCAAAGCTCTGCTAGAATAGGGAGAACCTGATTAGAGCAGGTAGTCCCACAAGCTCCATAGTCATGCTCTCAAAGTAGGTGGAATAATTGAACAGAGGTAAAGTAGTTGTCTAGGTAAATTGAGTATGGAGTGACTTGTTGATTAGCTGACTCTTCAGCAGAAGGCCTAGTAGGAGCTTCACTAGTAGAGAGAGCTTTGATGATAGAAGCTTCAATGATAGGAGTCTCAGTAGGAGGTCTAGTATTTGATTCCTCAGTAGGTCTAATAATAGGGATCTTAGGAAGCTGCTGAATCATATTCATGACCATGGATCCAGTTCTGGTAATTCCTGGAAATTGAAACATAGGCATTATGCCCTGCCGGCGGCTAGACCAGGAAAATGTCCAAAGATATCCATGTTCTGCTAGTCCAAAAACCTTATATCCCTGAGGAATTGGCTTAGCAGGCATCTTATATGTGTGCTGACTTCAACCAAAGCATCTAATCATGATTTCATCAATGGAAATCTCTGAGTCAGGGGTGTAATATTTCCGGCAGGCATTATGGAAGTTAGAAGCCAAAGGCTCTATCTTATACCACCAATCTTTATTCTTGGAATCTGGCTGGCGAGCTTCTTGAGGGTTGGATATATGGAAATAGTGCTTGATTTGCTCAAAACATTTCAAGGTCATATAGGATTGAACTGAATGAATAGGACCTTCTCTCAGATTATTCCTCCAATAATGATCAGTCCAGATGGATTTATGAATCCCCATATAGATAAGAGCTCCTAAAAGACCTTTATTTCCTCTGAAGTGGTCTTTTTCCATGGATGTTGCTGAATAGAGGTCTTCAATTCCTTAGATGTTTCCATAAATATAGAGGGTTCTGCAGAAGCTTCCATAGGGATTTCCTCTTTCTTATCCTTCTTCTTATCCTTCTCAAAGCTCTCTGGAGCTTCATTATCAGTATCTCCATCATCTCCCTTCAATTTTGCATAGAGATTGGTTGAATTGATGATATTGTGAATGGAATCTTCAGAGAAGAATAAAGGTAAATAAGGCATAGGGGCTTTGAACATCAATATCTGGTGGAATATGAAGATTTGGCAGCCGTGAACTAGGTTCTAGAGGAAGAAATTTTGACTGATTCTAAAGGTGGTTATCTCTGCAATGACTTCCTCAACTGTTCACTTGCGTTTTTTGTGTTGTTTTTATGTGTTTTTATCTGGCTCTAAGAAAGGAATTAACTAGTTTAAACATAGTAGTAATTGAAAATGAGAGAATTATCTCCAGAACCCACAGGTAATTCCATGGTAGGAATACTTGTTTTCATAGCTGGCTGCAGGGTGGGTGGGTGAAGCTGAGAATAATGGAAATATTCATAAAATCGCATTGGCATGCGTTGGGAGTGATCAAACATGGTTTTCACAAATGAGTAGAGATGTTTGAACCAATAATCTTACATACATTTTAGTATGAGAGATTATTGGTCAAATCATTCATTTTAACTTGGTAGTCAATACACTGACGTAACTGCACTAAAATGTGCAAGTCGCCAGACGAGGAGATACTTGTTTTCTTAAAGATCTTTGAGGGAAGACTCCGACGGATACCTGAACTGAGACATGACTAGTGTGAGTTGGGTGCTTAACAGGGACGAATGAGCTAGTGCAACCTGAGGCAATGTGTCCAGGTCTTGCACAGTTGATGCACACGTCTTTCCGCAGCGTCAGCACCAGAGATCCCAGAGACTCTGAACAGTTTCGCGGCAGTGATAACTGTGGCGTGAGAGGCCAGGTACATTGCACTAGGTTGCCAGTCCATGGAATCGGTGGAAGCGGTGATTGTGCGGGGTGAGGTTGAAATGAACCTGGAAGCGCAGCTCTGAATGGCCTTCACCAGGGGCTTGTTTTCGTCTTACGGAGGTTGGTGCAGTATTTCACGTAGTCATCCGTGTCAGCCTGTAAAACCGTCTCTCTCAGAACCTCTAGGCTAAGGGCCTTCTGAAACATGCTGATCTTAATCTTATCATCTCATAATTGTCCTTCAGCCTCCAGAATCTTCCGGTCAAAGGTTGGGAGAAAGGTTGCAAGGGGGAGGCTGCACTGACGAGCACTTTGAAGCCAGTTGGGAGCCTCCGAGGTGAGGGCAGGGTCTGAAAAGAGAATGTCCAGCTGGGTGAAGAAAGTCTCAGGATCAAGAGGAGCAGCACTGTTTGCATTCATCCATGGATGGAACTGGGTTGCAGCAGCACCGCTGAGGCGGCTGAACACAAACTAGATCTGCTCATCAAGTGAATCAATGATTTCGCCGTCTACACGGAGCTTGGCTCTGGCGTTGAGTCACCAGGTAGGATATCGGACGAGATCAGTCCCATCAAAGGTCTCAAGTGGGGTGAGCTTCACGTTCGGGCGCTTGGTGTCAGGATCGTGAGAGGGAGTACAACTGGGCCGCAGAACAGTGTTTGTTGGAGGTGTGCTAGCAGCAAGCGTGGTGGTAGTAGCAACAGCCAGCTGAGTTCTCAGGTCTTCAAGTTCGATACGGAAGGCTTCATCCCGCGAAGCCTGCTGATGGAGAAGTTCTTGAAGCCATGCAGGTGCGCCTGCAGAGACATCTTCATGTCCCATACTGTCGTCCATGGTCAGGTCGTAAAATTCTTCTTCATCACTAGTGATAGAGACGCCGGCGGTGAATCGCATAAACTATTATGAGACCAGGGTCTTCAGACCTTTCGCTGGCTCGGCATCTCTCGTGGCTGGTTATAGATATACGTAGGATCCCTTCATTCGGGAGCAGCCCTATGCTATGTGTAGTATTTCGGTGGAGCTAGCTCCTTAGGTTTCGTATGTCGCGTTGCTGTTCTCTCCTATGACAGGTGAGGATGAATGAACGATTTCTAAAGCAACGGGCTAGTTACTGAAAACAGTTGATAACTAACGCATATGAATAAGGAATCGTTAGAAAAGAAGAAGAGAAGAGAGATCGTACAAAGACGAAGCCTCCATAATAAAGGAAAAATCATATAAGGGTGGTGGAGGCTTATATGAAGGCAGCCCGAGGAGTCGGAGCTTCAGTAATAAAGGAAAAGTTATACGAGGGTGGCGAAAACTTACACGAAGGCGAAGCCTGAGTAACAGGAAGGGTAGGGCGCAGCACCTTATAAATTACTTGCTTTTTCAGCTCTTATTCATGATTTAGGATGAGAGCACTTCTTTTCTCCGATCTGTGGTATCTCGATCGAGTGAGGATATCTCAGACGTGGCTTGGTTTACATGAGGTTGCAGGTGCTGGCTAAGGGCTAGTGGTTAAGTGCACTGGGCAGCAAAGTGCCCAGACTGATTGCATTGAATGCATACACCTCATGTGATCCGGTCGGTCACATCTTTTCTTGAGATGTTTGAAATCCTTGGGCGGCCAGCGCTAACATGAGGAGCCCAGTCCATTGGGTCGGGTGCGGTCGTCGTGGGTGGTGGAGAGAACGGAACAGTTTGATTACAGCAGCCTTGGACCGTACAAAATTGGGCAAGATCATTCTCCAGTTGACGAAGATTGGCGCAGTACTCACTGTAGGTGGTGAGTTTCTGACGACCTACACTTTGATTCAGCAGTTCAAAATTCAGGTTCCTGCTCAGCATGTTGATCTGAATGATATCCCAATTCTGTCCTCCAGCTTCCAAAAGATTACGATCAAACTCTGGGAGGTAGTTCGCAAGGGCAGTGTTCTTTTGTCGATTTCTATTTAGCCAATCTAGTGCTTTGGCTTGGTGTGTAGGGTCTAGAAAAAGTACGTCAAGTTGGTGAAATACATTCTCCGGCGTACGCTGTTCCTCAATGCAGGTGTCTATCCATGGTTGAAACTTCGCGAGAGCATCTCCATTCAGTCGAACTGTGAATATACCAAGCTTGATTTGATAAAGAATCGATAACCATCAACACTGAGCTTGGCCTTCGCTTTTGACTTCCAGGCTAGGTATAAGGAGATGTCGCCCTTATATTCATCTAGGACGGGGAATCATTCCTTCGGAGGTTTAGGAGGCAGGGCCGGTGGGGCCGGTGGGGCAGGGGTGGGCACGTTGAGAACCATAGGGTTCAGTTCATTCAGCCGGTGCTGCAGTTAAGCCATCTGTGCAGCTTGTTGCCGCACTAATCTCCGGAGGTCAGCCTTATCAGCTGTGAGAGGATTGGTGCCAGTGAAGGTTTCTGCTGAGGATGGGCGCTCAAAAAGGAGGGTCGTAATCCTTGTTCTCGAGTCTTTGTTCGTATCTCATAACCCTAGCGTCCATTTCCTCAAAATTCATGAGAATCCATCTTGAAAAGTCATTCCATGTCTCCGGCAGAGAGTGTTTGTCTGGAGTTTCCATGTTCATCTGCTCAGTTGCCATCCACAGGGCTTTCACCTTGCCCTTCAAGAAGGAAGAGGCCTGGAAGACTTGTTGTAACTTATTTGGTTTCTTGCCAGCTAGTTCACGCTCCAATCGGAAGTGGGATTCCATTTGACTTAGCCAATTAAGTGCTGCCTCACACTTCCGCCCACCACCAAACTTCGGGGGATCCGGCAGGTCACCAGGCTTGATATAGCCTGTAACTTGGGTCCGGAGGAGTCATTGATGTTTTTGTAGGTTCCACCGTAGCAGCCACTATGTTGCTCTCCAATTCCTGGATCCAGTCTATATATTCTCGTTTTGTCTGATTCAGGTATTCCGCGAATGCTAAGGCGTTCATTGTCGTACATCTTGGAATTCATCCAACATCTCCAACCTTCTCTATTCCGCCTGGGCTCACCAAGATGTGAGGATTCGCAAGCATTGGTCAACGAGGGTGTTGCGAACAAGAAGTTTACTTGACTCAGGTACATACCGAGCAGCCATGGGGATAGCTTCCTTCATTGCTTCAGGAATGGACTGCATCTCAGAAGGGTTCGAGAATCAAGGATAAGTGCTGTCCTTCAGATAAATCCATTTCATGCAGTGGTGATGATAATTTCGTCAGAATTCGGTGATCGTTCAGAGGATTTCTTTCTTTTGCCTTTCCAAAAATGGGGTTCAGAATCGTGGTCTGGGGTCTTTTGTATCCATGAACCACCCTGGCTGCGGTTGATTCAGCCTGGCTGGTCGGCTGCCGACCTGGTAGTGGCTGGTTTAGCGGGGGTCGACCGATTCAGCCTCAGTGGCCTATTTTACCTCAGGAGAGGGGGCAATTTCCTTTGAATCAGCCGTTGACCCCGCTCTCCTCTATATACTCCTGCTGGGGGCCTGTCGGCCGAACTCGGTTGGCATTCCACCAGGCCCATTGCAGAGGTGTTATCATCAGGACCGGTCTGGCATGATTACGACTTGCGCCGTAGGCGGAATATCTGGCCCCTCGGTGCATTCGCACCTCAGTTTAGATATGCTACCAGATGTGATTCAAAGGTGGGCTAAATCTCTGGGAGGAATACGCTGTTTATAAAGCAAAATATATACGGTTGTTGGACTCTCGCTTAGTCGAGCCTCCAATGGCTGTTATGTAAGCAAGAGCGGCCGAATGTTCACCCGACCAGGTCGGAAGAATGTTACGCCGTAAACCCAGCGACTGATCATTTTATCCAGAATACCGACTGCAGCATGACTACGAAGATAATTGAGCCGCCTTGGTAAATAGGGGCTATACGAATAGGGCAGGCGCGCCGCCTCGATAGTGCTGCTTCGATCGTACGAAGGCTGAGCCTGAGTATCATGAGGGTTATCGCATAGCCCTTTATACTAGCATTCCTTCTAGATTAATTCACATATAAACCTCATATGCGCGCTGATAAAAATAACGTCAGTACTTGTTGAATGTTTTCGACGTAACTATAAGCTGACTCTGCCACAAGTGAAGTTGATAAAGATTAAACAATGAAACAAAATATCAAAATTTTTCTGATATTTCACTTCAGAGAAATTTCATAGGCAGTTAAAATAGTTTATTAAATATGTTGCAATTTCAGTTGATCACTTCGTGAAATATATTTCATGAATACTTTTGACAATATAGTTTCACTTACATCTATGCAGCTTTTTTTAATCTGACACAAAAAAAAAAAAAAAAAAAATCAGTCAATTTTTCAAAATTTGATGTCACGGCTCCGATCTTAGGCGCAGGTAAACAGGTGTTTGATTGCCAACTAGGTAAGCTACATCAACAAAATACTAAGATGGTTCCTGAAAGACGGCCCGGGGAAGTCTCGGTTGATATACCCCTTTCCTTAGCGCGGTTGCTGGGTCGTTGCTAGGCAGTCTCTGTGGGGTATTTGTTTACGGGGTAGTCGATTACGGGGTAGTTGTTTGCGGGGTAGTTGTTTGCGGGGTGGGTTGCAAGGCTGTTGCAATTACCCTTTTCGGACGATGCCAGTTTCCAGTCAACGCCATCACAGATTATATCTAAGATGATAATGAAGGATCATCAGTCACTCTCCTGCTTCATCGGTCTGGATAAGTTCTCTATTCACAGTGAGATGATCAAGCACCTCAGATGGAAACACCTGCGCCTGGGGACACAGTCAGATGCTCATGCTGTGATGTGATCCTCAAGAGCAAGTTAGACCTTCAGAGCCACGTTGTACTTTGTCCATAGCACAGTGAGCCCGGACAACCTGTAGTCATCCAGGTTATCTCTATCTCACATCTACAAACACAGCCCCTCGTCCTCATTCCCGCCCGGTTGGAACACATCCATCACACCGTAATCTCTCTGTATGGTTTACGATCTCTGCTTCTACCCTGTCAGATGCATATACACGCAGAAATGTCAATTAGATGAATCATACCCTCCATTGTTTCTAGTACGTTCGCTGCAAAGTATCTATAAATCTAAATCACATCCAGAAAACGATCCTGCTTGCGAATTAAAGCTGCTCGCTGGGGTTAACAGGGATCTAGGCTTGAAGATTCATGGCATACCATTCCAGAAAATTGCCAAAGGAGCTTTCCTTGTAGAGGCCTCAGAGCACTAGACCAGAAATAGCAACCCATATGGATACAAGTTCAGTTTTCCTAGTAAAGTTTTCGCTGCGTAAAGAATTCTTCAACCAGGTCCAGTGAAAAGGACCATCAGCTACTACTTGCAAAAATTGCAACAAAATAGTTCCTTAGAATCATAGAGGGAAAAGATGGCGTTGCCACCTCTGCCAGAAGTTGAAAGATGCAAGGTATATGGAACGCCAAATCAAATTCTGTCCATGCAACCAAGATGCATCTTGATGCACTGTTTGTAAATCTGGAAAAAAAGGTTCTCGCCAGCAACCTATTTTGACTTAGTGGCTTCCATAACTATCCTGCAGGGAAAGATTACATGTGCCAATTACCGTGTCCATCCTGGGCAGCATGCATGCCGAGATACCACAGTGCTAAGAGAACAGTCATCTGGGGGTGTTCAGCGGTACCTCCGGATGTGAATGGAATGGGTGGAACAACCTCAAGATTGCCGTTGTCATCCGCTCTTCGGAAGATGACCAATTCACGATCTGTAAGAAGAAAACCGTGTCGAGAATTGTGCTGTCTCATATACCAGTGGACCTGGCTGAGTACTTGACGACACTCATTGCGAATTCCGAGTACTGGGTTGGTTGTGAGTGCTGTGTTCCATTTCCATGATGGCTTGGCATCTCCTGGTGCGCGGTTTGGGCTAGTGCCTGCTGGTAGTGCCACCGCAAAATACGCGGTGTCTGGCTTGAAAGCATCAATAAATTTGGCGCACTCTCCAACATCAAACAACACAGAGTAAGGCCGTTCATCTGGTTGATTGCAGTCAACGGGTCAAACCCAGCTCGAAGAGCCCGTTGCGCCATTGGAAAGGCATATTCTTGAGACCTTGCTCCTAAGAGCATTCTCCGCTGTTATAACACGTGGTGGGGATGTCGGCATGGGATCTGGTGGAAGACGCGTTTGAAGCAAGACATCCTGCTATCGTTGAAGAAGCGTGTTCAAGTTGAAGCCGTGTCAAACCCCTACACTGCGGATGTCGCTAGCTTCGTTATGCCGTATTGGTAGTGTTGTGTCCAGGGTTTGGAAGTGGATTGACTGGAATTGCTGGTAAGGCACTTTGCAGGTAGGTTAAGAGGGACACCTGGTTCGCCATACTGAGCAGAAATCAATGTTCACTGTTCACTCGTAAGGGGTTGGCAAGTCGCTAACTGAGGAATATCGGAGTCTTATAAGTTTCCAGAAATCAGCTTCACCCTCCCCATTTTTTGCGGTTATTAGTTCTTCGGATAGGGTCATGTGGGATTGTGTGGAAATAATGGAGCGTGAACAAATAAAAAGGTTACGTCGCTCGTGTCTCATTACCGCCAGCCATGTGTAATTCCTCCTTAAGTTGTTGCCTTTATAGACATTCCCCTCTGGGTGATCGTCACATTTATTGCTCAAGTGTTTAACGCGCTGAGTGACAGAATTACGTAACTAACAGTGCTCGGATCAGATTACTCAATTTATATCACGTGATTTCCCCCTTTTGAGCGTTTGAAGGTCTCCAACTGATCTTTCGCTCAAAGACCCTGGCCCCGCTTTTGAGAGGATCTAGATAATGATGGAGTTTAACAATATCAAACCTTCCGAAATTATTTTCAAGACAAAACTTTTTGCCTCTGATTATTCTGTGATATTCCTTGTCACGGTTCGTGGCCAGATATGTGTCATGAAGGTGGTAAGTCAGATCCTCTGAGGATTGCTGTGTGCTGATGCTGATGATAACAGCATCATGGTCGAGGGCCACGGCGGTACTACGAGCCAAAAGATCGTGAGTTGGATATCCATGTGCTTGAGTCCACCGCCTATCAGCGGCTAAAGGAGCGAGGGCTGTGTGGAGTGGAGTCATCCCTCATTTCCTTGGATTGATGGAGAAATTTGACCCACAATTGTGTCAACCTTACCTGAAAATGTTCCTTCATGATAAATACCTTCCCAGCGCTATTTTTCTGGAGTACATACCAAATCTTGAGATGATTCATCTGCACAACTACTCACAAAAACGAATGGACAACTTTATCAAAGGCCTACGGGAGATTCATGAGGCAGGAGTACGGCACAGAGATCCAAAGCCTAGGAACATGATGATTGTTAAAGATGATGCAGAAAGAGTTTTTTGGATAGATTTTGATCGAGCAGAGACCTACAACATTCCAGTCACTGATGAACAAAAACAGCTTCTGGACGAGGAGGAGGAGATAGTTCTTGGCTTCAGGGACTGTTTGGTAAGTGCTCTGCACCAAACAAACATGCATTCATTCTAAATCTCATTACTCTACTGCAGCAAGCCGATTGTACAACAGGGAAACTTGATCAAATCCAACCGTGTCACGCATGAATAATGAAAAAAGGCCACTATCATTGATTTGTTCCCGATGACTGAGAGTTTCATTCATGTGGCATAGTCCTTTCAGTAATGTTTGCAAGTACACTGGCACAGCTCTATGACATGGCTGAACGTCTATCCACCACATTCATTCAATATGTATCATCATGAGAAGGGACTGATGAACACATTGATGAAATGTCTGATGATGAAAATAATGTAGTCGCTAACATGGATGGTCTATTAGATTCAGTACATCAAGAGCAATAGTCTGTTCAAAAATATGAGTTGAATAAAGAGGGCAAAAGCCAATGGGTCTTTTTTGAATGAACTTGAGGGTTGATTTTTTCAAGAAAGAAGCTACATCATTGGCTATTTTACATATATTTGACTGATAAGATTGAAAGTCTAGATGAAGAGTCTAGGTGAAGGCGTACAGATTCAGCTATGAGAACTGTTGAAAGAATGAGCACTATTTCCCTCAAGAGCAGAGCTGACCATGAGTGAGCCATTCTTGAGAAAATAACCTGCCTGCATCGAGTCGCCTCCTTTGTGAGTTTATCTGCGAATTCATGGTGCGCCCGGATCCAGTGAAATTTGACCTCAAGACCCTGTGAGTTGGCCCTTTTCAAACTGTCGATAATCCCCAGAAGTATGGACTGGCCAGATGATCTCTGGGGGTTCTGGAGGGCCTTTAGGACTGCCTGATTGTCTGATAAAAATCACCGCTTTGCTCTAGCTTGATGTTAAAATTAAGTTTAGGTCCACTGAGGATGCCAAGAAGTTCTGCCGCATTAAACGATGGTGTCTTGCCGAGGTAAGCGAGATCTTGGGTGCAAGATCGACGGCGCCACAGCAGCTGCCCCCACTTTCCTGTGTATATCTCTAATCATTGTATATTGCTAGTGGTGGGCTGGCCCTGCTGGTTATATGTTTCTGCAATCCATTACGCAGCTTCTCGACCTTCCATAATAGTAGTGACCGTAGGTGCCTTCCACCATGGCTTTGTTGGGAATGGGATCCGCAACTCCAGGCGGTCGACTGTTCCCGCTCCCAATTTCTCTTCCAATACTGTTGTAGATGTGCGTTAGGGGGCTGGCGAAAGTTGCTCCGCGTGCAGGTGGGGTCCGAGTTTAGGTGCTGTTGTTTTCTTCGTCCCGGAACTGGCTGCCAGTAAGGATGTTCAGTGCCGCTTCATGTGCTGGTTTCTCCAGTTGGAGATGTAGGGGTGTTATGAAGAGTGCGACATCCACGGCTGCACCTGGTGCTGCTCGGTATGCGCCTCCTATGATTCTTACTCCTTCTTGTTGAATCTTGTCCAGGGTCGCCCGCATTTTCTGTGTGAGCCCTTTTTCCCCGGGTGGAGTGTACATGGAGCAAGCATATGTGATCTGTGGAACCATTATGGCCTGGTATGCCTGCTGTAGCGTGGCAAGAACTGATCCCACCGTTGAACCTGCGAGGGATCTCAAGGCATTTAGCGACGGTAAAGTTGTGCTGTCGATGTGCTGTAACTGGGGGCCCCACCTAGCTGCTGGTCCAACATGACGCCCAGGTAGCAGACTTCTTTCATTGGAGCAAGAGTCGTGTCTGATATGGCCAAGGTCTGTTGTACATAGTGTCTCCTTGGGTTTCGAGTGAGGTGGATGAATTGGTATTTCTTGAGGTCAAACTTTGACCCATGTGTGGCCGACCATGCCTCTGCCCGTTCATGCATTCTTGCTAACTTTCTGCAGTTCCCGTCAGTGGTGTAGCTGCTGGTGAAGAAGTAGATGTCATCGATCCAACCTCCGGTTGCGACTCCAGTCACCCAGAGAGGCGCGTCTTCCAAGATGTCAGCATTGTAGAAGAGGCAGAGCACGGGAGATATCGGGGATCCTTATGGGATTCCAGTCTCTACGTGGAGGGGTTCTGTTGTGTGCTCCCGGAGCTGTATGGTCATCATTCTGTTTGAAAGAAGCTCGATACCCATCCGACTATTCCTTCATCCATCCTTCTCTTGAGCAGGTTGTGCCAAAACCTGGGGTGTGAGACGTGGTCAAACGCGCCTGATACATCCAGCAGGAGAAGGCTGGCCACTTGATCGTTGTCCCAAGCCTGGTAGATCAGTTCCATTAGTCCATGGAGCGCGTGTTCCATTGACCAACCCCCTTCTTCCCCCTTGGTGCGTTCGTGGAAGGAGCTGGTGTCCTTCGACCGCCTGAGCGATCCTTGTTGCCAGGATGGACTCCAGGGCTTTACCAAGGGTGTTAAGCAAGGCTCGCGGACGGTACGATTTCACCTTCGACAGGTCTTTCTTGTTGGGCTTGGGTAGCACCACCGTTTTGGATTGTTTGAAGTGCGCTGGGCAGTATTGTAGGTCCAGTGATACGTTGAAGGTTTGTAATAGATTGGGTGTTAGGTGAGGGAGCAGTTGTTGAAGTATGTGTGCCGGGATGCCGTCCTGTCCCGGTGCCTTCTTGGCGGCCATCGACCTGATCGCCAGAGTTACCTCCTGATATGTGATAGGGGGAAAGGAGAGCTGATCACTGCATCTTCAGTTTGTGATATCGGACAGATCCGCCTCTGGTTGAGGTGGAAAATGCGTCTTTGAACATCTCGGCTTTGGCTAGGTGATTGGGCTCTAGACTATCATCGCTCCTCACAGAGGGGGTGTGAACGCCTGTCTTGTCCCTCGTACCCGGGCCCATCTTGCCAGCTTTTAAAGTCCGTCTGGAGTTTCGGTCATCTATCTGACTCTTGTCCGGAAGGCATCGTAGAGTGTTTTCTTGATAAGTCTTCCTTTATAGTTGCGGGCTTGGCAGTATGCTTCCCAGTTGTTCACGAGGCGTGTCCTCTGGTATCGTCTTCGAAGGCGTCTTGCTGTCCTCCTCGCGTCCGTGCAATCCTGAGTACAGCCGGGGACCAAGCGGTCGCTTGGGTTTGCCTTCGGGGTAGAGGCTTCAATGGCACTCGTTATTGCTTGGACTAGTTCTAGCACTCTGTAGTCGACATCCTTAGGTTCCTCTCCAGTTCCTGCTCCAGTGTCCGCGTATCTGTGCGTTGCCATTGCCATTGTTTCTGCGGTTCGCTCGCCTCAACTGTTGTCATTACCTTTGTGGCAATCAGTAGATAGTCAGACTGATGGTCGAGGTCCTCCCCCACTCCGCAGAAAGCTCTTCTGTCATATACCCATGGCGTCCCTAGAGCAAGGTCAATTGTAGTTTGTCTTCCGCGCTCGTCAAATGTGACAGCGCCTGGTGAAAGCAGGAGCTCTAGTTGCTGGTCGGCCATGAGAAGGACCAGCTCCTCCTCCTCGGCGTCCTGATCAACACTTATTCCGCCCCACAGCGGATGGTGGAGATTGAAGTCTCCTACTACCATTCCTCTTTCATTCCCGGTATCGGTGATCACTCTGCGAAGGAGGGGAATGACGTTTTCCCCTGTGCCAGGCCCCGGGTTGTACAGGTTATGGATATGGATTGTATTTTCAGTTGTGCTGCTGCACTGAATGGCGACAGTGCAGAGGTCCAGAGAGGGAGTTGTTGCAGTCCACCTGTTTCTTGGGATCCTCTTGTTTATAAACATACAGGCCCTGGTGCTCGGGTAATTCATGTATACCATGTTGAAGGATTGAGGTCCGGGGTAGTGAGTTGTACTAGAAAAACTGCTCCTCCATGATTCTTGTATTGCTATCACGTCGAATTACTTGATCATTTCATCTCGCAGTAGGCTAGCCATGACCTTGTCTTTAGATTTTCTGACATTGTACAGCAGTATTGCAGTATGGTGAGGTTGGTCATACTATTCATCGATTACCATCACTTGTGAGTTTGCTAACGCAGGGTCTATAACTAAGGCTTGGGTCCACGGGTGGCTGCTGGTATGCTTGATCTCAACCGTGTTACTATAGTTAGATGCACGTGGGTTCCATTGCGAACCCCTCACTTTCAATTCTCATTTCTCTCTCACTCTCCTTATGGCTTTGTCTAGGCTTCGTTTGTTCCATGCAAGCAAGTCAGAATCTATATCTCTCGATCTCTATACAAAGAAAAAATAGAATCTTATTAAATAAATTTATTTTTTCATAATAATCACTATACTTCTCACAGAGATGCCCTTTAATTGACTTAAAAATAAATATAAAATCATGTATAGTTTGACTTTCAGATTGCTTTCTTGATATTTTAACTTGAAGTTTTGATTTATCTCATCAGAATTGATAATTTTAGCATGAATTCAGTGATAGAATTTATTTTGGATAATAAATATTTTCAAATTAATGTAGTAATAATATTATTTTTATTGAAGTTTAATATTGAAATATGTTGATACTTCAAAAATTTTGTATTCATTATTATTTTCAAAATGATAGTTTTAATAAATGTAAAAAAAAAAAGTTTTGAAGAGATAAGATCTTCTACTTTCTTGAGACTTTTTACTTTAAACTTATATAAAGCTTTCAAATCAGTGTTGATATGAAATTATCATTTGAATATCTATTAAGCTCAAGCGCCCGACCGACCGAGGCCCGGCGCCTAATTAGACTCGACGTCGGATTAAGCTCGGCGCCCGATTAGGCCTAACCCTCATCACGTGACCAAGTCACCATATGGGTTGTTATAACCTGGGCAGGCACCCCCTTTCATCCCATCAAGCTTAGTATTCTGTTATATAGCAGTTAGCAACACAGGGAGTTTCCTTATGCAGCTCGCATTCGCACCCTAACATATATAATGTTTACAATTAATATTTAATAAAAAATGAAAAAATAAATTTTTTTTAAAATGAAGTATAATAAAAATATTAAATATATTTAATATATCTTTTATTAAACTAGTAAATATAAATTTTTTAATTTTATTATCACTATTTAATTTAATAAAATCTATATAAAATATACTTAGCATTAATATTAATTATTTAATTCAAATAAAAAATTATATTTCTTTTTAATATCAATTTATACAAGTATTTTAAACAATAAAAATATAGATTTAATAGTAATAAATAATATTAAAATTTAAATAATAATAATTATTATTATTATTTAATTTTAAATTAAAAAATTTAGAGAAATATACTTTAATAAATAAATAAAATTTTAAAAACAATATTTAATATAAAATATCAAATAAAATCAATAGATATATAATAATAATAATATAAAAAAACTTTAATTTTTATAATATAATTAAAATTTTAATTTTTATAATATAATTAAAATTTTAATAATTATTTTATTATTATTATTATTTAATTTATAAATATATATTAATATATAATTATAAAATTTTATAAATTTAAATAAATATTATTTTTATAATTTAATTAAAAATTTAAATTATATTTTAATATATTATTCAATAAATATTAAAAATTAAAATATTTAATAATTAATTTATATTATTTTATTAAATTATAATAATTGTTTTACTGTAAATTTATTTTAGTATATTAATTTTATAGCATAAAAATATTAGTTAATTGAGTAAATATAATAATAATAATAATAATAATAATAATATGATGATGATGATGTAAAGGGTTAAGCTCTAAGAACTAGAGGCTAGTCCTCCTATATAACAAGGACGAATTGCTTGAGAAAGGGAAGAAAAGAATAAGATGAGAACTCGAGCTTAAGCAAGCTCGCGTAGCATGATCACGTGCGCACGTGCAAACGATGGCTAGGCTGAGTCAGCCAGCCAGAGCGAATCTAGGGGTTCAACCCCTTATAGATGATGAGGAGGCGGTTAATTAGAGCGCAAAATATTAAGTTTGTTAGACAGTGAATCACGTTACTTTCTTCCACACATCTAAGAAGCCACCTAAAGTTCTCGCTGCTGCCAGTTCCAGGGAAATCGGTGACAGTTGAGTAGCAATACCCGTAAATGGCTGTTACCCAGGTTACTGGTGGTTTAGAGTCAGATCATTAAGGAGATCGATCTGATCTGATAAGATTGATGATCGGGATGCATGGAAGTAGAATCAATTATTTCAGATGTCTCCAACCATTGTCTCGATGCCCACATTAAATAGCAGCAATAATGGATACCTAAATATAATTACGATGTCCCGAGTACATCGCATGATGAATGAGGTGACCTCGATGTCTGTTGTTCCGGACATGTAATATATTATGCCTTGTGCTGACTCCGTCTCCGGATGCGGCGAGCCGACAATCATACGGTGCCTGACTAAGCACCACGTGGTAACCAACCTGCCTAACTCGTTGGGTTTGTGAAACAACCAAGAGAGTTAGTTACCCAGTTACCTCCTAACTACCTCCCTCCATGTACCTCTTTGCCCAACTCCTCATTATTACTGCAAACTGGTTTCTGCCAGCGTATTGGTATCACTGCCGTATGCGTAATAATCACCCCAAAAATACTCTCTCTCATATAAACCGCCCGTCGAACCGCTGCGTTTTAACTAAATAAACGCTGCCTCCCCGTCCGTCGTCTTCTCCTCCATCTCCATCTCCATCTCCATCTCCTCCTCCTCCTCTCACTCCTCCCACGCCTCCCCCCAATTGTGTTCGCTCTTCCCCCTTCTCCTCCCTTTGATCTATCCCCCCAGAGAGCTGCTCCCGCATCGACAACCAGAAATACTGGGCACAACCCTCAAGATGTACGCCCTGATAAACACAATATCCCTTCCCTGCCCAAATTTACGTGCATATAACCCAACCAAATGCCAAAAACTAACACTTGCCCCCCCCCCCCC